TTCTCATGCGAATTACACTAATAGTAAAATACCATGTGCACATTAATTGACTATCGCTCTTTTGCGAACATTTGTCGCAATGGAGATGGTCTTATAGAATCGCTACACGTCCACGAATTCAGCCCGGATACATCAGAAGTGTCTCAAATGGTATTCACTATGCTTTAGAAGCCGGCTTGATTAATTTGGAGCTACCTTAAAAACTATTTATCTGAGTGTTCGGATGTCTTGGGGGAACTTTGGAAGTTTTTAGGTGGCTTTCTGTCGCAACCAAAATTGTTAGCTACCCTGATAGATCCGGTCGAAAGTTCGAGGACATGGAGTAGCCGTACGAACTTTCGTAAGAATTTTCAAGGAGAAATTTTCTCTTTATACCGAAATTTTCAGTAGACATACTCTTTCAACAATAATCGCAATACCTTGGTAATTAAATCTGAAAAACACAACCTCCGAAAGTCTAAGGAAAGTTCGAAAGTCCTAATGATAAGGAAAACGAATAGCACGGCTATCCAGAGAAATTTTAACCTTTCTTGAGTTTTAGAAAAGTCTAGGCAATATTGACAATATCTGCAGATACTTTATAGCAAAAATCGTTGTTTGCCCTTGAAATTTCCAAAAGGACTGAGGCTAACCACCTCTTATACATGTATACATGAATTGTTAATAACGCGAAACAGGTCTGTTTTTAACTTGTAGAGACTTAAGAACGTAAATAACCTTGACTTTCTATACCTGACTAAGCTGGCCACAAGAACTTCGATTTTCAAAACAAAGTCCATGTTCCAGGAACTATAGATCTTGCCAAATGGTAAAAAAATCTTAACAGAACTGTCAAGAAAAAAGCTTCCCTCTATTATTTGCGATTTTTACAACTAACTTCTAACTACAAACAGAAATTTACTTCACTGACTTAATTTTAATCGAAATTAAATCGAGGATTAATATTTTCAAATTATTTCTGTCAGTGATTTTTTTAAGTCAGATAGGAGGTGAACTATAAACTTTTCAGAAGCCCCCAACATGAAGTTTTCTTGCGACATAACACCAATGAATATGCCAGTTTAAGATTTGCTTGAATTAAATTGCTTCACAAAGGATACTATCAAAAATTGTAAAATGGCGAGATAACTTTAAGTCTCTATTACCTGTAATATCGTCTTTTTGAAATTTTCACCATCATTTGCTAGGAAAACATGAAATAAAGACTTTTCCCCCATTTGCTGAGAAAACTTGAGTATTTCATACTTCTGACATTACATTGAATACAGATTGAAGATTTAAAGTGTAATAGATCCGTCGGATACGTTTTTCCTAACTTTGTTGATCTTTTTCTGTGAAACAATTTATCTTTTTGATACCACTGGCTAATTGACAATTGCTTTTATGACTCTCTCCAACGGTTAACAAAAGTGTGCACCATTGAAAAATAAAAGACGCGCCTAAAAAATATAAATCCATAGTTAGCGAAAATGACACTTACTTTGATATGTTGTTTTGGAAGTCACAGTGACAACCACGAATAAGAGGGAACAGAAGACCAGCCTATAATCCATGGCTAAGCCTAAAAACAAATGCAAGCCAAATAAGCTTTGATTGATATTTGACCTGATAAGTCAATACGACAAGTTATCTTCTGCAAGTCAATGATTAAAACAGAAAAGCTGTTCCTCACCTTTCCAGTACAGGGTAATCCGCTATATGTCGCTTCAATTGTAGGGTCAGTTGTTTTATGATAGCTTGCCAGTAAATAATTAACGATATTCATTTTGTCCAATGCAGGGATCGTGGCAGTCAGCTATTGTGTTCACGCTTGGTTTCTTAGAAATTGTTTACAATAGATATCTACCGGTAAATAACGGCACTATTAATAAGTGTCAAAAACAAGTGTTTTCTAAACTTACGAGCAAACATCTAGCGGGTGTCTAATTGTTTGGAGAACGAAAAGTCGACTATAACTTGAATAATTACCTATCAAGACCGATGAATACTCGCTGTTATCCGATTCAAAACCATCACTCCAAAAAAACACTGACCAGTTACGGGATTTACTGACTCGGAAATATCGTGGAGGTCTATATCCATTAATCTTTTCACTCAAGTTTGTTTTCCTTGAAACTAGCTGGTGCTGCGTAGAGATTGGTAAGAAAATGACGATATGCATAAACGATGCTACCGGTGTTTCAGTGTTAAGTGGTCCGTACAGCGGAATTCAATTGGTCCTTGAATAATCACTTTGAAATCAGTTTGACGTGAGTCAAAAATAATGTTTGACTAAAATAAGCAGAAGGTTTAAAATTTTGCGAGTATTTTTTTGCCATCGACTAATGAACTGTTTCCTTATCTTTTTTTCCACTTCAGATGAATTGGATCAATTAAGGTTTTTGGGAAACGGCCCACCTACCCCTCCCCTGAGCCGACATTATCACTTACTTCTCACTTAGGGCAAAATGTTGGCTTAGGGGAGGGGTAGGTGGTTAGTTTCCCAGAAACCTAAATTAACCCGGTGAATTGACCCCTTATTTAATTCTGCTTGAAGATATATATATATATTTTTAAGTAGATCTGTGACCTTTGTAAAGTGCAAAAGAAAAGAAAACGGTAAATTGACGGTGATTCTAATAGCTGGAAAAATGAATTCTTTTGGATATTATACCCCCGTTCCAATGACATTATTTATGGTAAATTTAAAAATTTGAAATTAGCGTCTTTTTAGCAATACCAGCTACAGCTCAACAGGTGACAGACACAAACACTTTTCCTTGAGAGACTTGATTTGTATTTAATTTGAACAGAGAACTATCCAAGGGTCACAGCTTTACTGAAGCTTGAAGGCAAAAACTGGAACAAATGAAGCCACAAACCGAATCGATTTACAAAGGAAGTATGCCACTCCCGCTTTCTGCAATGCTTTTTGAAGTGATCAAGAAAGAAAGAAAACTGTCACAGTTGGTTGGTTCCTGTTTCAGCTTCACCAATTCCTAGTGAAGCGTTGGAAATCCGAGGCGATGAAGTATCTCAGTTTCGACAACATTAATTTTCAAAACTAAAATTTTTTGACCGATGCGTCATTCAACTATCACGTGATCCTCAGAGTCTTCTGTAGACAACAGGCTACAAGCACTGGAACGAAAATATACAACAAGCCTTTAGTCCTCATCAAGTGCTTCGGTTAGTCTCTGCGTCAAAAGGCAGCAGTCTTCGAAGGAAATCCTTATTTGTAACGTTTCGTAAGCTAAAGCTCAAACTTCAAAGTATCAACATTGGAAAAAAATTTCACTGAAATATAAAAAAACTACTTTTACTGAATATGAAGCACTGACGAGGTCACATGCAGGATATGGTTCGTCGTGTGTTAGAACTACGTTAAATGGAGACACCAAAGGAACCTTCAAACTGCCACTTCTCTTAATGACAGTTACATTTTCTTCCCACAAAATAAAGAACAAGTAAATCAGTGATCGCCCTTCACTGTTGGCTGTTTTAACCATAGTCTCTCCAACAGACACTCCATAAAAGAGACTAATTTTTAACTTTTAATATTTCCGTGGCCGGCCATTATCTTCAAATACGTCACACTTTTAAAATGGCGGCGCGTTGGGAAATTAAAAGCGCTTCGAATGAAAATTTACGACATACCTTTTTGGTGAGTATTCTCAGCATGTACGTAATTAGCTAAAAGATATTAGTCGCTATTTCCCTTGCTACAAATAAAAAATATACATTAAAAACAGGGACATTCAGCTTTCTTTCGCAAACCTACGCTCTCGCATGCGTTAACGTGAATTTTGGATTCAAATGTAGCGAAGGAGAAACGGATGCTTTCGCAGGCTAATTTAATTCACGACTGAAGCTAAGCAACGACTGAGGAGGGGGGGGGGGTAGAGAAGGTAGACGACCTTTTTTTCAAGTCGTGAAAATCAGCGCGTTTCACTCTGTCCAGTCATTATTGCTATTTGTTTGCTGTTGTTATTGTTTTTATTTCTATTGATGCGAACAAAATTGTTTTTAGCATAATCGACAAACAAATCCAGCCAGTGATCAGGGCAGAACACGAACTCAGTTAACTAAGAATTGTGGGTCTGACCCCCCTGTCCATCACCTCCAGTTAGCACAATTTATCATCAAGCAAAACCATTCCAAAAGGTCAACTTTGAATTTTATTCGTCTAATATTAAAAAGAAAATAATAATTATAATACGTACGGCGTTGATATACAAAAGCGTGTTGTTCGTAAAAAAATAATTTATACACACAATGAGAAAAACTTTTTTAAAAAAAATGCCTAACTAAACTAACAAACTTAAGTTTGCTCTGTTCCGGTTTGGTCCTTGTTTCCTGTTTAAGATGTTAGATCTGCATGGTTTGTCTAACTTGTAAAACACACTGACGTTCGTTTGAGGATGCAACATACAAATAAGTTGCCTTGTAAGAATCAGTTCTCCTCTGCACGATTAAACTATGATTAACGTACACTGAAGTTCATTTGAGGATGCAACATACATCTGAGTGCGCTGGTAAGAATCAGTTCTCCTCTGCACAATTAAACTTTGATTAACGCACACTGAAGTTCGTTTGAGGATGCAGCATACATATGAGTGCGCTTGTATTAAAACAGTCTTCCTGTGGAAGATCTGAATGCCTCAACTTATAACGCACATTGCGGTTCCATTCAGGATGAGCTCGAAGAAGGCTTCTTTATTGAAAATAATGCTCGTGAGGACATGATGAGAGAGTGTGTTGGGATACTGATAAACTTTAGGGTCATTTCAAGAGTGTAGTCCGCTGAAATTGCTAGGCGGCTCACTTCATAAGTTTTAAAGCGAGTCTTGAAGGTTGATAATTGAAAAAAAAATGTTCTTCCCTGAAAAAAGAAGCATTAAAAGAAACGAAACCATTCTGATCGCGATTCCAGCGGTTGATATCATCTTTGGCAACTACCAGAAAAACGCCACAACCTGGTGAAGATGGTCAAGCTACAAGTATCTGGCGGGAGCTATTGATTACTCACCAAGACGCGAAGTGTTTAGTGTTTCGTCTTCACTTTCTTCAGTGAACCAATGTGAAGGATCTACTTCTTCGTGTGTTCTTACTTCATTGTCTACGATATGCTGGCCAGTGGACATGAACTGCGCAAATCTGGAAAAGAAGTTCGATGTGAACAGTACTTATAAAAACCCTAAGCATCTCTTGATTCAGAAAACAGATTACAGCTGTAATCTGTAAGTTATTGATTTAGCCAAGCCTAAAAGCGAAGCTTAAGCATATATACTAATAAAGCTATAAACTTTAAGCCATTGCGACAATCAACTTTAGTAGGAGCCCTCTATTTACCTTTTGACGGAGGGGTTAGTTTACGTAAGAAAAAATATCCTACAAAAATACCTACACTGTAAACAGACCTTCAGCTTTTCAAAAATCACAATTCAGTTCCTTAAACTTCAAGAGCCGGTTTAAACGCATTGCGTGTTTCGTTTAACCCTTTAAGCCAAAATACCCACAAATTGTCCTGACTGACCTTCATACACTCCCTTAGAAAATACGCTGCCCAGGAGAATTTGAGAAAAAAAAAAGATCAAAGCATTTTCCGTTTGGTGATCAGTTTTTTGATTCTCTTAAGCTTTTCTGCTGATTATGTATTGATATAGTAAGGGGAAAATTGAAGTTGATCACTGTTGGGACGTGAAGGATTAAGAGTCAAATATAAAATGTAAAAGGAAAAAGTACATGTAAAAAGTAAAAAAGTAACTGAAGTGAGTAAAAAAGCTTTCCCATTAATTTTACGAACAGGGCAAGAAAAAAACGGGATGTCACACGAAATCCAAGGTAAAATTGAACCAGCTAAACTTCAAATTTATTTGACTTCTGTACAAGGTTTTCGCAAGAAAAGAGTATCGAGATATACTTGTGGAGTCACAAAAGGAACCTAGAATAGCGATTTTCGTGCGAAACGTCCAACCGACACCATGAGATTAAAGATTGCGCAACTCGACGTTAAGCTTCAGTTTCAACTCAGTGAATCTGCAGGAATCAAAGTGTGACCATTCAAGTACCACTGCAAGCCAATATTTAATTATTTTTGTTTCCTTTACATTTCCCTTGAGTTTTAATTTCTCTCTGTGTTCCCTGATTTGTTCGTTTTTCTACGCATTAAACAAAATAGTAATCTCGGAGGGTTGGGGTACTCAAAATGGTTTTCTACGGTGAGGCTCCGCCCCGAGGTCCAACCCCTTACCCTTTTAAATACCTTTATTTGGCAAAAAAGGAACCCCTTTGACTGTAGAACATTGCATCCCTTTTAACTACTGTAAATACACAGTCTTTAACATATGGATAAGTAAAGGTAATAGCATGATTTGTAGTGATATTTGGCGTAAATACCACGAGTGATATTTCAAAACTGTTATACGTAATTTCACGAGCCGTTAGGCGAGTGAAATTTGAGACAATTTTGAAATATCACAAGTGGTATTTATGCCAATTATCACGTACAAATCATGCTATTATTTGTTTATACTACTACCCGCAAAAGGTTTGTAATTTTCACATGTAGGTATTTCAAATTAAGCTGAAAAACCACTACTCTAAGCCAATCAAATTACAGAAATTTCTCAAGTAGTAGTATAAATCACAAAACCAAGACATTTTCTCAATTTTTTTCACAGCCATAAAACGCATCTGTTAGCCCTTTTGGGCCTTTTCACCGATTTCCCTACCATTCCATACATTCGACAAGTGAAATCCCTTACTCTTTCATACACCTGAAGCGTGAAAAAGGTACCCTTTTCGGGCGGAGCCTCCCCGCTAAGGCCATCACAGGGAGAACCCTTCTACCGGGATGGTAACATACCTAGTGGGACTTTGCAGTCGACTAACAAGGCGCCATGTATCGCACTCGGGACTGCTGCAATATTCTCTAAGATCTTCTAAAGCTCTTCTAGTTTCTTCAGTTCCCTGCATCATGTATTCCTCCTCGGAAAGAAATGTGTGTCTTGGAGGAAAGAAGAAATAATAGACTCTGTAGGAAATCCTGCGAAAAAAAAAATTAATAAGCAGTGTAAATCAGCGGAATTACAAAAGGCAGACAACTCTTGCTCACGATTAATCAGTAGCCAAAATACGTTTGACCTGCTAAAACGTAATGACACCTCAATGGCGTAGCTTAAGGTTTTGAAAGTGTAAGCAGGGAAAGAAAGGTTAGACCTGAGAAGGTACTGCAAACTAGGGGGAGTGGGGGCATGCTCCCCGAGAACGTTTTCATATTTAGGGGCTCAGAAATGCCATTTCCTGCGTTTTCCGCGCGACATTTTCAGTAAATAGATGTTTAATCGAAGGGTACAGTGGTTACGGAAAACAGGATAAAACATGAAGGTGGTTACAAGCAAAGGGCGAGACGCCTTCAGAAGGGCAAAATAATGGGAAAATAGGCCAAAGAGGGAAACTTAGGGCGTTGGCCGGGATATGCGAACTTCACTTAAGTTATTTTTAGAGGTTGCAATTAAACGGAACTCTAATTCCTGGGACGTCCGCGTTTGAAACGTCATCAAGTTCACGCCTGACTGCCTCAAAGCAAACAACGGTGTTTTCCTCTCTATCCTATAATTTAATCTTGGCAGCATGAATGGTAGCCTTACCAGTGTTGAGGAAGCAGTCTGAAACAGAAGACAAGGATGCCACTTCTGCGAATTATATGGGACGAAACCACTGTAATACACAGAGCTATGGAGACCTCATCTGACCTTGTACTCATGTACAGTAGGCTCAATCCTATAAGCTGCAGCATCCAGCGAATGAGATCCAGTCCGCGGTCGCTGGTTACTGGGCCGTAATAATAACATACACCAAAGCTTATGAGGCCTGGAGAAAGCGGGAAATAAACACAGCTGTTATACAGCGTAATACGTTGACTAGGCCGTAACAACAGCAAACACATAAGCTTCTGATGCCTGACGAAAGGAAAAAACTCTGCTGTTATAGAGCGTAATACGACAGTCAAAGAGTAGGAGTTTTTGAAAAATGCCGACCATAATAATCTTTAATATGCAGGTTTTCCTTTTCGCATCAGAGACCTTTAGATTCTATTAAAAAAAAAAACGAGGGCGCGACGACGAGGACGAGATTTTCTCAATAGCTAATTAAGTAGTGCGCACGCGTGATCCAGCGTTCTTTTGGCGGGAAAGCGCGATAGCCGTCTTCAGTCTACTACGGGTTTTAGCAAGAATGTCGTAGTGGCGGAAAAAAGTTATTAAAATGTTCGAAAATGTACCACTTTGCGATTGGGAGAGGGCTTAACCTCCTTCGATAAAAATAACCGTACTAACGTTTCTGTTGAAAAAAACAAAAAAGGACAATGAAGTTTTCCGGGTTGTCTATGTACGTTTAGAGAGTATACGCGAAAAAACTGTTAGTTCAATCTGGTCCTCATATCTATAGGTCTCTTTTGTGACATACCTATAACAACAAGATATCCAATGACCCATTGGTTGTGGTTAAGTAGAAGGTCTTTTAAGTTACTCCAAGTCCACTGGATTAAATAGGCACCCAGACTCCATCCTCCAATTAAAACAGCATATGCACCTCCTCTCTGAAAAGAAATGACCACACAACAACAACATTTAAAACAACGACTCCAATACATGTAAATGCAATAAACTTCCCGAAAGGACATGCTTTTGGTCCTGCCATCCGTTTTTGACTTGGACACCCAAACGAGGGGATTAGGTTGCGTTCTCATGAGGTCGAACGCAGTGAAATACAACAAGTAAACACGGCGGCCTCAGTTGCGAAAATGGCATAAAACAATATGCTGAAATATTGACAACAATTCTTAAGCAAATGCATACATGCACGTTCAACATTTTTCAACTTCCAATCCTATTGCCTGCACAACAGGGGTTAACAAACGCTCACCTCTGCTCGCTTTACCTCAGGACTTTGTCTAAACCATCACCCCCAAACTGCTTTGTCTTACCCAAGGGATAAGTCTTAATTAACAGTGGCCCCAAACCTTTTTGTCTCACCCCAGGGATTAATCCGTGTAGCATGTGGACAAGTAGAAGAAGTGACATGATAAGACCAAGTGATACAGCAGGGCCCAGTTGTTCAAACGTTGGATAGCGCTATCAACTGGACAAATCACTATCCAACGGATAGCGTAATTGATTTCCGTAATACTTATTCACTGGATAGTGATTTATGCAGTGGATAGCGCTATCCAACGTTTGAACAACCAGAGCCAGATGAATAAAAGAACAAGCTGTTCCTGGAAAGAAAATACCCGAGGGATAAGTCTTAACATTGACCCCACACCGTTTTTTCTTACCCCTGGGATTAGTCTGTGCAGTATGTAGACAAGCAGAAGAAGTGACATGATAAGACCAAGTGATACACCAGATGAATAAAAGAACAAACTGTTCCTGGAAAGAAAAAACAGCTCTTTAATTAATAATAGGAGAAATGTGAACAACAGATCCACAGCTCTCCTATCTTGTGCGCACAAAGTTTGCAAGAACAACAACAAAGAACAAAAGTGTGACTTTCCATAGAATCTGCTTTTGATCAGTTTACTTTAGTGCACCATGGGCAATAACAAGATCAGATTAATAATTATGGTGTGAAAAACAACTAGACCTACTACTGAGGTGCAATGCTACAGTGTAGTTGTAAGCATACAATAGACCTCCCTCACGCAGCGATCATTATGTCTCAGTAAACTTAAAAAGCTTTGTTTATGAACAGCTAGCCTCGTTCTCTCTAAGAGGCTATCCATGCATAAACAGAGCTTTTTAGATCTCCTAAGACAAAATGGCCACCCCATGACAAAGGTCTATTGGCAGCAATTGAAAGTTGGTATGGCATCTAAATAGACTCAATGGATCAACTGTCATTACTGTCACCATCATCATCATCATCATCATCATCATCATCATCATTATCATCATCCTCGAATATCATCATCATCACTTTAACAAATCAAGTTCTTGTTAAAATTTACATTGTGGAAGGGGACGTTTAGATAGTATACCTACTAAGTCTTTCTGCATTGTAAAAGATGACAAGGCCTGCTAGAAATGCTGCTGGAAATTTCCAGTCAATGACTAAAATGGAAAGAGATTAACAACTTTATTATTTACCCTCTACATGCACAAAAGTAAGGTGCTTTTTTGCTGAAATAGAATCATATCATTATTGTCTGCATGGTGTAGACTATTGGGTTAAAGCAAGTTTATTTTTTTATTATCCTCACATAAACTCCACATTCTTCTGATTGGGTGAGCGTTTATTTGATGGTGTTGTTCACGGGTATTAATTACTGGCAGTACTTACTTAATCAAATACAGTATGTCACTAACTTTCAATGCTATGGACATTCAAATGAAACAACTTTTGGTAAAAACTTTAAAATACAGGTGAACTGCCATTTATTTTTTATGATTTTACAAAAAGAAATTTGAATTTTCTTTTGAACTTGCTCTTTGGCCACTGTTAAGTTTGAAATGGTATTATCATGGATATTTGTCATGACCATAAAATTAAATTATTTTGTAGAATCACCTTGAAACTCAGCTTCTATGAACACATTCCGTTTTTTTCCAAATTCCACTGCAAAGCATGAAGTTTTGAATGGTGACTGCTTGAATGTGATTTGATCCTGTATGTTAGTGCTAGTCACCAATGACTGAAACACAGATCCCCAAGTTTTATTGGCTGGGTTGAGCGCATGGCAGCTGTCAAGTGCAATACAAATAAAAAGAATGTTTTGAAATTACTGATTAAAGCAGAAAACACATGTGAGGAGGCAACACATGTAAGCATATTAAAATGACTCATTTACAATGCACAACATAAATACATGTAATAATGATCTGAATGTAGTGATCCAGTAATAATTAATAAATATGAATGTTGCTATAACTGTAGAATCAGACAATAATAAATTATTTACTATACCCCTTTAACACTAGGCACGATTTCCATCGCTCTCTTAGTCCTCCCCAAGAAGAGATGGCTGGATGAGTGAATGGCCATAAAGTAACTTTATGCATCTTCAACGTCGAAAATGGGAAATGTCATTAAATACTAAACATATGTTGTGCTTTGCCTCGTCTTCACTTTGGTATTAATTTTTTTGCCATAAAAATCAGCAGAAACAAGTACTGATTGTATTTACATTGACCCTGCATTACCGGTGGACTTGACAGTCGTCTCTTTCACGTTAGCTGCAAACAACCATCATTCATGTAGAATGGAAATAATTATTGATCCAGTTCCAGTTGGTTGAATTTCAAAAACATACCTACTATTTGCCAGCTTCTCTAAGAGAATACTTTTCTTTGTTAAAAACGTTCTAAGACACAATCGCACACCAAATCAAACAACACCTAAGTTTGGCCTGCCGTTTAAAATCTGCTCCAGAAAAATAAAATGATTTATGCTGTCTGCTTGATTTGAGCAGCCAACGATAATAATAATTTTTAATAATAATAATAATAATAATAATAATAATTTAAACATATTTATACAGGATTGCTGCATCAGTTTTAAGAAAAAACTGCTATCAATGCAGGTCCTGAAAAAAAAAAGGTTAAAAATATGGATAAAAACAAATTACAATAGTATAAAATAGCTACGTTAACAGGAAGATTCGAACAGTTTTAAATTCTAAAAGGTATTAAAAATTTTGTTGCACCTGTGTAGAAAAAAGCGCGCTTGGTGCATTCTAAGTTAACTAATCTTTTTCTAAGATAAGGTCATTATTATGTCTAGTTTTTTGGCGATGAATGTCACGGTTTCTTACATTAAAACAATTAAAAGGGTATCTGGGAACTCTATTTGCAATGCCATCATTAACAAATCTTAAAATGTGGGTCTGTCTTCTATAATAGAGAGGTTCCAATTTGATCAGTTGACAGTTTTGAGGCAGCTTTGAAGTAGACAATCCTCGCTGCTCATCTTTGTAGTCACTCAATCTTCTCATTGTTTCCTTGTCAACAGTCATGCCAAACAGCATCACAATAATCTAGAACCGGGAGGACCATGGCTCTATAGAGTCTATTTGCAGCTTATGATTGGTGGTAATTAACAATAGCAAGCCCATGCGTCCAGCTGTCTGTTCATGGGAGGACCGCGGGCTCATTTCCGAAACAGCCGCTGGTAATCGAGCCTACTTTAACACCAACAGTGTTTCTCCTCATAAAATCACTGGCAAGTAACTTTCAATACAAGTAACTACTAGAGCAACTTGTATACAATGAAGATGCTAGCTGAATTAAGAAATGTTTAAGGAATTAGTGTTACTAGTCACCATTTTGTTGGGAAAAAAATTAACTTACCTATCAGCTTCATAAGATTGAACATCAGTTTTGTCAAATTGAAGAGCAACTACCACACTGCCCCACAAGTGTGACAGTGAGACATCCCTACCCGATACACACATTTTCATGTTCTTAGCTTGGAACTTGGAAAAATCCTTCTTTCTTGATAGATCGAAAATGGAGATGTCTGAAGAAGACAAATTATCAAGTTACTTTGTTGTGTTTCTGGTAGGGCTTGAAAAAAGCTCAAGCAGGTCTTACATTTTGCTTGCCCAGGGCCACTGCTTGCTTGTTAATGATTTAACTACTAGATGACTTGAATGGACCTTTGCCCATTGGACAACTGAGGAAAAAAGATTATTATACACTTAATGTCAGATCCCGAGGGAAACAGTTAGTTTTGTTCTCGTGAGAGTTCTGATGTTCGTCTCGGGAAACATCAGGACTCGAGGGAAAACAAAACTAACTGGTTTCCCGAGGGACCTGACATTAAGTGTTTTGTTATATTTCCAGACTTTCACTTCAACAGCAACAAAAGAATAACTGGAGCGAACCAAAACAGTTGACTCGGTACTTATAACAACACAAATTTAATTCTTAAAATCACTGAATAAATGATTTACAAAGTACTTTCCTTATATTATCTGCATCTTTTTTCTCCACTAGCTGCTCTTTCTCTTCTAGGATGCCTTAAAAAATCATTGCTTTTTAGCTTGAGGCTTTGTGTTGGTGTTCAAGCTGTTGTGTTCATTCACAAAAATGAAAACAGGCAGTGTTTTTCCCGCCTTCTGTCGCGCTACTTTCCACCATGCTTTGATCATGTGCTGTAATGTAGCCTGAGCGGGGTACATTGTTTATTGTATCACGATCGGGATACATTTGATTTTAGTCAAGGCCACGTGACCAAGAATCAACCAATGACAGTCCCTGTTTAGTTGAGTGAAAGTGTAGGAATATAACAATGTTCCTTACCCAAATTTAATAGCAAAACTACTAAATGTCCTAGATAACAAGACAGGATTTTCTTCGCGCCCTGAGTTAATGGGGTACGTGGCTTTACCACGCGTAAATGTTTAGTAAAAATGATACAGGTATTTTGGATTGAAAAATTATCTGACTGTTGCATTTCATCCTGTCCAGCTTTGCTCTCAATAAGTTAAACATTACAATGTTTTTATCCGATGTTACTAGGGTGAGACTGAGAAAAAAAACCTTAAGTTGTCCCTCATTGAATCATAAATTATTGGAATAAATAATTAAATTTGTTTTTCGTGCAATCACGGCACAATGATCGTACATGTAACTCTGCTTAAACGAGTAGAGGCGCGGGGCCGAGGGGCAAATTTCAAAATTGTTTTGACTCTTTTCTCGAACTCCATTTTCAGAATTACTCATAATTCTGTCTTAAGTCAACGCAAAAAGTGTAAATACTTACTTTCGCATTCGTAGCTCGCTTTGGCAAACAAAAGTATGCAAAATGCGCCATAAACGTAAAGAGCTTTCCTTGCCATGTGTGCCGCCATTTTCCTATTGGATCATACATGAGATACGTACCCGGGATCCCGTACCAGAAATCCGCTGCTCAAAAACGGCTCAGACAAGGAAGAGCGGGAAAACGAAAAACGAACGAAACGAAACGGGCGAAAACGTTCTGGTTTTGTAATTTTTGTGACGGTGTATTTACCGCAGTTTAAAGAGATAGTCGGTTTACAATAACACCAAGAGAGTGGCAGGGGTCACACAAACAACTGCCAAAAAAACCGACTGCATCGATGAATTCACACCAAAAAACCAAGGAATTCATAAAAGGTAAGTCTCCTTTATTAATTTTATGTTATAGAAAAAAAAGTAAAAAACTATGATATTTAGCGTTCGCAAACCTCAGTATTTTATTTCCCATACTAATATAAGTCTGAACGGTGGCTTGTGACGCGACACCGACAGCCGCGTGAGAAAGTAAATTTACATTACAAACTCGCAACGTGAGCTTGGGTAGCCTCCCCGCAGACGTCCTTTGGAGTTCGTTCTTCACGCATTCATTTCTCCCCCACGGACGTCCGTTGGGGAGAAATGATGCGTGACGAACGAACTCCAAAGGACGTCTGCGGGAGGCTAGGGCTTGGGACGCCTGTGGTTGAACCTCTCCTCAATGGCCACCTTGGAGGCAGAAAAAAGTGACCGTTGGTGGAGGTTCGACTGTAGGGTAAAGGGTTAGACCTTGGGGGAAGGGGCGGGGGGGAGCCTCCACGTAAAAAAAAAACTTTCTTGAGTAGCCCTGCACACAGGCCCTATGGTCTTATTCTTAATTCCTATCACTTGGAATTTCCGTTTGTTCAATCAGGATTTGACTCCCTTGGAGAGCGATCGATTAAGTTAGCTTTATATTGAGACAGGAGAGCTCCTGCATGGTTAACTATTGTTGATAATCCGGTCCATTAGAGACAAGAATAGAAAGGAAGGAAGAAAGTTGAAAAGAGTGGTCGGTTACAAATGTAATGAAAAACGCTTAATCATTCAAACAAACGTCTCCAGGCTACACGGCTCTCCCGTAGTGTTATTTATTTTCTAGTGTTACGTAGTTTGGAACTTTCTTGTCCCTCATAATCATGGGAGTGACGATCGGTCTTATTCAACCGCGGTCATCCAGACCCTGAGATGGGGGGTGGGGGGGGGGGAGGGAGGGGAGGGGGGAGTCCCGGTCTCTCACTTTGGTCTAAAAGTAAAGGGTGCCCCGACCTGTTGGCTTAGGGGAGGAGTAGGTGGTTAGTTTCCCACTAACCTAAATTGATCCGACGGGTATAAGAACGAACCAACGAAGAAAAGTCAAGAAAGAACGACTAAAAGGTTGTATGATTAGATGGAAGATTATAAACATATTTACTTGGCTCTTTTTCTTTTAGCTATATAGTTCAAGGGCGACTGTTAATTATTTTTTGTTTTTATTTCTGATAACCCGCCTCTAATTCTAACTCTAATTCCTGGGACGTCCGCGTTTGAAACGTCATCAAGTTCACGCCTGACTGCCTCAAAGCAAACAACGGTGTTTTCCTCTCTGTCCTATAATTTAATCTTGGCAGCATGAATGGTAGCCTTACCAGTGTTGAGGAAGCAGTCTGAAACAGAAGACAAGGATGCCACTTCTGCGAATTATATGGGACGAAACCACTGTAATACACAGAGCTATGGAGACCTCATCTGACCTTGTACTCATGTACAGTAGGCTCAATCCTATAAGCTGCAGCATCCAGCGAATGAGATCCAGTCCGCGGTCGCTGGTTACTGGGCCGTAATAATAACATACACCAAAGCTTATGAGGCCTGAAGAAAGCGGGAAATAAACACAGCTGTTATACAGCGTAATACGTTGACTAGGCCGTAACAACAGCAAACACATAAGCTTCTGATACCTGACTAAAGGAAAAACCTCTGCTGTTATAGAGCGTAATACAACAGTCAAAGAGTAAGAGTTTTTGAAAAATACCGACCATAATAATCTTTAATATGCAGGTTTTCCTTTTCCCATAAGAGACCTTTAGATTCTATTAAAAAAACGAGGGCGCGACGACGAGGACGAGATTTTCTCAATACTACTGAATTAAATAGTGCGCACGGGTGATCCAGCGTTCTTTTGGCGAGAAAGCGCGATAGCCGTCTTCAATCTACTACGGATTTTAGCAAGAATGTCGTAATGGCGGAAACAAGTTATTAAAATGTTCGAAAATGTATCACTTTGCGATCGGGAGAGGGCTTAACCTCCTTCGATAAAAATAACCGTACCAACGTTTCTGTTGAAAAACAAAAAGGACAATGAAGTTTTCCGGGTTGTCTATGTACGTTTACAGAATATACGCGAAAAAACTTGTGGTTAAATCTGGTCCTCATATCTATAGGTCTGTTTAGTGACATACCTATAACAACAAGATATCCAATGACCCATTGGTTGTGGTTAAGTAGAAGGTCTTTTAAGTTACTCCAAGTCCACTGGATTAAATAGGCACCCAGACACCATCCTCCAATTAAAACAGCATATGCACCTCCTCTCTGAAAAGAATGACCACACAACAACAACATTTAAAACAACGACTCAATACATGTAAATGCAATAAACTTCCCGAAAGGACATGCTTTTGGTCCTGCCATCCGTTTTTGACTTGGCCACCCAAACGAGGGGATTAGGTTGCGTTCTCATGAGATCGAACGCAGTGAAATACAACAAGTAAACACGGCGGCCTCAGTTGCGAAAATGGCATAAAACAATATGCTGAAATATTGACAACAATTCTTAAGCAAATGCATACATGCACGTTCAACATTTTTAAACTTCCTATTGCCAGCATAACAGGGGTTAACAAACGCTCACCTCTACTCGCTTTACCCCAGGACTTTGTCTAAACCATCACCCCCAAACTGCTTTGTCTTATCCAACGGATAAGTCTTAACAGTGACCCGGAACCTTTTTTGTCTCACCCCAGGGATTAATCCGTGTAGGATGTGGACAAGTAGAAGAAGTGACATGATAAGACCAAGTGATACAGCAGGGCCCAGTTGTTCAAACGTTGGGTAGCGCTATCACCTGGATAAATCACTATCCAGCGGATGGCGCTATTGATTTCCGTAATACTTATCCGCTGGATAGTGATTTATCCAGTGGAGAGCGCTGTCCAACGTTTGAACAACCAGGGCCAGATGAATAAAAGAACAAGCTGTTTCTGGGAAGAAAAACCCCAGGGTTAGGTCTTAACATTGACACCACACCGCTCTCTCTTACCCCTGGGATTAGTCTGTGCAGTATGTAGACAAGCAGAAGAAGTGACATGATAAGACCAAGTGATACACCAGATGAATAAAAGAACAAACTGTTCCTGGAAAGAAAAAACAGCTCATTAATTAATAATAGAAGAAACATTGACAACAGATTCACCGCTCTGCTATCTTGTGCGCACAAAGTTTGCAAGAACAACAACAAAGAACAAAAGTGCGACTTTCCATAGAATCTGCTCTTGATCAGTTTACTTTAGTGCACCGTGGGCAATAACAAGATCAAAGGAATAATTATGGTGTGGAAAACAACTAGACCTACTATTGAGGCGCAATGCTACAGTGTAGTTGTAAGCATACAATAGGACCTCCCTCTGCAGCGACCATTTTGTAGCAGTAGACTTAAGAAGCTTTGTTTATGGCCACCCCATGACAAAGGTCTATTGGCAGCAATTGAAAGTTGGTATGGCATCTAAATAGACTCAATGGATCAACTGTCATTACTGTCACCATCATCATCATCATCATCATCATCATCATCATTATCATCATCCTCGAATATCATCATCATCACTTTAACAAATCAAGTTCTTGTTCAAATTTACATTGTGGAAGGGGACGTTTAGATAGTATACCTACTAAGTCTTTCTGCATTGTAAAAGATGACAAGGCCTGCTAGAAATGCTGCTGGAAATTTCCAGTCAATGACTAAAACGGAAAGAGATTAACATTATTATTATTTACCCTCTACATGCACAAACGTAAGGTGCTTTTTTGCTGAAATAGAATCATATCATTATTGTCTGTATGGTGTAGACTATTGGGTTAAAGCAAGTTTATTTTTTTTATTATCCTCACATAAACTCCACATTCTTCTGATTGGGTCAAGCGTTTATTTGATGGTGTTGTTCACGGGTATTAATTATTAGTGGCAGTATTTAATTAATCAAATACAGTATGTCACTAACTTTCAATGCTATGGACATTCAAATGAAACAACTTTTGGTAAAAACTTTAAAATACAGGTGAACTACCATTTATTTTTTAGAATTTTACAAAAAGAAATTTGAATTTTGTTTTGAACTTGCTCTTTGGCCACTGTTAAGTTTGAAATGGTATTATCATGGATATTTGTCATGACCATAAAATTAAATTTCTAGAATCACCTTGAAACTCAGCTTCTATGAACACATTCCGTTTTTTTCCAAATTCCACTGCAAAGCATTAAGTTTTGAATGGTGACTGCTTGAACGTGATTTGATCCTGTATGTTAGTGCTAGTCACCAATGACTGAAACACAGATCGCCAATTTTTATTGGCTGGGTTGAGCGCGATAGCAGCTGTCAAGTGCAATACAAATAAAAAGACTGTTTTGAAATTACTGATTAAAGTAGAAAACACATGTGAGTACGACACACATGTAAGCATATTAAAATGACTCATTTACAATGCACAACATAAATACATGTAATAATGATCTGAATGTAGTGATTCAGTAATAATTAATAAATATGAATGTTGCTATAACTGTAGAATCAGACAATAATAAATTATTCACTATACCCCTTTAACACTAGGCTTGATTTCTACCGCTCTCTTAGTCCTCCTCAAGAAGAAATGGCTGGATGAGTGAGTGGCCCATAAAGTAACTTCAAAATTTATGCATCTTCAACGTCGAAAATGGGAAATGTCATTAAATACTGAACATATGTTGTGCTTTCCCTCGTCTTCACTTTGGCATTTGCCATAAAAATCAGCAGAAACACGTACTGATTGTATTTACATTGACCCTGCATTACCGGTGGACTTGACAGTCGTCTCTTTCACGTTAGCTGCAAACAACCATCATTCATGTAGAATGGAAATAATTATTGATCCAGTTCCAGTTGGTTGAATTTCAAAAACATACCTACTATTTGCCAGCTTCTCTAAGAGAATACTTTTCTTTGTTAAAAACGTTCTAAGACACAATCGCATGCCAAATCAAACAACACCTAAGTTTGGCCTGTCGTTTTAAAATCTGCTCCAGAAAAATAAAAATGATTTATGCTGTCTGCTTGATTTGAGCAGCCAACGATAATAATAATTTTGTAATAATAATAATAATAATAATAATAATAATTTAAACATATTTATACAGGATTGCTGCATCAGTTTTAAGAAAAAACTGCTATCAATGCAGGTCCTGAAAAAAAAGGTTAAAAATATCGATAAAAACAAATTACAATAGTATAAAATAGCTACGTTAAAAGGAAGATTCGAACAGTTTTAAATTCTAAAAGGTATTAAAAATTTTGTTGCACCTGTGTAGAAAAAAGGGCGCTTGGTGCATTCTAAGTTAACTTTTTCTAAGACAAGGTCATTATTATTTCTAGTTTTGTGGCGATGAATGTCACGGTTTCTTACATTAAAAAAATTAAAAGGGTATCTAGGAACTCTATTTGCAATGCACTGATTAACAAATCTTAAAATGTGTGTCCGTCTTCTATAATAGAAAGGTTCCAATTTGATCAGTTGATAGTTTTGAGGTAGCTTTGAAGTAGACAATCCTCGCTGCTCATCTTTGTAGTCCTTCAATCTTGTCATTGTTTCCTTGTCCACAGTCATGCCATACAGCATCACAATAATCTAGAACCGGGGAGACCATGGCTTTATAGAGTCTATTTGAAGCTTATAATTGGTGGTAATTAACAGTAGCAAGCCCATGTGTCCAGCTGTCTGTTCATGGGAGGACCGCGGGCTCATTTCCCAAACAGCCGCTGGTAATCGAGCCTACTATAACACCAACAGTGTTTCTCCCCATAAAATCACTGGCAAGTAACTTTCAAGTAACTACTAGAGCAACTTGTATACAATGAACATGCTAGCTGAATTAAGAAATGTTTAAGGAATTAGTGTTACTAGTCACCATTTTGTTGGGAAAAAAATTAACTTACCTATCAGCTTCATAAGATTGAACATCAGTTTTTTCAAATTGAAGAGCAACTACCACACTGCCCCACAAGTGTGACAGTGAGACATCCCTACCCGATACACACATTTTCATGTTCTTAGCTTGGAACTTGGAAAAATCCTTCTTTCTTGATAGATCTAAAATGGAGATGTCTGAAGAAGACAAATTATCAAGTTACTTTGTTGTGTTTCTGGTAGCGCTTGAAAAAAGCTCAAGCAGCTCTTACATTTTGCTTGCCCAGGGCCACTGCTTGCTTGCTAATGATTTAACCACTAGATGACTTGAATGGACCTTTGCCCATTGGACAAGTGAGGAAAAAAGATTATTATACACTTAATGTCAGATCCCGAGGGAAACAGTTAGTTTTGTTCTCGCGAGAGTTATGATGTTCGTCTCGGGAAACATCAGGACTCGAGGGAAAACAAAACTAACTGGTTTCCCGAGGGACCTGACATTAACTGTTTTGTTATATTTCCAGACTTTCACTTCAACAACAACAAAAGAATAACTGGAGCGAACCAAAACAGTTGATTCGGTACTTATAACAACACAAATTTAATTCTTAAAATCACTGAATGAATGATTTACAAAGTACTTTCCTTATATTATCTGCATCTTTTTTCTCCACTAGCTGCTCTTTCTCTTCTAGGATGCCTTTAAAAATCGTTGCTTGTTAGCTTGAGGCTTTGTGTTGGTGTTCAAGCTGTTGTGTTCATTCACAAAAATGAAAACAGGCAGTGTTTTTCCCGCCTTCTGTCATGCTACTTTCCACCATGCTTTGATCATGTGCTGTAATGTAGCCTGAGCGGGATACATTGCTTAATGTATCACGATCGGGATACATTTGATTTTAGTCAAGGCCACGTGACCAAGAATCAACCAATGGCAGTCCCTGTTTAGTTGAGTGAAAGTCTAGGAATATAACAATGTTCCTTACCCAAATTTACTAGCAAATCTACTAAAATAATGTCCTGGAAAACAAACCGCCTGGTTAGCTCAGTTGGGAGCGCCCGGTCTACTGAGCGGGAGGTCGCGGGTTCAAACCCGGCCGGACCAACACTCAGGATCTTTAAATAACTGAGGAGAAAGTGCTGCCTTTGTAATAATATCTGCAAACGGCTAGACTCTCTAGTCTTCTCGGATAAGGACGATAAACCGTAGACCCCGTCTCACAAGCCCTTGCACATGTATTAAATCTGTGGGACGTTAAAGAACCCACACACTCTTCGTAAAGAGTAGGGCATGTAGTGCCCAGTGTAGTGGCCTATCTCACTTTCACACTCATGTATGGGGGCATCATTACTCATTCCTTCACTACTTGTAAACTGCACCTTAAGCAGTCTGGCAAAGTCCCCAACCAGTGTTGTAAATTATCCCTGAAAAGCCCTGAGGGGAGTGGATAATAAGATATTTACAATTACAATTACAATTACAGGACTTTCTTCGCACCCTGATTTAATGGGGTACGTGGCTTTACCACGCATAAATGTTTAGTAAAAATGATACAGGTATTTTGGACTGGAAAATTATTGCATTTCATCCTGTCCAGCTTTGCCATCAATAAGTTAAACATTACAATGTTTTTATCCAATGTTACAAGGGTGAGACTGAGAAAAAAAACCTTAAGTTGTCCTTCATTGAATTATAAATTATTGGAATAAATAAGTAAATTTGTTTTTCGCGCGATCACAGCACAATGAACGTAACTCTGCTTAAACGAGTAGAGGCGCGGGGCCGAGAGGCAAATTTCAAAATTGTTTTAACTCTTTTCTCGAACTCCATTTTCAGAATCAGTCAAAATTCTGTCTTAAGTCAACGCAAAAAGTGTAAATACTTACTTTCGCAATCGTAGCTCGCTTTGGCAAACAAAAGTATGCAAAATGCGCCATAAACGTAAAGAGCTTTCCTTGCCATGTGTGCCGCCATTTTCCTATAGGATCGTACATTAGCTACGTACCCGGGAGTACCAGAAATCCGCTGTTCAAAAACGGCTCAGACAAGGAAGGGCGGGAAATCTCTCTAAAGCCTTTTAGTAAAGTTACGAGTCCATTTAATACTTCTAGCTAGAGATACAAGTCTAGCAGAACCGAAATAATAAGACTGAAAGGCCAACAGTGGCAAATGAAGTAGCTGAGTCTCACGTCAAATAGAGTGAGTGAAAATATTATGCCCTCGGGGGTATTCCTATGCCATGGCCTTTTCGGGGAAATACGTCCGAAAGGGGTACCTTTTTCGGGCTTCAGGTATGCAGGAAAGGGTAGGGATTTCAATACTAATGAAAAACAAAAAATCCGTCTGTAAAAAGGGCTAACAAATGCACTGTTTTTGGCGAAAACGTTTTGGTTTTGTAATTTTTGTGACGGTGTATTTACCGCAGTTTAAAGAGATAGTCGGTTTACAATAACACGAAGAGAGTGGCAGGGGTCACACAAACAACTGCCGAAAAAACCGACTGCATCGATGAATTCACAACAAAAAACCAAGGAATTCATAAAAGGTAAGTCTGAACCGTGGCTTGTAACGCGACACTGACAGCCTCGTGAGAAAGTAAATTTACATTACAAACTCGCAACGTGAGCTTGGGTAGCCTCCCCGCAGACGTCCTTTGGGCTTCGTTCGTCACGCATTCATTTCTTCCCCCGGACGTCCGTTGGGGAGAAATGAATGCGTGACGAACGAACTCCAAAGGACGTCTGGGGGGGAGGCTAGGGCTTGGGACGCCTGTGGTTGAACCTCTCCTCAATGGCCACCTTGAGGCAGAAAAAAACCGTCCGTTGTTGAGAAGTGGCCGTTAGTGGAGGTTCGACTGTAGGGTAAAGGGTTAGACCTTGGGGAGGGGGGCTCCACTTAAAAATAAAACTTTCTTGCGTTCCCCTGCAGGCAGGCCCTATGGTCTTATTCTCAATTCCTATCACTTGGAATTCCCTTTGTTCAATAAGGATTGGACTCCCTTGAGGAGAAATCGATGAAAGATTCTGTATATTGAGGTAGGAGAGCTCCTGCATGAGGCCGGTTAACTATTGTTGATAATCCGGTCCATTAGAGACAAGAATAGAAAGGAAGGAAGAAAGTTGAAAAGAGTGGTCGGTTACAAATGTAATGAAAAACGCTTAATCATTCAAACAAACGCCTCCAGGCTACACGGCTCTCGCGTAGTGTTATTTATTTTCTAGTGTTACGTAGTTTGGAACTTTCTTGTCCCTCATAATCATGGGAGTGACGATCGGTCTTATTTAACCGCGGTCATCCAGACCCTGAGATGGGGGGGAAGGGAGGGGGGGGAGTCCCGGTCTCAAAAATTTTTTTTCGGCCCTTCGGGCCTCACTTTGGTCTAAAAGTAAAGGGTGCCCCGGCCTCCCGGGTGCCTCCCCTGGATCCGCCACTGAGGGTTGTTGTACACTAGCGACAAATCCCTACGGGTTTGAGCACAAATGCGCAAGAAACCTTTCTGTGCAAGCGGTGTTGACCACATCTGCGCTTTTAGCTTTTATTGCCATAGCAAATTGAGCACAACAACCATTTCGGACGATTCAATCAATTCAAACCACACTACCGTCTCAAAGATGCTATAAGAATGATTTTTATTACCTTGATAATCTCAAAACTCCCTTTCAATTAACGATAGAAGACGTTAAGACAACTGGTCACATTCTATTAAAATAGACGAAAACAACTCATTCAAATTTTACAGTGAAAGCTTTGCAAGTCCCAACCCACACGATAAATGTATTTTTTTTTAGCTTATATGTTGAGTACGCGCTATGATTGGCCAGTTTAAAATGCTATTGAAAATTTGCCATTGAAGGGAAAACTCGAAACGCATTTCCGGTAATTCGTTGAGTCCGTTGGGGGGCTAGAACAAGGATATCAGCGCTGCTGCTCAGAAGTTACTAACGGGGTTAGATTACGTCTGCGAAGCAGGCTAAGCCCGGACGGGTGGGATCAATTAAGATTTCCGGGAAACTGACCACCTACCCCTCCCCTAAGCCAACATTATCACTTACTTCTCACTTAGGGCAAAATGTTGGCTTAGGGAGGGGAGTAGGTGGTTAGTTTCCACTAACCTAAATTGATCTGACGGGTATAAGAACGAACCAACGAAGAAAAGTCAAGAAAGAACGACTAAAAGGTTGTATGATTAGATGGAAGATTATAAACATATTTACTTGGCTCTTTTTCTTTTAGCTATATAGTTCAAGGGCGACTGTTAATTATTTTTTGTTTTTATTCCTGATAACCCGCCTCTAATTCTAACTCTAATTCCTGGGACGTCCGCGTTTGAAACGTCATCAAGTTCACGCCTGACTGCCTCAAAGCAAACAACGGTGTTTTCCTCTCTGTCCTATAATTTAATCTTGGCAGCATGAATGGTAGCCTTACCAGTGTTGAGGAAGCAGTCTGAAACGAATTACATGGGACCAAACCACTTGAATACACAGAGCTATGGAGACCTCATCTGACCTTGTACTCATGTACAGTAGGCTCAATCCTATAAGCTGCAGCATCCAGCGAATGAGATCCAGTCCGCGGTCGCTGGTTACTGGGCCGTAATAATAACATACACCAAAGCTTATGACGCCTGGAGAAAGCGGGAAATAAACACAGCTGTTATACAGCGTAATACGTTGACTAGGCCGTAACAACAGCAAACACATAAGCTTCTGATACCTGACGAAAGGAAAAACTCTGCTGTTATAGAGCGTAATACGACAGTCAAAGAGTAAGAGTTTTTGAAAAATGCCGACCATAATAATCTTTAATATGCAGGTTTTCCTTTTCCCATAAGAGACCTTTAGATTCTATTAAAAAAAAACGAGGGCGCGACGACGAGGACGAGATTTTCTCAATACTACTGAAATAAGTAGTGCGCACGCGTGATCCAGCGTTCTTTTGGCGAGAAAGCGCGATAGCCGTCTTCAATCTACTACGGATTTTAGCAAGAATGTCGTAATGGCGGAAACAAGTTATTAAAATGTTCGAAAATGTATCACTTTGCGATCGGGAGAGGGCTTAACCTCCTTCGATAAAAATAACCGTACTAACGTTTCGGTTGAAAAATACAAAAAGGACAATCAAGTTTTCCGGGTTGTCTATGTACGTTTAGAGAATATACGCGAAAAAAACTTGTGGTTAAATCTGGTCCTCATATCTATAGGTCTCTTTAGTGACATACCTATAACAACAAGATATCCAATGACCCATTGGTTGTGGTTAAGTAGAAGGTCTTTTAAGTTACTCCAAGTCCACTGGATTAAATAGGCACCCAGACTCCATCCTCCAATTAAAACAGCATATGCACCTCCTCTCTGAAAAGAAATGACCACACAACAACAACATTTAAAACAACGACTCCAATACATGTAAATGCAATAAACTTCCCGAAAGGACATGCTTTTGGTCCTGCCATCCGTTTTTGACTTGGCCACCCAAAACGCGGGGATTAGGCTGCGTTCTCATGAGGTCGAACGCAGTGAAATACAACAAGTAAACACGGCGGCCTCAGTTGCGAAAATGGCATAAAACAATATGCTGAAATATTGACAACAATTCTTAAGCAAATGCATACATGCACGTTCAACATTTTTCAACTTCCAATCCTATTGCCTGCACAACAGGGGTTAACAAACGCTCACCTCTGCTCGCTTTACCTCAGGACTTTGTCTAAACCATCACCCCAAACTGCTTTGTCTTACCCAAGGGATAAGTCTTAATTAACAGTGGCCCCAAACCTTTTGTCTCACCCCAGGGATTAATCCGTGTAGCATGTGGACAAGTAGAAGAAGTGACATGATAAGACCAAGTGATACAGCAGGGCCCAGTTGTTCAAACGTTGGATAGCGCTATCAACTGGACAAATCACTATCCAACGGATAGCGTAATTGATTTCCGTAATACTTATTCACTGGATAGTGATTTATGCAGTGGATAGCGCTATCCAACGTTTGAACAACCAGAGCCAGATGAATAAAAGAACAAGCTGTTCCTGGAAAGAAAATACCCGAGGATAAGTCTTAACATTGACCCCACACCGTTTTTTTTCTTACCCCTGGGATTAGTCTGTGCAGTATGTAGACAAGCAGAAGAAGTGACATGATAAGACCAAGTGATACACCAGATGAATAAAAGAACAAACTGTTCCTGGAAAGAAAAACAGCTCTTTAATTAATAATAGGAGAAATGTGAACAACAGATCCACAGCTCTCCTATCTTGTGCGCACAAAGTTTGCAAGAACAACAACAAAGAACAAAAGTGTGACTTTCCATAGAATCTGCTTTTGATCAGTTTACTTTAGTGCACCATGGGCAATAACAAGATCAGATTAATAATTATGGTGTGAAAAACAACTAGACCTACTACTGAGGTGCAATGCTACAGTGTAGTTGTAAGCATACAATAGACCTCCCTCACGCAGCGATCATTATGTCTCAGTAAACTTAAAAAGCTTTGTTTATGAACAGCTAGCCTCGTTCTCTCTAAGAGGCTATCCATGCATAAACAGAGCTTTTTAGATCTCCTAAGACAAAATGGCCACCCCATGACAAAGGTCTATTGGCAGCAATTGAAAGTTGGTATGGCATCTAAATAGACTCAATGGATCAACTGTCATTACTGTCACCATCATCATCATCATCATCATCATCATCATCATCATTATCATCATCCTCGAATATCATCATCATCACTTTAACAAATCAAGTTCTTGTTAAAATTTACATTGTGGAAGGGGACGTTTAGATAGTATACCTACTAAGTCTTTCTGCATTGTAAAAGATGACAAGGCCTGCTAGAAATGCTGCTGGAAATTTCCAGTCAATGACTAAAATGGAAAGAGATTAACAACTTTATTATTTACCCTCTACATGCACAAAAGTAAGGTGCTTTTTTGCTGAAATAGAATCATATCATTATTGTCTGCATGGTGTAGACTATTGGGTTAAAGCAAGTTTATTTTTTTATTATCCTCACATAAACTCCACATTCTTCTGATTGGGTGAGCGTTTATTTGATGGTGTTGTTCACGGTATTAATTACTGGCAGTACTTACTTAATCAAATACAGTATGTCACTAACTTTCAATGCTATGGACATTCAAATGAAACAACTTTTGGTAAAAACTTTAAAATACAGGTGAACTGCCATTTATTTTTTATGATTTTACAAAAAGAAATTTGAATTTTCTTTTGAACTTGCTCTTTGGCCACTGTTAAGTTTGAAATGGTATTATCATGGATATTTGTCATGACCATAAAATTAAATTATTTTGTAGAATCACCTTGAAACTCAGCTTCTATGAACACATTCCGTTTTTTTCCAAATTCCACTGCAAAGCATGAAGTTTTGAATGGTGACTGCTTGAATGTGATTTGATCCTGTATGTTAGTGCTAGTCACCAATGACTGAAACACAGATCCCCAAGTTTTATTGGCTGGGTTGAGCGCATGGCAGCTGTCAAGTGCAATACAAATAAAAAAGAATGTTTTGAAATTACTGATTAAAGCAGAAAACACATGTGAGGAGGCAACACATGTAAGCATATTAAAATGACTCATTTACAATGCACAACATAAATACATGTAATAATGATCTGAATGTAGTGATCCAGTAATAATTAATAAATATGAATGTTGCTATAACTGTAGAATCAGACAATAATAAATTATTTACTATACCCCTTTAACACTAGGCACGATTTCCATCGCTCTCTTAGTCCTCCCCAAGAAGAGATGGCTGGATGAGTGAATGGCCATAAAGTAACTTTATGCATCTTCAACGTCGAAAATGGGAAATGTCATTAAATACTAAACATATGTTGTGCTTTGCCTCGTCTTCACTTTGGTATTAATTTTTTTGCCATAAAAATCAGCAGAAACAAGTACTGATTGTATTTACATTGACCCTGCATTACCGGTGGACTTGACAGTCGTCTCTTTCACGTTAGCTGCAAACAACCATCATTCATGTAGAATGGAAATAATTATTGATCCAGTTCCAGTTGGTTGAATTTCAAAAACATACCTACTATTTGCCAGCTTCTCTAAGAGAATACTTTTCTTTGTTAAAAAACGTTCTAAGACACAATCGCACACCAAATCAAACAACACCTAAGTTTGGCCTGCCGTTTAAAATCTGCTCCAGAAAAATAAAATGATTTATGCTGTCTGCTTGATTTGAGCAGCCAACGATAATAATAATTTTGTAATAATAATAATAATAATAATAATAATAATTTAAACATATTTATACAGGATTGCTGCATCAGTTTTAAGAAAAAACTGCTATCAATGCAGGTCCTGAAAAAAAAAGGTTAAAAATATGGATAAAAACAAATTACAATAGTATAAAATAGCTACGTTAACAGGAAGATTCGAACAGTTTTAAATTCTAAAAGGTATTAAAAATTTTGTTGCACCTGTGTAGAAAAAAGCGCGCTTGGTGCATTCTAAGTTAACTAATCTTTTTCTAAGATAAGGTCATTATTATGTCTAGTTTTTTGGCGATGAATGTCACGGTTTCTTACATTAAAACAATTAAAAGGGTATCTGGGAACTCTATTTGCAATGCCATCATTAACAAATCTTAAAATGTGGGTCTGTCTTCTATAATAGAGAGGTTCCAATTTGATCAGTTGACAGTTTTGAGGCAGCTTTGAAGTAGACAATCCTCGCTGCTCATCTTTGTAGTCACTCAATCTTCTCATTGTTTCCTTGTCAACAGTCATGCCAAACAGCATCACAATAATCTAGAACCGGGAGGACCATGGCTCTATAGAGTCTATTTGCAGCTTATGATTGGTGGTAATTAACAATAGCAAGCCCATGCGTCCAGCTGTCTGTTCATGGGAGGACCAGCGGGCTCATTTCGAAACAGCCGCTGGTAATCGAGCCTACTTTAACACCAACAGTGTTTCTCCTCATAAAATCACTGGCAAGTAACTTTCAATACAAGTAACTACTAGAGCAACTTGTATACAATGAAGATGCTAGCTGAATTAAGAAATGTTTAAGGAATTAGTGTTACTAGTCACCATTTTGTTGGGAAAAAAATTAACTTACCTATCAGCTTCATAAGATTGAACATCAGTTTTGTCAAATTGAAGAGCAACTACCACACTGCCCCACAAGTGTGACAGTGAGACATCCCTACCCGATACACACATTTTCATGTTCTTAGCTTGGAACTTGGAAAAATCCTTCTTTCTTGATAGATCGAAAATGGAGATGTCTGAAGAAGACAAATTATCAAGTTACTTTGTTGTGTTTCTGGTAGGGCTTGAAAAAAGCTCAAGCAGGTCTTACATTTTGCTTGCCCAGGGCCACTGCTTGCTTGTTAATGATTTAACTACTAGATGACTTGAATGGACCTTTGCCCATTGGACAACTGAGGAAAAAAGATTATTATACACTTAATGTCAGATCCCGAGGGAAACAGTTAGTTTTGTTCTCGTGAGAGTTCTGATGTTCGTCTCGGGAAACATCAGGACTCGAGGGAAAACAAAATTAACTGGTTTCCCAAGGGACCTGACATTATAAGTGTTTTGTTATATTTCTAAACTTTCACTTCAACAGCAACAAAAGAATATCACTCCCAGGAGCGAACCAAAACAGTTGACTTGGTACTTATAGCAACACAAGTGTAATTCTTAAAATCACTGAATAAATGATTACAAAGTACTTTCCTTATATTATCTGCATCTTTTTCTCCACTAGCTGCTCTTTCTCTTCTAGGATGCCTTAAAAAATCATTGCTTTTTTAGCTTGAGGCTTTGTGTTGGTGTTCAAGCTGTTGTGTTCATTCACAAAAATGAAAACAGGCAGTGTTTTTTCCGCCTTCTGTCGCGCTACTTTCCACCATGCTTTGATCATGTGCTGTAATGTAGCCTGAGCGGGGTACATTGTTTATTGTATCACGATCGGGATACATTTGATTTTAGTCAAGGCCACGTGACCAAGAATCAACCAATGACAGTCCCTGTTTAGTTGAGTGAAAGTGTAGGAATATAACAATGTTCCTTACCCAAATTTAATAGCAAAACTACTAAATGTCCTAGATAACAAGACAGGATTTTCTTCGCGCCCTGAGTTAATGGGGTACGTGGCTTTACCACGCGTAAATGTTTAGTAAAAATGATACAGGTATTTTGGATTGAAAAATTATCTGACTGTTGCATTTCATCCTGTCCAGCTTTGCTCTCAATAAGTTAAACATTACAATGTTTTTATCCGATGTTACTAGGGTGAGACTGAGAAAAAAAACCTTAAGTTGTCCCTCATTGAATCATAAATTATTGGAATAAATAATTAAATTTGTTTTTCGTGCAATCACGGCACAATGATCGTACATGTAACTCTGCTTAAACGAGTAGAGGCGCGGGGCCGAGGGGCAAATTTCAAAATTGTTTTGACTCTTTTCTCGAACTCCATTTTCAGAATTACTCATAATTCTGTCTTAAGTCAACGCAAAAAGTGTAAATACTTACTTTCGCATTCGTAGCTCGCTTTGGCAAACAAAAGTATGCAAAATGCGCCATAAACGTAAAGAGCTTTCCTTGCCATGTGTGCCGCCATTTTCCTATTGGATCATACATGAGATACGTACCCGGGATCCCGTACCAGAAATCCGCTGCTCAAAAACGGCTCAGACAAGGAAGAGCGGGAAAACGAAAAACGAACGAAACGAAACGGGCGAAAACGTTCTGGTTTTGTAATTTTTGTGACGGTGTATTTACCGCAGTTTAAAGAGATAGTCGGTTTACAATAACACCAAGAGAGTGGCAGGGGTCACACAAACAACTGCCAAAAAAACCGACTGCATCGATGAATTCACACCAAAAAACCAAGGAATTCATAAAAGGTAAGTCTCCTTTATTAATTTTATGTTATAGAAAAAAAAGAAAAAAACTATGATATTTAGCGTTCGCAAACCTCAGTATTTTATTTCCCATACTAATATAAGTCTGAACGGTGGCTTGTGACGCGACACCGACAGCCGCGTGAGAAAGTAAATTTACATTACAAACTCGCAACGTGAGCTTGGGTAGCCTCCCCGCAGACGTCCTTTGGAGTTCGTTCTTCACGCATTCATTTCTCCCCCACGGACGTCCGTTGGGGAGAAATGATGCGTGACGAACGAACTCCAAAGGACGTCTGCGGGAGGCTAGGGCTTGGGACGCCTGTGGTTGAACCTCTCCTCAATGGCCACCTTGGAGGCAGAAAAAAGTGACCGTTGGTGGAGGTTCGACTGTAGGGTAAAGGGTTAGACCTTGGGGGAAGGGGCGGGGGGGAGCCTCCACGTAAAAAAAAAACTTTCTTGAGTAGCCCTGCACACAGGCCCTATGGTCTTATTCTTAATTCCTATCACTTGGAATTTCCGTTTGTTCAATCAGGATTTGACTCCCTTGGAGAGCGATCGATTAAGTTAGCTTTATATTGAGACAGGAGAGCTCCTGCATGGTTAACTATTGTTGATAATCCGGTCCATTAGAGACAAGAATAGAAAGGAAGGAAGAAAGTTGAAAAGAGTGGTCGGTTACAAATGTAATGAAAAACGCTTAATCATTCAAACAAACGTCTCCAGGCTACACGGCTCTCCCGTAGTGTTATTTATTTTCTAGTGTTACGTAGTTTGGAACTTTCTTGTCCCTCATAATCATGGGAGTGACGATCGGTCTTATTCAACCGCGGTCATCCAGACCCTGAGATGGGGGGGGGGGGGGAGGGAGGGAGGGGAGTCCCGGTCTCTCACTTTGGTCTAAAAGTAAAGGGTGCCCCGACCTGTTGGCTTAGGGAGGAGTAGGTGGTTAGTTTCCCACTAACCTAAATTGATCCGACGGGTATAAGAACGAACCAACGAAGAAAAGTCAAGAAAGAACGACTAAAAGGTTGTATGATTAGATGGAAGATTATAAACATATTTACTTGGCTCTTTTTTCTTTTAGCTATATAGTTCAAGGGCGACTGTTAATTATTTTTTTGTTTTTATTTCTGATAACCCGCCTCTAATTCTAACTCTAATTCCTGGGACGTCCGCGTTTGAAACGTCATCAAGTTCACGCCTGACTGCCTCAAAGCAAACAACGGTGTTTTCCTCTCTGTCCTATAATTTAATCTTGGCAGCATGAATGGTAGCCTTACCAGTGTTGAGGAAGCAGTCTGAAACAGAAGACAAGGATGCCACTTCTGCGAATTATATGGGACGAAACCACTGTAATACACAGAGCTATGGAGACCTCATCTGACCTTGTACTCATGTACAGTAGGCTCAATCCTATAAGCTGCAGCATCCAGCGAATGAGATCCAGTCCGCGGTCGCTGGTTACTGGGCCGTAATAATAACATACACCAAAGCTTATGAGGCCTGAAGAAAGCGGGAAATAAACACAGCTGTTATACAGCGTAATACGTTGACTAGGCCGTAACAACAGCAAACACATAAGCTTCTGATACCTGACTAAAGGAAAAACCTCTGCTGTTATAGAGCGTAATACAACAGTCAAAGAGTAAGAGTTTTTGAAAAATACCGACCATAATAATCTTTAATATGCAGGTTTTCCTTTTCCCATAAGAGACCTTTAGATTCTATTAAAAAAAACGAGGGCGCGACGACGAGGACGAGATTTTCTCAATACTACTGAATTAAATAGTGCGCACGGGTGATCCAGCGTTCTTTTGGCGAGAAAGCGCGATAGCCGTCTTCAATCTACTACGGATTTTAGCAAGAATGTCGTAATGGCGGAAACAAGTTATTAAAATGTTCGAAAATGTATCACTTTGCGATCGGGAGAGGGCTTAACCTCCTTCGATAAAAATAACCGTACCAACGTTTCTGTTGAAAAAAACAAAAAAGGACAATGAAGTTTTCCGGGTTGTCTATGTACGTTTACAGAATATACGCGAAAAAACTTGTGGTTAAATCTGGTCCTCATATCTATAGGTCTGTTTAGTGACATACCTATAACAACAAGATATCCAATGACCCATTGGTTGTGGTTAAGTAGAAGGTCTTTTAAGTTACTCCAAGTCCACTGGATTAAATAGGCACCCAGACACCATCCTCCAATTAAAACAGCATATGCACCTCCTCTCTGAAAAGAATGACCACACAACAACAACATTTAAAACAACGACTCCAATACATGTAAATGCAATAAACTTCCCGAAAGGACATGCTTTTGGTCCTGCCATCCGTTTTTGACTTGGCCACCCAAACGAGGGGATTAGGTTGCGTTCTCATGAGATCGAACGCAGTGAAATACAACAAGTAAACACGGCGGCCTCAGTTGCGAAAATGGCATAAAACAATATGCTGAAATATTGACAACAATTCTTAAGCAAATGCATACATGCACGTTCAACATTTTTAAACTTCCTATTGCCAGCATAACAGGGGTTAACAAACGCTCACCTCTACTCGCTTTACCCCAGGACTTTGTCTAAACCATCACCCCCAAACTGCTTTGTCTTATCCAACGGATAAGTCTTAACAGTGACCCGGAACCTTTTTGTCTCACCCCAGGGATTAATCCGTGTAGGATGTGGACAAGTAGAAGAAGTGACATGATAAGACCAAGTGATACAGCAGGGCCCAGTTGTTCAAACGTTGGGTAGCGCTATCACCTGGATAAATCACTATCCAGCGGATGGCGCTATTGATTTCCGTAATACTTATCCGCTGGATAGTGATTTATCCAGTGGAGAGCGCTGTCCAACGTTTGAACAACCAGGGCCAGATGAATAAAAGAACAAGCTGTTTCTGGGAAGAAAAACCCCAGGGTTAGGTCTTAACATTGACACCACACCGCTCTCTCTTACCCCTGGGATTAGTCTGTGCAGTATGTAGACAAGCAGAAGAAGTGACATGATAAGACCAAGTGATACACCAGATGAATAAAAGAACAAACTGTTCCTGGAAAGAAAAAACAGCTCATTAATTAATAATAGAAGAAACATTGACAACAGATTCACCGCTCTGCTATCTTGTGCGCACAAAGTTTGCAAGAACAACAACAAAGAACAAAAGTGCGACTTTCCATAGAATCTGCTCTTGATCAGTTTACTTTAGTGCACCGTGGGCAATAACAAGATCAAAGGAATAATTATGGTGTGGAAAACAACTAGACCTACTATTGAGGCGCAATGCTACAGTGTAGTTGTAAGCATACAATAGGACCTCCCTCTGCAGCGACCATTTTGTAGCAGTAGACTTAAGAAGCTTTGTTTATGGCCACCCCATGACAAAGGTCTATTGGCAGCAATTGAAAGTTGGTATGGCATCTAAATAGACTCAATGGATCAACTGTCATTACTGTCACCATCATCATCATCATCATCATCATCATCATCATTATCATCATCCTCGAATATCATCATCATCACTTTAACAAATCAAGTTCTTGTTCAAATTTACATTGTGGAAGGGGACGTTTAGATAGTATACCTACTAAGTCTTTCTGCATTGTAAAAGATGACAAGGCCTGCTAGAAATGCTGCTGGAAATTTCCAGTCAATGACTAAAACGGAAAGAGATTAACATTATTATTATTTACCCTCTACATGCACAAACGTAAGGTGCTTTTTTGCTGAAATAGAATCATATCATTATTGTCTGTATGGTGTAGACTATTGGGTTAAAGCAAGTTTATTTTTTTATTATCCTCACATAAACTCCACATTCTTCTGATTGGGTCAAGCGTTTATTTGATGGTGTTGTTCACGGGTATTAATTATTAGTGGCAGTATTTAATTAATCAAATACAGTATGTCACTAACTTTCAATGCTATGGACATTCAAATGAAACAACTTTTGGTAAAAACTTTAAAATACAGGTGAACTACCATTTATTTTTTAGAATTTTACAAAAAGAAATTTGAATTTTGTTTTGAACTTGCTCTTTGGCCACTGTTAAGTTTGAAATGGTATTATCATGGATATTTGTCATGACCATAAAATTAAATTTCTAGAATCACCTTGAAACTCAGCTTCTATGAACACATTCCGTTTTTTTCCAAATTCCACTGCAAAGCATTAAGTTTTGAATGGTGACTGCTTGAACGTGATTTGATCCTGTATGTTAGTGCTAGTCACCAATGACTGAAACACAGATCGCCAATTTTTATTGGCTGGGTTGAGCGCATAGCAGCTGTCAAGTGCAATACAAATAAAAAAGACTGTTTTGAAATTACTGATTAAAGTAGAAAACACATGTGAGTACGACACACATGTAAGCATATTAAAATGACTCATTTACAATGCACAACATAAATACATGTAATAATGATCTGAATGTAGTGATTCAGTAATAATTAATAAATATGAATGTTGCTATAACTGTAGAATCAGACAATAATAAATTATTCACTATACCCCTTTAACACTAGGCTTGATTTCTACCGCTCTCTTAGTCCTCCTCAAGAAGAAATGGCTGGATGAGTGAGTGGCCCATAAAGTAACTTCAAAATTTATGCATCTTCAACGTCGAAAATGGGAAATGTCATTAAATACTGAACATATGTTGTGCTTTCCCTCGTCTTCACTTTGGCATTTGCCATAAAAATCAGCAGAAACACGTACTGATTGTATTTACATTGACCCTGCATTACCGGTGGACTTGACAGTCGTCTCTTTCACGTTAGCTGCAAACAACCATCATTCATGTAGAATGGAAATAATTATTGATCCAGTTCCAGTTGGTTGAATTTCAAAAACATACCTACTATTTGCCAGCTTCTCTAAGAGAATACTTTTCTTTGTTAAAAAACGTTCTAAGACACAATCGCATGCCAAATCAAACAACACCTAAGTTTGGCCTGTCGTTTAAAATCTGCTCCAGAAAAATAAAAATGATTTATGCTGTCTGCTTGATTTGAGCAGCCAACGATAATAATAATTTTGTAATAATAATAATAATAATAATAATAATAATTTAAACATATTTATACAGGATTGCTGCATCAGTTTTAAGAAAAAACTGCTATCAATGCAGGTCCTGAAAAAAAAGGTTAAAAATATCGATAAAAACAAATTACAATAGTATAAAATAGCTACGTTAAAAGGAAGATTCGAACAGTTTTAAATTCTAAAAGGTATTAAAAATTTTGTTGCACCTGTGTAGAAAAAAGGGCGCTTGGTGCATTCTAAGTTAACTTTTTCTAAGACAAGGTCATTATTATTTCTAGTTTTGTGGCGATGAATGTCACGGTTTCTTACATTAAAAAAATTAAAAGGGTATCTAGGAACTCTATTTGCAATGCACTGATTAACAAATCTTAAAATGTGTGTCCGTCTTCTATAATAGAAAGGTTCCAATTTGATCAGTTGATAGTTTTGAGGTAGCTTTGAAGTAGACAATCCTCGCTGCTCATCTTTGTAGTCCTTCAATCTTGTCATTGTTTCCTTGTCCACAGTCATGCCATACAGCATCACAATAATCTAGAACCGGGAGACCATGGCTTTATAGAGTCTATTTGAAGCTTATAATTGGTGGTAATTAACAGTAGCAAGCCCATGTGTCCAGCTGTCTGTTCATGGGAGGACCGCGGGCTCATTTCCCAAACAGCCGCTGGTGTCGAGCCTACTATAACACCAACAGTGTTTCTCCCCATAAAATCACTGGCAAGTAACTTTCAAGTAACTACTAGAGCAACTTGTATACAATGAACATGCTAGCTGAATTAAGAAATGTTTAAGGAATTAGTGTTACTAGTCACCATTTTGTTGGGAAAAAAATTAACTTACCTATCAGCTTCATAAGATTGAACATCAGTTTTTTCAAATTGAAGAGCAACTACCACACTGCCCCACAAGTGTGACAGTGAGACATCCCTACCCGATACACACATTTTCATGTTCTTAGCTTGGAACTTGGAAAAATCCTTCTTTCTTGATAGATCTAAAATGGAGATGTCTGAAGAAGACAAATTATCAAGTTACTTTGTTGTGTTTCTGGTAGCGCTTGAAAAAAGCTCAAGCAGCTCTTACATTTTGCTTGCCCAGGGCCACTGCTTGCTTGCTAATGATTTAACCACTAGATGACTTGAATGGACCTTTGCCCATTGGACAAGTGAGGAAAAAAGATTATTATACACTTAATGTCAGATCCCGAGGGAAACAGTTAGTTTTGTTCTCGCGAGAGTTATGATGTTCGTCTCGGGAAACATCAGGACTCGGGGAAAACAAAACTAACTGGTTTTCGAGGACCTGACATTAACTGTTTTGTTATATTTCCAGACTTTCACTTCAACAACAACAAAAGAATAACTGGAGCGAACCAAAACAGTTGATTCGGTACTTATAACAACACAAATTTAATTCTTAAAATCACTGAATGAATGATTTACAAAGTACTTTCCTTATATTATCTGCATCTTTTTTCTCCACTAGCTGCTCTTTCTCTTCTAGGATGCCTTTAAAAATCGTTGCTTGTTAGCTTGAGGCTTTGTGTTGGTGTTCAAGCTGTTGTGTTCATTCACAAAAATGAAAACAGGCAGTGTTTTTCCCGCCTTCTGTCATGCTACTTTCCACCATGCTTTGATCATGTGCTGTAATGTAGCCTGAGCGGGATACATTGCTTAATGTATCACGATCGGGATACATTTGATTTTAGTCAAGGCCACGTGACCAAGAATCAACCAATGGCAGTCCCTGTTTAGTTGAGTGAAAGTCTAGGAATATAACAATGTTCCTTACCCAAATTTACTAGCAAATCTACTAAAATAATGTCCTGGAAAACAACCGCCGCCTGGTTAGCTCAGTTGGGAGAGCGCCGGTCTACTGAGCGGGAGGTCGCGGGTTCAAACCCCGGCCGGACCAACACTCAGGATCTTTAAATAACTGAGGAGAAAGTGCTGCCTTTGTAATAATATCTGCAAACGGCTAGACTCTCTAGTCTTCTCGGATAAGGACGATAAACCGTAGACCCCGTCTCACAAGCCCTTGCACATGTATTAAATCTGTGGGACGTTAAAGAACCCACACACTCTTCGTAAAGAGTAGGGCATGTAGTGCCCAGTGTAGTGGCCTATCTCACTTTCACACTCATGTATGGGGGCATCATTACTCATTCCTTCACTACTTGTAAACTGCACCTTAAGCAGTCTGGCAAAGTCCCCCAACCAGTGTTGTAAATTATCCCTGAAAAGCCCTGAGGGGAGTGGATAATAAGATATTTACAATTACAATTACAATTACAGGACTTTCTTCGCACCCTGATTTAATGGGGTACGTGGCTTTACCACGCATAAATGTTTAGTAAAAATGATACAGGTATTTTGGACTGGAAAATTATTGCATTTCATCCTGTCCAGCTTTGCCATCAATAAGTTAAACATTACAATGTTTTTATCCAATGTTACAAGGGTGAGACTGAGAAAAAAAACCTTAAGTTGTCCTTCATTGAATTATAAATTATTGGAATAAATAAGTAAATTTGTTTTTCGCGCGATCACAGCACAATGAACGTAACTCTGCTTAAACGAGTAGAGGCGCGGGGCCGAGAGGCAAATTTCAAAATTGTTTTAACTCTTTTCTCGAACTCCATTTTCAGAATCAGTCAAAATTCTGTCTTAAGTCAACGCAAAAGTGTAAATACTTACTTTCGCAATCGTAGCTCGCTTTGGCAAACAAAAGTATGCAAAATGCGCCATAAACGTAAAGAGCTTTCCTTGCCATGTGTGCCGCCATTTTCCTATAGGATCGTACATTAGCTACGTACGGGAGTACCAGAAATCCGCTGTTCAAAAACGGCTCAGACAAGGAAGGGCGGGAAATCTCTCTAAAGCCTTTTAGTAAAGTTACGAGTCCATTTAATACTTCTAGCTAGAGATACAAGTCTAGCAGAACCGAAATAATAAGACTGAAAGGCCAACAGTGGCAAATGAAGTAGCTGAGTCTCACGTCAAATAGAGTGAGTGAAAATATTATGCCCTCGGGGGTATTCCTATGCCATGGCCTTTTCGGGGAAATACGTCCGAAAGGGGTACCTTTTTCGGGCTTCAGGTATGCAGGAAAGGGTAGGGATTTCAATACTAATGAAAAACAAAAAATCCGTCTGTAAAAGGGCTAACAAATGCACTGTTTTTGGCGAAAACGTTTTGGTTTTGTAATTTTTGTGACGGTGTATTTACCGCAGTTTAAAGAGATAGTCGGTTTACAATAACACGAAAGAGTGGTGGGGGGTCACACAAACAACTGCCGAAAAAACCGACTGCATCGATGAATTCACAACAAAAACCAAGGAATTCATAAAAGGTAAGTCTGAACCGTGGCTTGTAACGCGACACTGACAGCCTCGTGAGAAAGTAAATTTACATTACAAACTCGCAACGTGAGCTTGGGTAGCCTCCCCGCAGACGTCCTTTGGGCTTCGTTCGTCACGCATTCATTTCTTCCCCCGGACGTCCGTTGGGGAGAAATGAATGCGTGACGAACGAACTCCAAAGGACGTCTGCGGGGAGGCTAGGGCTTGGGACGCCTGTGGTTGAACCTCTCCTCAATGGCCACCTTGGAGGCAGAAAAAACCGTCCGTTGTTGAGAAGTGGCCGTTAGTGGAGGTTCGACTGTAGGGTAAAGGGTTAGACCTTGGGGAGGGGGCCTCCACTTAAAAATAAAACTTTCTTGCGTTCCCCTGCAGGCAGGCCCTATGGTCTTATTCTCAATTCCTATCACTTGGAATTCCCTTTGTTCAATAAGGATTGGACTCCCTTGAGGAGAAATCGATGAAAGATTCTGTATATTGAGGTAGGAGAGCTCCTGCATGAGGCCGGTTAACTATTGTTGATAATCCGGTCCATTAGAGACAAGAATAGAAAGGAAGGAAGAAAGTTGAAAAGAGTGGTCGGTTACAAATGTAATGAAAAACGCTTAATCATTCAAACAAACGCCTCCAGGCTACACGGCTCTCGCGTAGTGTTATTTATTTTCTAGTGTTACGTAGTTTGGAACTTTCTTGTCCCTCATAATCATGGGAGTGACGATCGGTCTTATTTAACCGCGGTCATCCAGACCCTGAGATGGGGGGAAGGGAGGGGGGGAGTCCCGGTCTCAAAAAAATTTTTTTTCGGCCCTTCGGGCCTCACTTTGGTCTAAAAGTAAAGGGTGCCCCGGCCTCCCCGGGTGCCTCCCCTGGATCCGCCACTGAGGGTTGTTGTACACTAGCGACAAATCCCTACGGGTTTGAGCACAAATGCGCAAGAAACCTTTCTGTGCAAGCGGTGTTGACCACATCTGCGCTTTTAGCTTTTATTGCCATAGCAAATTGAGCACAACAACCATTTCGGACGATTCAATCAATTCAAACCACACTACCGTCTCAAAGATGCTATAAGAATGATTTTTATTACCTTGATAATCTCAAAACTCCCTTTCAATTAACGATAGAAGACGTTAAGACAACTGGTCACATTCTATTAAAATAGACGAAAACAACTCATTCAAATTTTACAGTGAAAGCTTTGCAAGTCCCAACCCACACGATAAATGTATTTTTTTTTAGCTTATATGTTGAGTACGCGCTATGATTGGCCAGTTTAAAATGCTATTGAAAATTTGCCATTGAAGGGAAAACTCGAAACGCATTTCCGGTAATTCGTTGAGTCCGTTGGGGGGCTAGAACAAGGATATCAGCGCTGCTGCTCAGAAGTTACTAACGGGGTTAGATTACGTCTGCGAAGCAGGCTAAGCCCGGACGGGTGGAATCAATTAAGATTTCCGGGAAACTGACCACCTACCCCTCCCCTAAGCCAACATTATCACTTACTTCTCACTTAGGGCAAAATGTTGGCTTAGGGGAGGAGTAGGTGGTTAGTTTCCCACTAACCTAAATTGATCTGACGGGTATAAGAACGAACCAACGAAGAAAAGTCAAGAAAGAACGACTAAAAGGTTGTATGATTAGATGGAAGATTATAAACATATTTACTTGGCTCTTTTTCTTTTAGCTATATAGTTCAAGGGCGACTGTTAATTATTTTTTGTTTTTATTCCTGATAACCCGCCTCTAATTCTAACTCTAATTCCTGGGACGTCCGCGTTTGAAACGTCATCAAGTTCACGCCTGACTGCCTCAAAGCAAACAACGGTGTTTTCCTCTCTGTCCTATAATTTAATCTTGGCAGCATGAATGGTAGCCTTACCAGTGTTGAGGAAGCAGTCTGAAACGAATTACATGGGACCAAACCACTTGAATACACAGAGCTATGGAGACCTCATCTGACCTTGTACTCATGTACAGTAGGCTCAATCCTATAAGCTGCAGCATCCAGCGAATGAGATCCAGTCCGCGGTCGCTGGTTACTGGGCCGTAATAATAACATACACCAAAGCTTATGACGCCTGGAGAAAGCGGGAAATAAACACAGCTGTTATACAGCGTAATACGTTGACTAGGCCGTAACAACAGCAAACACATAAGCTTCTGATACCTGACGAAAGGAAAAACTCTGCTGTTATAGAGCGTAATACGACAGTCAAAGAGTAAGAGTTTTTGAAAAATGCCGACCATAATAATCTTTAATATGCAGGTTTTCCTTTTCCCATAAGAGACCTTTAGATTCTATTAAAAAAAAACGAGGGCGCGACGACGAGGACGAGATTTTCTCAATACTACTGAAATAAGTAGTGCGCACGCGTGATCCAGCGTTCTTTTGGCGAGAAAGCGCGATAGCCGTCTTCAATCTACTACGGATTTTAGCAAGAATGTCGTAATGGCGGAAACAAGTTATTAAAATGTTCGAAAATGTATCACTTTGCGATCGGGAGAGGGCTTAACCTCCTTCGATAAAAATAACCGTACTAACGTTTCGGTTGAAAAATACAAAAAAGGACAATCAAGTTTTCCGGGTTGTCTATGTACGTTTAGAGAATATACGCGAAAAAACTTGTGGTTAAATCTGGTCCTCATATCTATAGGTCTCTTTAGTGACATACCTATAACAACAAGATATCCAATGACCCATTGGTTGTGGTTAAGTAGAAGGTCTTTTAAGTTACTCCAAGTCCACTGGATTAAATAGGCACCCAGACTCCATCCTCCAATTAAAACAGCATATGCACCTCCTCTCTGAAAAGAAATGACCACACAACAACAACATTTAAAACAACGACTCCAATACATGTAAATGCAATAAACTTCCCGAAAGGACATGCTTTTGGTCCTGCCATCCGTTTTTGACTTGGCCACCCAAAACGCGGGGATTAGGCTGCGTTCTCATGAGGTCGAACGCAGTGAAATACAACAAGTAAACACGGCGGCCTCAGTTGCGAAAATGGCATAAAACAATATGCTGAAATATTGACAACAATTCTTAAGCAAATGCATACATGCACGTTCAACATTTTTCAACTTCCAATCCTATTGCCTGCACAACAGGGATTAACAAACGCTCACCTCTGCTCGCTTTACCTCAGGACTTTGTCTAAACCATCACCCCCAAACTGCTTTGTCTTACCCAAGGGATAAGTCTTAATTAACAGTGGCCCCAAACCTTTTTGTCTCACCCCAGGGATTAATCCGTGTAGCATGTGGACAAGTAGAAGAAGTGACATGATAAGACCAAGTGATACAGCAGGGCCCAGTTGTTCAAACGTTGGATAGCGCTATCAACTTGATAAATCACTATCCAGCGGATGGCGTTATTGATTTCCGTAATACTTATTCACTGGATAGTGATTTATCCGGTGGATAGCGCTATCCAAGGCTTGAACAACCAGGGCCAGATGAATAAAAGAACAAGCTGTTCCTGGAAAGAAAATACCCGAGGGATAAGTCTTAGCATTGACCCCACACCGTTTTTTCTTACCCCTGGGATTAGTCTGTGCAGTATGTAGACAAGCAGAAGAAGTGACATGATAAGACCAAGTGATACACCAGATGAATAAAAGAACAAACTGTTCCTGGAAGCAAAAAACAGCTCATTAATTAATAATAGAAGAAACATTGACAACAGATTCACAGCTCTGCTATCTTGTGTGCACACAAAGCTTGCAAGAACAACAACAAAGAACAAAAGTGTGACTTTCCATTGAATCTGCTTTTGATCAGTTTACTTTAGTGCACCATGGGCAATAACAAGATCAAAGGAATAATTATGGTGTGGAAAACAACTAGAGCTACTATTGAGGCGCAATGCTACAGTGTAGTTGTAAGCATACAATAGACCTCCCTCACGCAGCGACCATTTTGTCTCAGTAGACTTAAAAAGCTTTGTTTATGAACAGCTAGCCTCGTTCTCTCTAAGAGGCTATCCATGCATAAACAGAGCTTTTTAGATCTCCTAAGACAAAATGGCCACCCCATGACAAAGGTCTATTGGCAGCAATTGAAAGTTGGTATGGCATCTAAATAGACTCAATGGATCAACTGTCATTACTGTCACCATCATCATCATCATCATCATCATCATCATCATCATCATCATCATCCTCGAATATCATCATCATCACTTTAACAAATCAAGTTCTTGTTAAAATTTACAGTGTGGAAGGGGATGTTTAGATAGTATACCTACTAAGTCTTTCTGCATTGTAAAAGATGACAAGGCCTGCTAGAAATGCTGCTGGAAATTTCCAGTCAATGACTAAAATGGAAAGAGATTAACAACATTATTATTTACCCTCTACATGCACAAACGTAAGGTGCTTTTTTGCTGAAATAGAATCATATCATTATTGTCTGCATGGTGTAGACTATTGGGTTAAAGCAAGTTTATTTTTTTATTATCCTCACATAAACTCCACATTCTTCTGATTGGGTGAGCGTTTATTTGAAGGTGTTGTTCACGGGTATTAATTAGTGGCAGTATTTAATTAATCAAATACAGTATGTCACTAACTTTCAATGCTATGGACATTCAAATGAAACAACTTTTGGTAAAAACTTTAAAATACAGGTTAACTACCATTTATTTTTTAGGATTTTACAAAAAGAAATTTGAATTTTCTTTTGAATTTGCTCTTTGGCCATTGTTAAGTTTGAAATGGTATTATCATGGATATTTGTCATGACCATAAAATTAAATTTGTAGAGTCACCTTGAAACTCAGCTTTTATTGACACTTCCCGTTTTATTCCAAATTCCACTGCAAAGCATGAAGTTTTGAATGGTGACTGCTTGAATGTGATTTGATCCTGTATGTTAGTGCTTGTCACCAATGACTGAAACACAGATCCCCAAGTTTTATTGGCTGGGTTGAGCGCATGGCAGCTGTCAAGTAAAATACAAATAAAAAGGCTGTTTTAAAATTACTGATTAAAGTAAAAAACACATGTGCGGAGGCAACACATGTAAGCGTATTAAAATGGCTCATTTACAATGCACAACATAAATACATGTAATAATGATCTGAATGTAGTGATCCAGTAATAATTAATAAATATGAATGTTGCTATAACTGTAGAATCAGACAATAATAAATTATTTACTATACCCCTTTAACACTAGGCTCGATTTCCACCGCTCTTTCAGTCCTCCCCGAGAAGAGACGGCTGGATGAGTGAGTGGCCCATTGTGTCTGTGACGTACTTCAAAACCTCGAAAATGGGAAATGTCATTAAATACTGAACATATGTTGTGCTTTGCCTCATTATCACTTTGGTATTTGCCATAAAAATCAGCAGAAACACGTACTGATTGTTTTTACATTGACCTTGCATTACTGGTGGACTTGACAGTCGTCTCTTTCTTTTTAACTGCCAACAACCATCATTCATGTAGAATGGAAATAATTATTGATCCAGTGAACCGGTTGGGATAATTTCCAAAACATACCTACTATTTGCCCGCTTCTCTAAGCTAATACTTTTCTTTGTAAAAATTTTAGGTTTTTAAGCTGAAAACGCTCTAAAACACGATTACACGCCAATTCAAACAACACCTAAGTTTGCATCCGCCGTTTAAAATCTACCCCAGGAAAATAAAATGATTTATGCTGCCCGCTTGATTTGAGCAGGCAACGATAATAATAATAGTGTAAACTTCATTTGTGTTTTTGAAGGTACAATTGCAAATCTCGCCACATATAGGCAATTTACAAATGCTGCCTGAGATTGGATGATTCAAAAAAACAAAACAAAAAGAAAGCAAAAAAAAAACAGAAAAGAAAAGAAATCAAAATAATAATAATAATAATAATAATAATTTAAACATATTTATAGAGGATTGCTGCATCAGTTTTAAGAAAAAACTGCAATCAATGCAGGTCCTGAAAAAAAAAGGTTAAAAATATGGATAAAAATAAGTTACAATAATATAAAATAGTTACATTAAAAGGAAGATTCGAACAGTTATAAATTCTAAAAGTTCTTAAGAATTTTTGCACCTTTGTAGAAAAAAGCGCGCTTGGTACATTCCAAGTTAACTTTTTCTAAAATAAGGTCATTATTATTTCTAGTTTTGTGGCGGTGAATGTCACGGTTTCTTACATTAAAATAATTAAAAGGGTATCTGGGAACTTTATTTGCAATGCACTGATTAACAAATCTTAAAATGTGTGTCCGTCTTCTATAATAGAAAGGTTCCAATTTGATCAGTTGATAGTTTTGAGGCAGCTTTGAACTAGACAATCCTCGCTGCTCATCTTTGTAGTCCTTCAATCTTGTCATTGTTTCCTTGTCCACAGTCATGCCACACAGCATCACAATAATCTAGAACCGGGGAGACCATGGCTTTATAGAGTCTATTTGAAGCTTATAATTGGTGGTAATTAACAGTAGCAAGCCCAGGTGTCCAGCTGTCTGTTCAGGGGAGGACCGAGGGCTCATTTCCCAAACAGCCGGTGGTAATCGAGCCTACTATAACACCAACAGTGTTTCTCCCCATAAAATCACAGGCAAGTCACTTTCAAAACAAGTAACTACCGTACTAGAGCAACTTGTGCAGTATACAATGAACATACTAACGGAATCAAGAAATGTTTAAGGAATTAGTGTAACTAGACACCATTTTGTTGGGAAAAAAAAATTAACTTACCTATCAGCTTCATAAGATTGAACATCAGTTTTTTCAAACTGAAGAGCAACTACCACACTGCCCCACAAGTGTGACAGTGAGACATCCCTACCCAATACACACATTTTCATGTTCTTTCCTTTGAACCTGGAAATAGGCCTCTTTCTTGTTAGATCTAAAATGGAGATGTCTGAAGAAGACGCATTATCAAATTATTATTAGTTATTAATTACGTTGTGTTTCTGGCAGGGCTTGAAAAAGGCTCAAGCAGCTCTTATATTTTGCTTGCCCAGGGCCACTGCTTGCTTGCTAATGAGTTAACTACTAGATAACTTTAATGGACCTTTGCCCATTGGACAAGTGAGGAAAAAAGATTATTAAATACTTAATGTCAGATCCCAAGGGAAACAGTTAGTTTTGTTCTCGCAAGAGTTATGATGTTCGTCTCGGGAAACATCAGGACTCGAGGGAAAACAAAACTAACTGGTTTCCCGAGGGACCTGACATTAAATGTTTTGTTATATTTCCAGACTTTCACTTCAACAGCAACAAAAGAAAACCGGAACGAACCAAAACAGTCGACTCGGTACTTATAACAACACAAATTTAATTCTTAAAACCACTGAATAAATGATTTACAAAGTACTTTCCTTATATTATCTGCATCTTTTTTCTCCACTAGCTGCTCTTTCTCCTCTAGGATGCCTTTAAAAATCGTTGCTTTTTAGCTTGAGGCTTCGTGTTTGTGTTCAAGCTGTTGTGTTCATTCACAAAAATGAAAACAGGCAGTGTTTTTCCCGCCTTCTGTCATGCTACTTTCCACCATGCTTTGATCATGTGCTGTAATGTAGCCTGAGCAGGGTACATTGCTTATTAGTATATACAAACTCAGTGATCTTGGTGATTTAAGCAATCTGATTGGTTCGCTATCTCGGACTATTCAACAATATTCACCTCCTAGCGAGTGGATAATGTGTGAGCTCGGTGTTTTTCCCGTTTTTTTTAGAGAACGATCTTTTAAAAGTCGACAAAATCCTAGGGCTGACTTTTTTTAAGGCAAGAAAAGACTTGGAAGGATTCAATACGGCGTTTTTCAATTTACTGTAGCAGGAGTTTTGTGCTCGATGGATTGTTTACAACTCCGTGTATTCGGCAGAGAAGAAGCCGTTTCGTGAACTCAGCGTTTTCTAAGCAGAAAATTTTGGCTCAAAAATCGAAGTTTATTTATGACAAACAAATTTAAAAGGAAATGTTTGCAGAAATTCTACATTTCAAGTAAACAGGAAAAAGAATGATACAGGAAGGCGACCTCTTACCTCGAGCAACCGAGCCGCCATTTTTGTCAGCACTTCATGCGAAGAACGACACAACATGCCCTTTTGGCTATAAACTTGGCGAGTCAACAGAAAACAACACAGCTCTACTTTTTTTTTTTCTCAGGTAAGGAAACAGTTCAAACTTTTAGCGATTCCATTGAAGCCATTACGCTGTTGTTTGCGAAATGAGTAAACTTGTGAATTGCCATGTTTGAAAATTCTGCAAAGATCTATTTTTAAACTTACGCGTGATTTGATCTGTCAATCAAATCCTACTTTTGAATGGTTTCCTTTCTGATTTTGTTGAGATCACTTCGTGTGTATATACTAAAACAATTATTCTTCTCAATCTCGGTGAATAGTGGCTTTGGGAATATTTACCTCGCCGCTTTCGCGGCTCGGTAAATATTTTGCCACTATTCACCTCGATTTCAAAGAATAATTGTTAAATGTATCACGATTGGGATACATTTGATTTTAGTCAAGGCCACGTGACCAAGAATCAACCAATGGCAGTCCCTGTTTAGTTGAGTGAAAGTCTAGGAATATAAAAATGTTCCTTACCCAAATTTACTACCAAATCTACTAAATGTCCTGGAAAACAAGACAGGATTTTCTTCGCGGCCTGAGTTAATGGGGCACGTTGCTTTACCACGCATAAATGTTTAGTAAAAATGATACTGGTATTTTGGATTGAAAAATTATCTGACTGTTGCATTTCATCCTGTCCATCTTTGCTCTCAATAAGTTAAACATTACAATGTTTTTATCCAATGTTACAAGGGTGAGACTGAGAAAAAAACCTTAAGTTGTCCCTCATTGAATCATAAATTATTGGAATAAATAATTAAATTTGTTTTTCGTGCAATCACGGCACAATGATCGTACATGTAGCTCTGCTTAAACGAGTAGAGGCGCGGGGCCGAGGGGCAAATTTCAAAATTGCTTTAACTCTTTTCTCGAACTCCATTTTCAGAATTACTCATAATTCTGTCTTAAGTCAACGCAAAAAGGGTAAATACTTACTTTCGCAATCGTAACTCGCTTTGGCAAACAAAAGTATGCAAAATGCGCCATAAACGTAAAGAGCTTTCCTTGCCATGTGTGCCGCCATTTTCCTATAAGATCATACATGAGTTACGTACCTAATCCCGGGAGTACCAGAAATCCGCTGCTCAAAAACGGCTCAGACAAAGAAGGGCGGGAAATCTCTCTAAAGCCTTTTAGTAAAGTTACTAGTCCATTTAATACTTCTAACTAGAGATACGTGTCTAGCAGAACCGAAATAATAAGACTGAAAGGCCAACAGTGGCAAATGAAGTAGCTGAGTCTCACGTCAAATAGAGTGAGTGAAAATATTATGCCCTCGGGGGTATTCCCCTGGTATTGGCCTTTTCGGGGAAATACGTCCGAAAGGGGTACCTTTTTCGGGCTTCAGGTATGCAGGAAAGGGTAGGGATTTCAATACTAATGAAAAACAAAAAATCCGTCTGTAAAAAGGGCTAACAAATGCACTGTTTTTGGCGAAAACGTTCTGGTTTTGTAATTGTTGTGACGGTTTATTTACCGCAGTTTAAAGAGATAGTCGGTTTACAATAACACGAAGAGAGTGGCAGGGGTCACACAAACAACTGCCAAAAAAACCGACTGCATCGATGAATTCACACCAAAAAACCAAGGAATTCATAAAAGGTAAGTCTGAACGGTGGCTTGTAACGCGACACTGACAGCCTCGTGAGAAAGTAAATTTACATTACAAACTCGCAACGTGAGCTTGGGTAGCCTCCCCGCAGACGTCCTTTGGGCTTCGTTCGTCACGCATTCATTTCTTCCCCACGGACGTCCGTTGAGGAGAAATGAATGCGTGACGAACGAACTCCAAAGGACGTCTGCGGGGAGGCTAGGGCTTGGGACGCCTGTGGTTGAACCTCTCCTCAATGGCCACCTTGGAGGCAGAAAAAAAGTAGAAGTGACCGTTAGTGGCCGGGGTTCGACTGTAGGGTAAAGGGTTAGACCTTGGGGGAGGGTGGGGGGGGCCTCCACGTAAAAATAAAACTTTCTTGCGTACCCCTGCAGGCAGGCCCTATGGTCTTATTCTCAATTCCTATCACTTGGAATTCCCTTTGTTCAATAAGGATTGGACTCCCTTGAAGAGAAATCGATTAAAGAATCTGCATATTGAGGTAGGAGCAACCTCGTCCCCAGGGCGCAGTTTCCCTGACTTTGGGGGCGGGGCGGGAAAAGCGGCCCGCCCCGCCCCCAAGGCCAGGGAAAAGCGCCCTGGGGACGAGGTTGAGGTAGGAGAGCTCCTGCATGAGGCCGGTTAACTACTGTTGATAATCCGGTCCATTAGAGACAAGAATAGAAAGGAAGGAAGAAAGTTGAAAAGAGTGGTCGGTTACAAATGTAATGAAAAACGCTTAATCATTCAAACAAACGTCTCCAGGCTACACGGCTCTCGCGTAGTGTTATTTATTTTCTAGTGTTACGTAGTTTGGAACTTTCTTGTCCCTCATAATCATGGGAGTGACGATCGGTCTTATTTAACCGCGGTCATCCAGACCCTGAGATGGGGGGAAGGGAGGGGGGGGGAGTCCCGGTCTCAAAAATTTTTTTCGGCCCTTCGGGCCTCACTTTGGTCTAAAAGTAAAGGGTGCCCCGCCCCCGGGTTCTTCCCTGGATCCGCCACTGAGGGTTGTTGTACACTAGCGACAAATCCCTACGGGTTTGAGCACAAATGCGCAAGAAACCTTTCTGTGCAAGCGGTGTTGACCACATCTGCGCTTTTAGCTTTTATTGCCATAGCAAATTGAGCACAACAACCATATTTATTTCGGACGATTCGATTCAATTCAAACCACACTACCGTCTCAAAGATACTATAAGAATGATTTTTATTACCTTGATAATCTTAAAACTCCCTTTCAATTAACGATAGAAGACGTTAAGACAACTGGTCACATTCTACTAAAATAGACGAAAACAACTCATTCAAATTTTACAGTGAAAGCTTTGCAAGTCCCAACCCACACGATAGTTGTATTTTTTTTTAGCTTATATGTTTTCCCCTATTTTTTTCCACATTTATTCTTTAAGATTCCACGTCCTCTTCGCTAAGTGCTGTGGAAAAAAAACAACAACAAGGAAATGGTTAGTAAAACAACAAGAGTGGCCTGCGTGCAGACGTTCCCTGCTTCCTCAAAAACTGGGGTGTCTTCTGTTCGTGTTGCGGATTTATTGATGGTTCGCTTTTGGTTTTTGGGGTGGAACATTGTTCAAGGTCTTTTTAGTCTTTTGTATTATTTATGTCAATTGGAGACCGTACCAATGTAGAACACCAACAAAAAAAAAAAAAAAAAAAAAAAAAACACGGAATAGTACTCAACCTGCGGTTACCGTGTTTGATTATGTACATGACTAAGTCCAAAGCAGGAAAGGCTGGGCCTGCGTCAGTAGTTATAGAAATGGGTATCCTGGGGCATCTTTCAAATTCCCAGAATTGCATTAAATCAACTAATAAAATCCCAGAATATGCAAGGGACTACAAAAAAGAATACCTTTTTATAAGAGGAATAAATAAGGAATTTCAGTATTTTGTTGATAATATAGATGATGCAACTCGTGGATTATTTGAGAATAAAAAAATTGATAGAATTAAGTTTTTTATAAAAGATTTTTGAAAGGTCAAGAAAGGGGTTAACTTAGGGATACTAGTGATTTAATTTTAGAAAGAAATGATTGCTGTTATATATTTCTCTTTACCAAGAAATGTTATATTTATTGATAGAATATGAAGATGATATTTCAGGTTTTAAGGAATTTAACATTTTTTTAAGTAAATTTTATAATAAAATTAAAACTTTTTCTTTTATTAGTGATTATTATGAGGGAGGGAATATGTTTAATTATAACTTAAACATTTACGTCTAATAATATAATCTTATTATAAGACGTCATGTCTAACCAATCAACTAGTGGTTTTCAGGGTTCTCAACCCTTTATAACAGATAAACAATTTCAGAATTTGTCTTTGGATGAAATAAGACATATAATAGCACAAGAAAAAGAAGAACTTAAGAAAGATTATAAGGAATTAGGAGAAAGAAGAAAATTAATCAGAAAATATAAAAAATTGATAGAAGTTAGAAAAAAAGTCAAACAAGGAATAGATATAAAAAAGAAACTCAAAAAAACTAAACCCCCTACCAAAAAGAAAAAGATAAAAACATTTGAAGAGTATTTTGAGGAATGTATAAAAAATAAAAAGATTCCCAAAGATACTCCTTCTTATTTACGTGAAGCTCTTGAGCGTGCTATTTTAGAATATGCCGGACCAAGGACTTGAAAAAGAAAAATCAGCTCTTGAAGGTTTTGCTGTTAAGTATAATATTCCAGGAATTCCTGGTCTTATTCCAGAACAGTTTTTTGATCATCTCTATGAAACTTTAAAAGATTTTCTTACTTATCATAGAAATATAAAATTAAATATGATTTTGGTTTGCATGATGGAAAAACAAAATATTCAACAAAATATTGGTGTTATAGGATTAGAAGAAAGTAAAGCTTACTTTTTTTCAGGAACTTTTAAGAATGTTAAATCAACCGATGTTGACGAATTAATTGAAAGATGTAAAGAAAGTATTATAGCGCATATTGAAAATTATAGAGAAAGTGGAAGTGGTTGGTATTTTAAAGAAGTGGATAAACTTGAAATCATACTGTTGAATATAATCCAACAAAGGGCTCATCTTACATTCCTCTTCCGGATTGGATATCAAATAAAAAAGCAATTGTTAATATACAAAACAAAGATGATAAATGTTTTCTTTGGTGTATACTTAGATATCTTCATCCGAGAGATAGAGATGAAGAAAGACTAACAGGTTTGAAAAAGTATGAGTTTTCACTTAACACAAAAGGTATTACTTTTCCTATGAAATTAAAAGATATTACCAAATTTGAAAAACTTAATCCATCACTTCCAGGAATAAATGTCTTTTCAAATGATGATAGGGTTATTTATCCTTTGAGAATGGCAGAGAGAGATTGTACAAATACTATTGATTTATTTTTGTATGAAGAAGATGGAGTTTCACACTATTTACTAATTAAAAATTTTAATCGTTTGATAAAGAAACAAAAAACTTCAAGTAAAAATGGTAAAATATTTATTTGTAAAAAGTGTTTTACTCATTTCACTAAAGAAGAATTATTAGAAAAACATATCAAATATTGTTCTAATAATGAAACAGTTTGTGTAAAAATGCCTGAACCAAAAACAATGTTATATTTATAAAAATTACTACAAACAACTTCCTATTCCTTTTGTAGTTTATGCAGATTTTAAATGCTTTACCAAACCAATGAATACTTGTAGTCCTAATCCAAAAGAATCGTATTATTATAACTATCAAAAGCATGTACCATCAGGTTTTTGTTTTTATTTAAAAGGAGTAGTAGATAAAAAATTTAAGCCAATCATTTATACAAAAACAAAAGAAGACGAAGATATATCAAAAGTATTTGTAGAAAAACTTACAGAAGTAACTAAAGGTATTTACAATGATTTTTATTGTAGACCAAAACCTCTTAGACTAACTCGAGCCGAACAAAAATTATTTGATGAAGCAGAAACTTGTCATATTTGTAAAAAAGAATTAAAAGAAGATAAAGTTAGAGATCATTGTCATTTTACTGGTAAGTACCGTGGTGCAGCTCATAACAGTTGTAATTTACAGTGTAGGAAACCATTAGTTCTTCCAGCTATATTTCATAATCTTCAAGGATATGATGCTCATTTATTTATAAAACAACTTGCTAAATTACCAGGTGATTTGAACTGTATTCCATCAACAGAGGAAAAATATATTTCCTTTTCTAAAAGTATTAAAGTTGATGAGTACATGTCTAATAAAACTGGTCAAATGGTACCAATAAATTTTGAAATACGATTTTTAGATTCATTCAAGTTTCTTCAAACATCACTTGCTAATCTAGTTGGAAATTTACAAACAGGTGATTTTTATAATACAAAACAAGTATTTAAGAAAAATGTAAATCTACTAACTCGTAAGGGAGTTTATCCTTATGACTATGTTTCATCACTTGAAAAACTATCCGAAACACAATTACCTCCAAAAGAGGAATTCTATTCAAAACTAAATGATGAAGATATAACTGATGATGATTACCAACATGCTATTAATGTATGGAATACTTTTGAATGTAAAACAATAAGAGATTATCATAATCTTTACCTTAAGTCTGATGTGCTACTTTTGTTAGATGTATTTGAAAACTTTAGAAAAACTTGCCCAAAACATTACAAACTTGATCCAGTTCATTATTACACATCACCTGGTCTAGCTTGGGATGCTTGTCTCAAAGAAACAGGACAGGAATTACAGTTATTACATGATTATGATATGTTAATGATGTTTGAAAAAGGTATTCGTGGTGGAATAACACACATATCAAAAAGATATGCAGAGGCGAATAACAAATACATGAAAAATTATAATCCTGATGAGGAGTCTAGTTATATTCAATATCTTGATGCAAACAATCTTTACTGTTGGGCAATGTCTCAACAACTTCCTACACATGGATTTAAATGGATGAAAGATATAACAAAAGAAAAGGTAATGGAAATTCTAGAGAAAGCAAATCATAGTATGTTTAATAAAGGAAAAAAAGGATATATATTTGAAGTTGATTTGGAATATCCTTCCAGTCTATGGGAAGATCATAATGACTATCCTCTAGCACCTGAGAAGATGATTGTTAATGGTGTTGAAAAACTAATTTGTCATTTTAAACCAAGAAAAAACTATGTTGTTCATTATCGAAATCTTAGACAATATCTTGAGATGGGAATGAGAATAACTGCCGTTCATAGAGGAATATCATTCTATCAAAGTTCTTGGATGGAACCATATATAAGAAAGAATACAGAACTTCGAAAAACAGCAGCCAACAGTTTTGAGAAAGACTTTTTCAAACTAATGAATAATTCAGTATTTGGAAAAACAATAGAAAATATAAGGAAAAGACAAAATATAGTACTTATTGATAATCGTAAGAAAGCTGCTAAACTATCAAGTCGGCCAAACTTTGATAGAGCAACAATATTTGATAATCATCTTATTGCGGCTCATATGAAAAAGACTGAAGTTTATTTTAACAAACCAGTATATGTTGGTCAAGCAATTCTAGATTTATCAAAAACATTAATGTTTGATTTTCATTATAACTATATTAAAAAGAAATATGGAAATAAAGCTGAGTTATTGTTTACAGATACCGATAGCCTAATGTTTCATATTAAAACAAAAGATTTTTACAAAGATATATCTCATGACATACTAACCAAGTTTGACACGTCTGATTATCCTCCTAATCATGAATCTGGAATACTAACAGGAGTTAACAAAAAAGTAATAGGGATGTTTAAAGATGAAGTAGCAGGAAAACAGATTACTTGTTTTGTTGGGTTGCGCCCCAAACTTTACAGTTTTAGAATTGAAGAAGATAAAGAAGTACGTAAATGTAAAGGAATAAAGAAAAATGTTATAACAAAGAAATTAGATTTTGATGACTATGTTCAATGTTTATTTTTGGGTAGAAAAGAAATGAGAAAGATGAAAATAATAAGAAGTGAAAATCATGATATATATTCAAAAGAAGTTAACAAAGTAGCACTAAGTAATGAAGATGACAAGCGCGAAGTAATCTTGGGAAAGGTAAAAACTATGGCTTTAAGATAAGAAAGACTTTAATAAAATGGAAGCTATACTTACTAAGAAGAGAAATGAAATTATCAAAGAAGGACTAGTTTATATTGATAATTGGGAAAACGAATGTACCAAGAAGGATTGTCCTGATTTGTATGAGAAGTATTTAAAAGAAAAGAAGAAATATCTTAAAAATGATGAACCAAGCCAATGGGATCAATATATAAGAATATTAGATATTATTAAAAGAGATTTTAAAGAAGATGAATTTTACGAGTGTTTTACTGATTTGTTAAATGAAATAGAAAACTATATAAACATTTTTAAACCAAAAGTTTTTTTAAAAAGAGAAGGCCTTGATCAAGTAAATAAAAATGTTAAAATTGTTAATGATTTGTCTCCAATACTTGATACGGAAAGAAAGAAATATAATTTTAAATGTAGTTTATTTTTAGTAATACAAACTCTTTTGTTAGACAAAAAAACTATCGCTTAAATGTAATAAATTATAAAATAATAAATGAAGAAATAAAAAAATATCTAGAAATATTGCTTAAATATACTAGTAAACCTGTAGAAGAAATTAGTAGAAAATTTAAATGTTGTAATTGTCAAAATAGAGAATGTTTTACAATTGATTCTGGTTACAAAATCTGTGATTACTGTGGAGTAGAAAATGGTCATGTATTAGGCTTTTACGATGTTAAAGATTACGATAGATTATATTTTAGAAAAAAGAGTATTTATCATAGAAAGTATCACTATGAGAAAAAGGTTAATCAAATTTCTAAAAGAATAAACCTAACTAATGAACAAAAATGTGAACTTTATGATAAACTAATGAAAATAGATAATTACACCATGGAAATACTAAATAAAAAATACTTTAGAAAGAGAATGATAAGTATTTCTTATTTAATCAAAAAACTTTTGCAGGAGATGGGATGTGAAAAGTATAAACTAATTTATCTTAAGATTAGCCCCCAGACTTAAGAGATTTATGAAAAGTGGTGGGATAGTTATAAAGAGTTAAAAATTTGAAATAAACAAAATATGCAGCATTTAAAACAAGCTCGTGATAATTTTAAGGTAGGATATGAAATGTATCCTTTGTATCAAAAACTAACTAATATGATTTCCTTCTTAGAAGGAAAAGAAGAAAAGAGGGATATAAAAGTTGATTACAGAAGAATAGACAATGTAAATGCTTTGATTAAACTAAGTAATTGTCTTAAGACAATTCCCCAGTTTGAAGAAGAGTTAAATGAATTACAAAATGCTTTAGTCACCAAACTACTACAATATAAAAAGTATGTTGTGTATTGTCAAACATTAAAAGATGAACCATTAGAGGAAAAATATTATAGTCATATACTAGTTGCAATAAAAGAAATAGAAGATTATAAAGACTTAAAGAATAAAATATTTAAATAAAATGAGTAAGCGAGTTGTTGATTCACCTGAAATTGAAGCAAAAGAATTGTTTTATTTTAATGATGATAATGATTTATTTGAATATTTTTTTGAAAACGCTAGTCCACCAGATGGAGTATCAAAAGATGATTACCTAAAAGAATTAAAGCCAGAGTACTACAAATTAAAAGTAGAAGAAGCAAAAAGATTGCTAGGTTTAGATAAGAAATAATTTTTTTATATTTTTTAAAATATAAAAAAATTTAATCTTCTAAGTAACTATAACCACTTTCAAATACTCTAAAAATATCTAAAAATGCTTTTGTTTTATAATATAAATCTTCAGTTATTTCCATATTTAATTTTAAGTTATTAAGAGTTTGATATATTCCTTCTGTATCAATGCCCCCATCTTCCATAGTATTTTTTACAAGTTTTGATTCAAATTCTTCTTTAGCATCTTTTAAAATTTTTAATTCATTTTCAACTTTATTATTTTTTTCATCTAGGAATGGTTTAAGTATTACTTCTCTGTTTTTGTCTGATATTTTAAAATTTCTATGTAATGTATTAATATGGTTTAAAATAAGATTATTTAGAAATTCTTTTTTTACTTCTTTCATTTCTTTAAATTCAGTGAGTATATACTCATCATGCAAAAATTCAAACATTTCATTTAATAATTCTTTACCAAGACGCTTAATATCTTTTTGTTTTATAATAACAGCTGCCATTTATATATTAATGATTATATTATTCCTTTATGAAAAAACCAGTAAACAATACCAGTTAGATAACTAAGTACTTCACATTCTTTAAAAGGAGTATTGATAGCATACACGCATCCTCTTCCAATCCTATAATGTTTCCAAAAAGTTTTGAAAGCGAGATTGAATATCAAATGATTGGTAATAATATTTGAATCTGAGTTAAGATAGTGTCTTTCTTCTATTAGCCGGTAAATAATTTGGTCTATGTCTATGAGTAAAATACTTTGCGTAGAGAAACTGGTAAACAAGACAAGCTTTAATGAAGTTATCTGAATAAAATTTTGTTTTATAAGTTGGGAAGTATAAGTTTACATAAGTAACAATTGATTTGATCATTTTTCTATATTATACTTATATAAAGGTTTAAAGAAATTAAATTTAATAATAAAAAAAATGAATATTGGGGAACCAACATTAACACAAAAAGAATTTAATGAAATACTAAAATCTAAAGGATATAAAATAACTAGTTTAGAAAAAAATGATGATTGTGATTTTATTTATAATATTATAAAATTAAAAGAGGAAGAAATAACATCAAAAGAAATTCATGAATTACTTAAATTTAAAGGAGTTAAAATATCTTTTTTAAGATATGAAAGTGATAAAAATTATATTCGTTTTTATGTTGATAAATTTAAAGAAACAAATAAAATGTGTATACAAATTAATCCTCGCTCGTTGTTAAATCTAGAACATATCTGTGAAGTGTTATACAAACTTCATCCATCTGTTTTAAATGACTTGGTTGAAATTGAAAGATCTTTGGGAGATGTATTTGGTTTTATAGACTTAAACAATGTAACATTAGAAGAAAGAGAATTCTTAGCTAATATTGCCAATGAAGTAGATTACTCAAAGGAACCTGAGAAACCTAAGGAACCTAAGGAAACGAAGGATCTATTAAAAACGATAGAGGAGATGAAAGAACATGAAAATGGTGTTCGTTTTCACGAGCTAAGAAAATATATTCAACTAGATACTGATGAATACATTCCTATGAAGATATATGTTGAAGTTGAAGATCCAGTAATAGGAAGAAAAGTAAAAGAATTGGTTGAGGCACTTGAAAAAACTCGTGCTCCAGAACAGTTTTATTTACATAAAAAAGAAGTAGATGAAGATGCTTATTTTGCTGAAGGCTATGGCCTTACAATGAATGAGGAACAGAAAAAACAAAGAGATGATTTTTTGAATGGGGAAAACGTTAAAGATCTTGAAAGACTTTTAAAAAAGGAAAAGTTATATCCTTAATTTAAAGATAACTAAAGAATAAAACAAAATGACATCTATAGAAAAATTAAAAGAAAAATGTGACAACTACCTTGATACCCGTGTTTATAACTACATCAAAGCCAAAAAACGCCAAAAAGCTATCTTAAGAGATAGGAAAAAATTTCAAATATTTAAAAGTGATGTAAATTTTTTAAATAGTGTTGAAAGTTGTCTTTATAAAAATATTTTTTTAGGAATTGATGTTAAAAAGTCTTTTATTAATTTACATTTTATAAAAATATTAAAACACTATAAATACATTAATTTTTATCATGAAAATATAAAAAAGCTAAATTATAATGAGAGACTATTATGTTATCTTGAAGCAATATTAGAACCTAAAGGACTTATTTTTTAAAAAAATTAATTATTATTTAAAGATAAAAATGATAATATAAATGTCAAATATGTTAGTAAAAAAGTTTAAAAATGAAGAGTTAGGAATTGAGATAACATCTTATTTAGACAATCAGCAAAATGTCTTTTTTCTTGGAAAAGATGTTGCAACTATTCTTGGCTATAGTAATACAAAAGAAGCATTAAAGAGACATGTATCAGAAGAAAACAAAATGATACGTTTTATGTAAGTAAATTGTAGGGGTCGTGAAACGCGACCTCAACAAAATGACAACAGGGGAAAATATTATACAATAATAAACGAGCCAGGATTTTATGAACTTGTATTTGGTTCTAAATTAGAGTTTGCTAAAAAGTTTCGCCAATGGGTTTTTAATACAGTTCTTCCATCTATAAGAAAATTTGGCTATTTTAAAATGTTTGACAACCCAAATAATAAAATGTTTAAGATTGAAAATGAAATGGATTTACACTGTAAAGTTGTTGAACTAATTAGAAATTTTTACCCAAATGCTTTATTGGTACCAGGACTTGGGGAAAACCAAGATACACCAGAAAAAAGAATTAACAGTTGGAAAAAAGGCTATATGCGAGGTCAACCAGATCTAATGATTCTTAATTATCACAAAGATTATAAAGGTCTCTGTATCGAATTCAAATCACCAACTAACAATTACTGCGTATCAGAATCACAACTAAAAATGAAAGAAAAGTACTGTGATAATGAATATGCATTTATTCTTAGTAATGATTATGATAAGATCAGCAAACGTATTCATAAATATATGGTTGGTGTGCGTATTCCTTGTAAATATTACGCAAAAGCATTTAAAAATAAAAAAACTCTAAATAGACATTATAAGGTAATTCATCGGATTGAGAAAAACATCTAATTTTGATATTAGTACTAATATCAAAATGTTATAGAAATCTTTTAATAACCACCAACTAGGAATTATATACTATTTAGTAGTTTATTCTTTAAACCATTTTTCTGAAACTCGAAACATCTTCTAAAGTAACCTTTATATGTCTATAGTTTCTCATATCATTTTGATACTTATTACATCTTTCATATAATTTTTCATCAATAACATCTTTTTTAAAACGTAAACAAAAATTAGAATAAATTTGAGCTTTTTCTACTAACAATTCATCATTTTCACCAAGCATAGAATCAACTTCTTTACAAATTTCTTTTCCTTCTTTAGCTAAATATGTTTTGTAAGAAATAATAAATTGATCTTCTAATTGTTCCATTTATTATATATCTAGATTAAATTTTTTACTATACCTACTAACAAATCTATCTGCTATAGGAGTTTGATCAATTATCATTTCATCTATCAACTTCATACGATCAACAAACTCTTCTTTGTTCCACTCATCTCCCCGAAGAGCTGCTTGGAGTTCAACAAGTACTTTTTCATAATTAGTAAATGCAATCCTTGTCATCTCAATTTTTCTCTTGTAATTATTTTTCTTTCCTACTCCAGCAACAATAACTCCAGCACCATTTACAACTCCAAGAACAACTGGGTTTAGGGTTATTCCACCGGAAATAGTTCCAATTGCAACCAAGCATATTCCAGAAAATGTAAAAAAATTATCAAGAAATTTATAACTCTTATAAGCCCGCTTAAAACACCAGTATTTTTTGTGGTAATGACTATAAAAGTCTTTAAGGGTTTTAAAGGGAACCTCCACTTCAACAAAAAGATAACTTTAAATCACAGGAAATAACTGTTACAGTCAAGTCAATCTAAAATATTTTTAAAGAAAGCGTTTGTATCCGAAAGAAATAACTTTTAGATTCGCCTATTTTTGTTTTCAAATTTTGCGGGCGTCGCTATCTTGAATAATTGTGACGTGTAATGGTTGCCCTATTGTTATTATACAAAAGCTCTTTGTGTCAGAACAATAGAGCAACCGTAACACGTCACAATTATTCAAGATGGCGGCGCCCGCGAAATTTGAAAGTAAAAATAAGCGATTTTAAAATTCACTTTTCCTGATATAAACACTTTTTTTAAGACAAATTTCGAGCAAATTTGTTTATCAACATAATTTTATTCGATTTAAACTTATTCTGTAGATAGAGTGGAGGTTCCCTTTAATATCAGATTCTGACAGAGATTTGTCTATGTGATTAAATTCAAAGATATCCTTCATTTATATCTATAATATATAAGATTCATTTAACTTTTCTTGAAGTATTACTTTATGATATTCTATAGAGTCGGTGTCGTAAAAGTTTGGGGAGTACATAAATTTTTCTATTACTCCATCTTGATTTAAAAATTCAAATTTTTGGTCACTTGAATGACTAACAACATTAGCAACTATTTCTGAGGAGTAGTTACTTATTTTAATTTTTGTAACATGATTATTAATACTTTCTGTTAGCCATAAAACAACCTTTTTTCCATTAAAACTACCTGGAATTGTTATATTTTTTCTTGTATTACCAATATGTAAATATAAATTATTATTTGAATTAAGATAGTATAAATATAATAAAGTTTGATTGCTATTTGAATCTTTTTTAGTTATACTAAAATTTCTATTTCTCCAAAGAGTAAAAACAATACATAAAGTATAGCTTGTAAGTTTACTAGCTGATGAATAAGAAATAGTATAACCATTAACATTTAATCCACCATCTTTTATGTTATCAATTGTTTTAGTTGGAAAGGTAATATTTCTTGCAGAATTTCATGTAATAGAAGATAAGGAATTAAATACAACCCCAGATGAAGATTTATTTAAAACGTAAATATTTGAATCATTAAAGTCAAAAAAATCTTCAAAATATTTTTTATAAATATAATTTTTTGTAAAAGGATGAATTTCTTTTACCATTCCAACTGTTGCTGCACCATTGTTACTGTTTCTATCAAGATTAATGTTTAATATTTTTTTATTATTTGCATTTATATCAACGTTGTACAACACTTCTGTTGGTTTGATATCAAATGCGGTGTGATAGTCGTAAACTTTATCTGGATCGATATTGCTAATTTTTCCCTCAATTCCATAAGTAATTATATAAACTCCTGAAAACTGTCTCGGATACACAGCTAGGTCAGTCCCATCTTGTGGTATATTAACCAGAATATGAAGAAAGAACTTATTACCGGATGACAACTTCTTAAAATTAACTATTATTCTATGATAATACATAAATTGTGCTTGTCCCTTTGGATCGCTGTAACTATGGTAGAGTTTCTTTACACTAACATTTTCAATTGATAATCCTCTTGAAGTTCCTTTGTCTACACTTATTTGAGACTTATGCCACAGTTGATAATCAGTGTTGAGTATTTCCAAACATAACGTGTAATCAGCATTTGCAGTTAACCTGTAAAAGTTGATTCCCATTTTGTACTTATATCCACCTTGAGAACTTTTGTTTATTGTTAAAAAAATTACTTTGTGGTTATAGTTATGAAAATTACCTTTAGAAGGAGATAAGTCTCCTATTCTTGACACAAGAAAACTATTTCCACCATCTGTTTCATCACTCCATTGTGCCCCACTAGACATAAGATAAGCAAACTGGTCGTTGTAATGGCTTGGTTGAACTGCAGTGTGATGAACTAGTTTGTCAGCATAATCTTTAGTTACCGCTTCATTGTCTTGGGTTGGCTTACTAAGATTTATTATTTTATTATTACCAACATTAAAGTTTCCAGTCATAGCGACAGTACCATCTTTTTCCAAATAATCACTTAAATCTGGACTTCCAACATTATCATCCACATATTTCTTTGTTGCGGCGTCTGTGTTTGATGTTGGAGTTGCGAGACCACCTAATTTTGTTGTTGTTAAGATTTAGGTCTCCACTCATAGCAACGGTACCATCTTTTTCCAAGTAATCACTTAAATCTGGGGTACCTGTGTTATCATCCACATACTTTTTGGTTGCAGCATCTTTGTTTGATGATGGTGGTCTAAGGTTAATTATTTTTTTATTATCCATGTTTAGATTATTAGTCATTTTATTTGTTCCAGCAACGTGGAGATACTTCAAATCTGTAAAAGCTAATGGTGTTGGTTGTTTGGGTCCCGCTGGAGCTGGCAGATTAAATATTTGATTATTGTCCATATCTAAATTTCCAGTCATTTTTTTTGTTCCATTTAGATTTAAAAAATTATTATCAGCGTAAGACTTTGTTGCCGCCTCATCTACATCAGATGGCGCTTTAAGGTTTAGTATACGGTAACTATCTTTCATATCAATGTCTGAATCAACTGTCAATCGTGATGTTGTGGGTGATCCACTAGAATTATCATCAACATATTTTTTTGTAGCAGCATCAGTATTATCACTGGGAGCACCAACATTTGTGAGTATTTTTTTATTCATATCATAATTACCATCTGTGGACTAAATCCAACTCCTGGAGCACCCTGAATTCCCTTAGCAAAGGGATGGTCAAAAGATTGTTCGTTAAATATTCCCATTTTAGTTATTGGTTATATTACCAGTAAAGTTTTTTGCGATATGTTTTTTGGGTTTATCAACATATAGAAATGTAAATGGTTTTTTTGTTGCTGCTTTATATGTCTCTTTGTCAACTCCCAACTCAGATGATATTCTGTTTGCTTCCCTCGATGATGGAAATTCATACAAACAGTAATGAGAACAATTTAGTCGAATATCCTTTGGAGTTTTGTAAAATGATTGACTGAGGTATATTACAGACCAATTCTTATGACGTCCTTGAATGAAATAATCAATAAGTTGTCTCTGGTTTTTATCACATACGTAATCATCAAATATCACAAGTTTTTGATTGTCTTCGTAATCCATTTCTGACACTGGGGTTATTTCATTATTACTCACATGAATTATTTCATATCCAACTTTAGAACTCAGTTCTCTCATTTTTTGCATTAGCTTTTTGTATTTATCCTGCTCTAAATTACGCGCGTAAAGATAAATCTCATCGAAGTACAACAGTGGTTTAATTAACATATGGTACAACAGATTAGTCTTACCAGTTCCACTGTTTCCACAGATTAACATTCGAAATATTTCTGATGGCATGTCAGGAAATAGCTGTTTATATTTTTTATCCGAATCACCAGTACTATCATAGTTTGGTATTTCCATTTATCTATTTATTAGATAAAATGGATATTGAAGAAGCCAAAAAATTTGCAAAAAATAAAATTGAAGCTGAAACTTTAACTCAACAGGTTAGAGATGTAATAAAAATAACAAAATGGCAAAAACAAGATATGCGAGAAGGTTTTAAAGAGACATTTAAACCACTTATTAAATCTCAAGATAGCATTAAAAAAAGTATTGATGAGCAGCAAAACGCAACTATAGCACAACTTTAAAAAAATCAACTTGCATTAACATCAGGATTGGAAAAAATTAATGAAACTAATTTAAGATTGGCTGAAATGAGAGAATTACCAGCTTTGGAAGGTGATTATGATGAACCTACAACATCTAAACCAAGATCACCTACACGTTATAACATTGAAAAAAATCTTGACGATTTTGATTTAGGAATATTAAAAATTATGGAATATCCAAGACCAAATGATTTTTTTGATACTAACCATGAAAAACTTAGAGAAATACACGATGAAGTAAAAAATGATGTAAAAGTTTTTACAGGACAAATAGCTGGATTGAAGAGAAAAAAACATAAAACAGAAGAAGACAAAGAAGAAATAGAAAGGATTAAAATGCAAAAAGATTTACTACATAAATACAAAATCATTCTTAATCTTTATTTAGGTTCGCTTGAGTATCAAATGGGAGAAGGAATGATTTACTTTAACAACCCACATAAACTTCTAGACAGACTTGAATTACTCGGTGGTTCAATTCTTGCTGGTAATAATGGTGTAATACCTGAGTTTTCTCAAATAGCACATCTTCTCAACCAAATGAAAGTAATCTCAAAAAAACAACTAAATGATTTACTAAAAAATTATATAACAATTAAATAAAATGGAAGAACGAGCTATCCACATTTCCTCAATAAATAGGGAAAAAAGAGGAACAAGCAGACCTGGTGATTTTACTATTAAGTTTAATCCATCTCTTAAACTTGACCCTGATAAGAAACACGAACTTGCTCTTGATCGGTTGTCAATGACTTACTCTTGGTACAACATTAGAAGTGATTACGGCAACAATAAAATCAAATACACTCACAATGGAACCAACTGGCAAACAATTACTTTTACAGATGGAATGTATTCCTACTCAGATATTAATGATTATATTCATCAATATATGTCTCAAAAGTCTCATCACTCAACAGATTCAAGTGGAAAAAAGACTTATTCAATCAATCTAACTTTTATACTATCTACTTATCGAGTTCTGATATCACTTGATGGTGATTATCAACTTGATTTGAGAGGAACAGAATTTGGAGACCTGATTGGATTTGAAAAGAAACTCATTACAAAAACAGAGTATGGATCAAAACTACCAAATATAACAGATTCAATTGATGTATTAAATATCAACACAACTGCAATAACTGATAGTATTGTAAATGGAATAAACACTAATACCATTGCTGTGATACCAACTGATAATCTTACAAGGTCTTTTCCATTTACATTTGAACCTAAAAGACCATTGTTTTGTCCTGTATCATCATTTCACATTGATGAAATGAAAATCTATGTGACAGACTCACTTGGTAGACCAGTAAATTTTAATGGTATTGATTGGTTTATGACTTTAATACTTCACTCTATGTAATATAACTATTAAAATAAAATGAAGCGACAATCAGAGTTTAAAAAGAAACTTGACCCTGAATTGGGGAGATATACAAGACAACATATTTATGGAGAAGGAATGACGGACGTGTTTAAATCTGTTGGTTCAAAATTATTTGGAAAAACAATGAAAAAAGCTGCTAAAAAAGGTGTTGAAAAAGCAGTGACAGCAGCTGCAACAAAAACTGGTGAACATGTTGGTAAAAAGGCTGGTGATAAGATAGTGCAAATGTTATCAAAAGGGGGAGTTGCACCCTCCCGAAAACCCCCTGCTAAAAAAGTTACTTTTAATAAAAATATTGTAAAAATTCCAAACAAAAAAAATAACTCAACAAGAAATAAATCAAAGAGTGAATGCTATTCTTAGTGGGGGAAAAATTATATAATTATTAAAATAAAAATGAAGTCATTTAGAAATCCAGAATATTTAGAAAGATATGAAGATGTTGTTTTTGACCTTGAACAGACTTTGGCTGAACCTGGAAATAATGCTCACCAAACTAAAACAGGTCATAGATTTGTTGCTGATAATACAGGTGAGGCAACTGCATTTGATTGGTATAACGCGCGATTTTCAGTAGATTTCAAAGTTCAACTGTTAGATGGAAATGATTTTAACAATAATAACCTACAATCGGGAATAGTAAATGGTTCAAGTAGTTTAATTGAAAAGTTATCCATTCTAGCAAATGGGCGAGATGTTTACAGTTGCAACTATGCTAATCATATAGTAAATATTAAAAATTTACTTGAATATAATCCCTCTTATGCTGAGAGTGTTGCTACAAATGAATTTTACTATCTTGATACATCAAGAAACGCAAATAGAAATAAATACACAGAAAGACAAGTTCAACATGGAGCTAATGATGGTGCTAATGGTTGGGAAGCAAGATATTTTTTGGATGGAGACAATACTAATTATAACAAAGGTTTTGCAATAAGAAGAACGCTAATAGGCAACTCATTAAAAATTAGATGTGAAATCCCCTTCAACAGATATTCTTTCTTTGAATCATTAGAGGACAAACTTCTTCCAAACACAAAAATTGAACTAAATATTGAACTAGAATCAGATAACAATCTTATAACAAGATTTCAACTATTTGTTCCAAGAATAACTTTTAACAAAAAAGGACAAGAATTATACCTTAAAAATTATCTCAAGCCCTATAAATGGATGTATCTTAATGAAGTAGTAGAGCGATCAAATAACACTCAACAGCAAACAGGTCATTTCAAAATTACAAATGCTATCTCAAAACCTCGCCACGTCTTTGTTTTTGCGATTAACACAGCCAATATTGATTCACAAACAGCAAATCCATTCCTTTACAACACTTTTAATCTACCAAACAATGCTAACATATCTCGTTGTTATCTAGAGGTTGGAAATGGAAATGAATACCCTGATATTCACTTTAAACCAGCTACAGATCCAGCAAGAGTGTTTCGAGAAGTAATGGGTCATGTTTACGCAAATAACGACTTTCAAGGTGGAACACTTCTCAATAGAACAAATTTTGAGTCTTTGTTTCCTTTTATTTATTTTGACCTGACAAAACAAAAAATGGATATAAAAGATGGAGTTACAAAACTAGCTTTTCATTATGAATTATCTGCTAATCCAAACGCTGATTATAATATTTACGCTTTGATACTTCACGAGCGAGTGGCAGAAATCGAACAGCAAGGAGGAAAACTATTGCTTCGTGCTTAATTTAAAAATAAAATAAAAATGGTAAATCCTTTTGATATATATTCACCTTTAATTCCTGAATTTTTCTCAATACAAGCATCCCTGCGACCTTCCATCCGTCTTAAAGTGAGAGGCATAATCAAAATTTTACACAAGCTGTTAAAGTTTCACAGAATTTTATACAAGTTGTAGAAAATTTTGTGTAATCATTTGATTGGTTGAAAAAATCATACCATAACCTTCTAGAAGGTTCTAATGACAATGCAATTTTCTATAATTAGATTTTATCTTCAAATCTAATTATATAGCCCAACAACCGGGTGAAATTACAATAAACCAAAGAAGAAAAGATTAAGTGATGTAATTAAATTTCCGGAAATCAATTTAATATAAATATTATAATAAAAAATGACTACTTATTTTGAATACGGTGTAAAACTTACAAATGGGCAAAAGTCAAAACTGGCTTCTGCAATAAGAAATAAATCACCACTAACTCTTCGGTTAAAACATTCTCATCTTCAAGGTTCTGATGAGTTAATGCTAACCCAAAGACAAATTACTAAAATTAAAAAATCACTTAGAAATGGAACAGGATCAGATATAAAGATAAGTAAAACTCAGATTAGAAAATCTGTAAAACATGGTGGAAACTTCTTTTCATCACTTGCTTCTATTGGAGCAAAAGTATTACCTTACGCAATAAAAGGAATTTCAAAAGCTGTTCCTGCATTAGCAACTGGTGCTGCAACCGCACTTGGAGAAATTGGTCTAAATAAAATATTTGGAAAAGGAATCACAATTCCAAAAAAGTTTTTTCCAATGTTACCAGCTATTAGAGGAGAATCAACCAAATCACAAATAGATCTAATAAACAAAATTTATCAATCAGGTGGACGACTGGTTATCAAACCAACTCGTAAACAGATAGAAGGAGGATTTCTTGGAACTCTTGCTTCTATCGGAATTCCAATGGCAATTAGTTTAGTATCTAAGATGTTTGGTGGGGGACTTCAGGTTGATAGACGTGGATCATCTAATACAGCAAATGTTTACGTTCCACATCCTCCACCAAAAAGTGGTGAAGGTTATCCTTATAGATCACCCCCCTTTTTTGGTACTTGGGAAAACCCAATAGGAATGGGAGTTAAAAAAAAAAGTCCAAAGGAAAGGGAATACTATTAGGAAAAAACAGTCCATTCAACTCAATTCCCATTCTAGGAACCATTTTGTAATTAAACCACTGTCCAACTTTGACCTTATGGATTGGATAAAAAGACTTGGTATTAAACATTTTAGAGGAATATATAGTCGTGATGGTCTACCAAAAAAGATTAGAAAAGAATGTCGAATAATCAATCTCGATGATATGACAGGCCCTGGAACACATTGGGTCTGTTATAGAAATATAGATAATGTAGTTGAGTACTTTGATCCGTTTGGACTAATAATGCCAAATGAAGCATTAGAGTATTTTCATACTTCTGGAAAACGTATATTTTACTCAATGGATGAAATACAAAATCGCAATACTGTTCTCTGTGGATATTGGTGTTTATATTATCTGTTTGAGCGACAACGTGGTACTAGTATTCTTGATGTAATACATAACCCTCATTTTGATAATGACAACAGTGATTTTATAAAAGAATATTTCTCTTAAGACTAAATATAAAATTTTATATTTAGTCTGAATCCATTGGTGCATCCTTCAGTTGCTTTACCCTATCAACTTTTGTATTTATATCTTTAACACTATCAACTATATCAACAAAATTTGAGTAAATGTCAATAAGACGATAAGGTTTCTTCTTTTTATCACTATTTATCTGCAACCAAGAATATTCCTCATTTCTGATTTTTTTCCACATATTACTTTCACCTGCAATTAGTATTCTAGAAAGATTATCATTTTTCTTTCTAAGAATTTCCAACTCCTTACATATTTTTGTCCTTACTTCTTTCTCAAAATCCTCGATTGTTTTAACATCCATCTTTTTCTCTATCTCAGAAAAGAATTTAGCCTCCATTTATTAAATAAATAGATAATTACCTTTTACAACTTTGTTAAGTGTATTTGATTTTTCACTTATTTCCATAAGCAACTCAAATACTTTTATAAATTTAGTATCATTTTCCAATCTAGAAAAATCAGCGTATTCATTACTTATGTTTAGGTTATTGTATATCTTTTGAAGTTCACTTTTAAGAAAATTAGATCTAGTATTCATATTTTTATCTAAACATTATATTAAATGAAAGAATCATATTGCATCGTAGATAAAAGAGTAACTCCTTGTACAGAGCCAAGTGGTTACCAAACTGATAAAAGAGGTAGAACACAATTCTTTTGTAGATGTGCAGTTTGTGGAAATAAAAAAGTTAGATATGTAAAATCAGGTTCAGTTTCTCAAACTGGAAGTGGTAAAAAGAGAAAAACAAAAAAGAAGTCAAAAAACTAATTAGCCCGTCTAAAGGGGCGGGCGTCTTTGATACTGTTGTTGGTACAGCAGTTGATGGTTTTGTTCATTACAGTTTACCTTGGATGGGTAAGAAAGCAGTTGAAATGGGGCAATATGGAACAAGCGAGTTAATGAGAAATAAAAATTTTCAGAAGAAATCTGTAAATTATGGAATTAATAAACTAACTCCATTTATTCAAGATTCTGTTGGATCAGCAATGGATAAACTATCAACAAAAGTGAGACCAAAGAAAAAGTATAAAACTAATAGACCGGAATTAGATGGAAGGGGAATAGATATTCACAATGCTATTCTTAAAGTGGCACCAAAAAAAGGTTTAGTCATACCAGGTCATAATTATACTGGCCCTGGTAATCCTCTTCATGATCAACTTCGTCATGATGACGAGGGAAATATACTAGAAATATATCAACAACCAACAGGACCAACGGATGCAGTTAGTATGCAACATGATGTAGATTATGCAGTTTGTGGAAATAAACCAAAAAATGAACAAGTAAAATGTAAAAATAAAGCTGATAAAAAAATGGTAAAATCATTGGATGCAATTCCTTGGAAAGATAGACAATGGGGGCATGCTATGGCTAGAACAATAATTAATACAAAACAAAAACTTGGTCTTGGAATTCAAAAAAACGCGCGTCGGCGTTGAGTAGTGATTGGTCTCAACAATTAGCCGACGAACTTCACAAACCAATCACAAGAAACTTTCAAAAAAGATTAGTAGTCTCAAACGGAATTGATGATATCTGGGCTGCTGATTTAGTTGAAATGCAAAAGTTTAGTAAGTGGAACAAAGGGATTAAATATCTTCTGATGGTTATTGATGTGTTTAGCAAGTATGGTTGGATTAGAGGTTTGAAAGATAAAAAAACTGAAACTGTTAGTAAAGCATTTGAGGACATATTCAAAAGTAAACGTAAACCAAAGATGCTATGGACAGATAAAGGTTCTGAGTTTATCAGTAAACATTTCAAAGATTTTCTGAAAAGAGAGGGAATCAATTTGTATCACACTGAAAATGAAGAAAAATCTAGTGTTGTTGAGAGATGGAATAAAACAATGAAAATCAGAATGTGGAAGATGTTTACAGTTAATAACAACACTGTTTACTGGGATAAGTTAAATAAACTAGTTAATAATTACAATAACACAAAACATTCTAGTATAAAAATGTCTCCTGTTGAAGCAAGTAAAAAGAAAAATGAAAAAATAGTTTGGTCTAATTTGTATGGTGATTCGATTTACTTAAAACCTGGTAAATCAAAATTTGCGGTTGGTGATAAAGTTAGAATTTCTAAGTATAAGAGGAAGGTATTTGATAAAGGTTACACACCAAACTGGACAGATGAAATATTTGTGATTAATAAAGTTTTACCTACAAAACCTATTACATATAGCATTGTTGATATGATGGGAGAAGATATTAAGGGTTCTTTCTACGAGCAAGAATTGCAAAAAGCAAAACAACAAACATTTAGAATAGAAAAGATTATCAGACGAGATAATAAGAAAAAAATGCATTAGTAAAATGGAGTGGATATCCTGATAAATTTAACTCATGGGTAAGCTCAAAGGATTTAGTTGATTTTTAATACAAATTTTGTATTAAAAATAAAATCCTATTATTTACTTATTTTCTTTATCAGGGATAAATAAGTCTTCAAGTACTTGATCAGTTATCTCTTCACTTTCACTATCTTCCTCATCAATTGTTAGTAAAGCCTCTCTAGGTTTTAATGGTTTTACATAGCACTCATGTACTTTTATTTGTAATGATGTTACAGTCTTACTTATAAAGATTCCTTCAACTATCAATGCCATTTTAACATTACAGTACTGGTTAATATATTTAAAAGGATTTAAATCCTTACCTCCCTTTCCCTTAAACAAAGATAAAATTTTCTTTGATTTTTCTGAGTAAATAAGTTTTGCATATAGAACTGGTGAGGATGATTCATCAACTTTTGTTTTCTTTTTTCCTTTCTTGTCTGTATATTCTATCTGTTTGTAGTAAAATGGTGGAAATAAAGTTGATGCTAGATCTGGACCATATTCTTTCTCTAAATAAAGTTGAGAAATAGTTGTTATATTATTAATAACATCAAAAAATGCTTTTTCTTTATTATTTGGCTCACTATCTTTAGCCCAAAGACATACTGGAATACTATAACCTACTAACTTGTTTGTTTCTTGATTTTTCTTTTCATTAACACCAAAACTAAAAAGAACTGGTGATTCTAATACCAAAGCTCCTTTCTTTCCATTTTTATATTTAACTTCAATTGGGATACGTTTGTATTTTATCTTGCTATCTTTGACTTTGTACTCTTTGGCTTCATTAAAAATAATATTGTCTTGAGTAATATTTTCGTAACTGGACAGCTGCATTTTATTAACATTTAGTTAATCTTTAAACCTTTTTTAAATTTTCTCAAATCATTTGCAATATCTCTAAAACAAAAACAAATGTCTATATATACTCCTTCTTTATTTTTTCCATATGAAAGCAAAGAAAAACTACTTGCAATTTTTTCTAATCTTTCTTCTATTTTTCCAATTAAATCAAAAACTTCACTAGATTTATCAATATATGATCTACAAGCTAAAACATCATCATTAGTACTCATTTTATCACTACCCAATTTAGTAATAGATATAGAATTTAAATCAATATCATTAGAAAAACTATTTGAACTCATTTTAATATACTTTATATATTGTTTAAATTACTTTTTAGGCCAAAGTAAATTAACTGACCAAAAGTTTGCTCATTCGGGATTATTATAAGTTAATTCCCCTTGTTTATTTTTTATCTTTGTAGCTCTAGAAAGATATTTATCTCTTCTCTCTTTGTCTTGATGAATAAGATAATCTGGATATTTTGGTGATCCAAAATGTACTTTTTTTCCACTTGAAAGAGTGGCCATATATTTATTATTTTTTCGTGTTGAATAATCAAGTGATTCAGCACCAAGTTTTTTAGCATTTCGTGTTAACTTTTTAAACTCTTTTCCACTAACAAGATACTTTTCGTTTGGAACATAATCTGGATCCACATCATGTCTATAACCATCATCAACTATAAATTCCAAATCCTCTTTTGTAGGAGTAGTTTCTCTTGATCTTGATTCCATTTTTATTAGTTGTTTATACTAATTCTTCTTTAAACTTTTGTTCCCTTCTATATATTTCTTCATGTCCTATTTCTTTTACTTGCTCTGGAGTATACATATGAGTAAACATAAGATATTTACAAAAAGGATTTAGTGGCTCTTCATTTCCAAGAGCTTTAATAACACCAGCAATACTTATCTTTGCAGTATCAACAATACCCTCTAAATAAGAAAAAATATAATGCAACCCATACTTATCTTCTTCAAAAGGAAAATCAGGATTTGTTGTTATATAACCAATATTATGAAAAATACCATAATACCTAGCTAATGTTTTTGCTAATTTAATCTTTTTCTCATCATTACTCTCTTTTAATTTTTTCATTGCTTCAATCATAGTTTTTTTTTCTTTCTTTCTCTTTCCATCCAACCACAACTTTACAACCCATATCTTCTAATCCCTTTAATAAATCTTCCATTTTATATGTTGTTTAAACTAGTTAAGTATTTTATAATAATCTTTTTTATATTTTAAAGCAACTAACTTTTCATTATAATTTGGGTCTCTATAACACTCAAGTCGAATTTCTGGATTTGGATATTCTTTTAGCATAGTAAATAATCTATGGTCTTTATTTTTTTTAATTTCTTTCATTTTTTCCTCTAATGTTTTAAAAGTGTGTTCAATATAAACTTTTCTTCCAGGAAAATGAATTGTAAAAATTTGCTGAAAATTATTAACCATTTTTTTAATTAAAAATATTTTTCTTTTAAACCGTTTTTAAAACTTGTAACAAAAATGTTATAAGTTTAAACACTATCACTATCAACATCATAATCACTATCAGTATCACTATCACTAAAACTAATATAAATAACTTCTTTGTATTTAATTTTGAATTTATTAAAAAATAATTCAAACTCATTAAAAATATTTTTAAAACCGGGGTAAGGATTAATAAAAGGAAAATCTTCTTCATCATAACAACATTTACAAAAATTAATATACTGATTAGAATTAAGAAAATTCTTTCTAATCTTAATTAAGTTATTAACATCAACATAATTAATCTCAAAATCACTAGTATCTTTAAGTTTACCCCTTTCTTGCCCTTTCAAAAATCTTTTTATAAAATACTTAATTCTATCAATTTTTTTATTCTCAAATAATCCACGAGCTGCATCATCTATATTATCAACAAAATACTGAAATTCCTTATTTATTACTCTTATAAAAAGATATTCTTTTTTGTAGTCCCTTGTATATTCTGGGATTTTATTAGTTGATTTAATGCAATTCTGGGAATTTGAAAGATGCCCCAGGATACCCATTTCTATAACTACTTGCGTCACAGACGGAAATACAGATCTTGTTAAGTCCGTCTGCGAAACAGTGTCGACATCCTTGTTCTGGGCCCCCACCTGTGTACCAGGATTTGAGTACGCGCTATGATTGGCCAGTTTAAAATGCTATTGAAAATTTGCCATTGAAGGGAAAACTCGAAACGCATTTCCGGTAATTCGTTGAGTCCGTTGGGGGGCTAGAACAAGGATATCAGCGCTGCTGCTCAGAAGTTACTAACGGGGTTAGATTACGTCTGCGAAGCAGGCTAGGCCCGGACGGGTGGGATCAATTAAGATTTCCGGGAAACTGACCACCTACCCCTCCCCTAAGCCAACATTATCACTTAGGGCAAAATGTTGGCTTAGGGGAGGAGTAGGTGGTCAGTTTCCCACTAACCTAAATTGATCCAACAGGTATAAGAACGAACCAACGAAGAAAAGTCAAGAAAGAACGACTAAAAGGTTGTATGATTAGATGGAAGATTATAAACATATTTACTTGGCTCTTTTTCTTTTAGCTATATAGTTCTAGGGCGACTGTTAATTATTTTTTGTTTTTATTTCTGATAACCCGCCTCTAATTCTAACTCTAATTCCTGGGACGTCCGCGTTTGAAACGTCATCAAGTTCACGCCTGACTGCCTCAAAGCAAACAACGGTGTTTTCCTCTCTGTCCTATAATTTAATCTTGGCAGCATGAATGGTAGCCTTACCAGTGTTGAGGAAGCAGTCTGAAACAGAAGACAAGGATGCCACTTCTGCGAATTATATGGGACGAAACCACTGTAAAACACAGAGCTATGGAGACCTCATCTGACCTTGTACTCATGTACAGTAGGCTCAATCCTATAAGCTGTAGCATCCAGCGAATGAGATCCAGTCCGCGGTCGCTGGTTACTGGGCCGTAATAATAACATACACCAAAGCTTATGAGGCCTGAAGAAAGCGGGAAATAAACACAGCTGTTATACAGCGTAATACGTTGACTAGGCCGTAACAACAGCAAACACATAAGCTTCTGATACCTGACGAAAGGAAAAAACTCTGCTGTTATAGAGCGTAATACGACAGTCAAAGAGTAAGAGTTTTTGAAAAATGCGACCATAATAATCTTTAATATGCAGGTTTTCCTTTTCCCATAAGAGACCTTTAGATTCTATTAAAAAAAACGAGGGCGCGACGACGAAGACGAGATTTTCTCAATACTACTGAATTAAGTAGTGTGCACGCGTGATCCAGCGTTCTTTTGGCGAGAAAGCGCGATAGCCGTCTTCAATCTACTACGGATTTTAGCAAGAATGTCGTAATGGCGGAAACAAGTTATTAAAATGTTCGAAAATGTATCACTTTGCGATCGGGGGAGGGCTTAACCTCCTTCGATAAAAATAACCGTACTAACGTTTCGGTTGAAAAAAACAAAAAAGGACAATGAAGTTTTCCGGGTTGTCTATGTACGTTTAGAGAATATACGCGAAAAAACTTGTGGTTAAATCTGGTCCTCATATCTATAGGTCTGTTTAGTGACATACCTATAACAACAAGATATCCAATGACCCATTGGTTGTGGTTAAGTAGAAGGTCTTTTAAGTTACTCCAATTCCACTGGATTAAATAGGCACCCAGACTCCATCCTCCAATTAAAACAGCATATGCACCTCCTCTCTGAAAAGAATGACCACACAACAACAACATTTAAAACAACGCCTCCAATACATGTACATGCAATAAACTTCCCGAAAGGACATGCTTTTGGTCCTGCCATCCGTTTTTGACTTGGACACCCAAACGAGGGGATTAGGCTGCGTTCTCATGAGGTCGAACGCAGTAAAATACAACAAGTAAACACGGCGGCCTCAGTTGCGAAAATGGCATAAAACAATATGCTGAAATATTGACAACAATTCTTAAGCAAATGCATACATGCACGTTCAACATTTTTAAACTTCCTATTGCCAGCATAACAGGGGTTAACACTCACCTCTGCTCGCTTTACCCCAGGACTTTGTCTAAAACATCACCCCCAAACTGCTTTGTCTTATCCAAGGGATAAGTCTTAACAGTGGTTGAACCTTTTGTCTCACCCCAGGGATTAATCCGTGTAGGATGTGGACAAGGAGAAGAAGTGACATGATAAGACCAAGTGATACAGCAGGGCCCAGTTGTTCAAACGTTGGGTAGCGCTATCAACTGGATAAATCACTATCCAGCGGATGGCGTTATTGATTTCCGTAATACTTATTCACTGGATAGTGATTTATCCAGTGGAGAGCGCTATCCAAGGCTTGAACAACCAGGGCCAGATGAATAAAAGAACAAGCTGTTTCTGGAAAGAAAAAACCCCAGGGCTAGGTCTTAACATTGACCCTACACCGCTCTTTCTTACCCCTGGGATTAGTCTGTGCAGCATGAATAGTCTGTGCAGTATGTAGACAAGCAGAAGAAGTGACATGATAAGACCAAGTAATACACCAGATGAATAAAAGAACAAACTGTTCCTGGAAAGAAAAAACAGCTCATTAATAATATTAATAATAGAAGAAACATTGACAACAGATTCACAGCTCTGCTATCTTGTGTGCACAAAGTTTGCAAGAACAACAACAAAGAACAAAAGTGCGACTTTCCATAGAATCTGCTCTTGATCAGTTTACTTTAGTGCACCATGGGCAATAACAAGATCAAAGGAATAATTATGGTGTGGAAAACAACTAGACCTACTATTGAGGCGCAATGCTACAGTGTAGTTGTAAGCATACAATAGACTTCCCTCATGCAGCGACCATTTTGTCTCAGTAGACTTAAAAAGCTTTGTTTATGAACAGTTAGCCTCGTTCTCTCTAAGAGGCTAGCCATGCATAAACAGAGCTTTTTAGATCTCCTAACACAAAATGGCCACCCCATGACAAAGGTCTATTGGCAGCAATTGAAAGTTGGTATGGCATCTCAATAGACTTAATGGATCAACTGTCATTACTGACACCATCATCATCATCATCATCATCATCATCATCATCATCACTTTAACAAATCAAGTTCTTGTTAAAATTTACATTGTGGAAGGGGACGTTTAGATAGTATACCTACTAAGTCTTTCTGCATTGTAAAAGATGACAAGGCCTGCTAGAAATGCTGCTGGAAATTTCCAGTCAATGACTAAAATGGAAAGAGATTAACAACATTATTATTTACCCTCTACATGCACAAAAGTAAGGTGCTTTTTTGCTGAAATAGAATCATATCATTAAAGCAAGTTTATTCTTTTATTATCCTCACATAAACTCCACATTCTTCTGATTGGGTGAGCGTTTATTTGATGGTGTTGTTCACAGGTATTAATTAGTGGCAGTATTTAATTAATCAAATACAGTACGTCACTAACTTTCAATGCTATGGACATTCAAATGAAACAACTTTTGGTAAAAACTTTAAAATACAGGTGAACTACCATTTATTTTTTAGAATTTTACAAAAAGAAATTTGAATTTTGTTTTGAACTTGCTCTTTGGCCACTGTTAAGTTTGAAATGGTATTATCATGGATATTTGTCATGACCATAAAATTAAATTTGTAGAATCACCTTGAAACTCAGCTTCTATTGACACATTCCGTTTTTTTCCAAATTCCACTGCAAAGCATGAAGTTTTGAATGGTGACTGCTTGAACGTGATTTGATCCTGTATGTTAGTGCTATTCACCAATGACTGAAACACAGATCCCCAATTTTTATTGGCTGGGTTGAGCGCATGGCAGCTGTCAAGTGCAATACAAATAAAAAAGAATGTTTTGAAATTACTGATTAAAGTAGAAAACACATGTGAGTAGGACACACATGTAAGCATATTAAAATGACTCATTTACAATGCACAACATAAATACATGTAATAATGATCTGAATGTAGTGATCCAGTAATAATTAATAAATATGAATGTTGCTATAACTGTAGAATCAGACAATAATAAATTATTCACTATACCCCTTTAACACTAGGCTTGATTTCTACCGCTCTCTTAGTCCTCCCCAAGAAGAGATGGCTGGATGAGTGAGTGGCCCATAAAGTAACTTCAAAATTTATGCATCTTTAACGTCAAAAATGGGAAATGTCATTAAATACTGAACATATGTTGTGCTTTGCCTCGTCTTCACTTTGGTATTTGCCATAAAAATCAGCAGATTGTATTTACATTGACCCTGCATTACCGGTGGACTTGACAGTCGTCTCTTTCACGTTAGCTGCAAACAACCATCATTCATGTAGAATGGAAATAATTATTGATCCAGTTCCAGTTGGTTGAATTTCAAAAATATATCTACTATTAATTTTTTTGCCAGCTTCTCTAAGAGAATACTTTTCTTTGTTAAAAAACGTTCTAAGACACAATCGCACGCCAAATCAAACAACACCTAAGTTTGGCCTGTCGTTTAAAATCTGCTCCAGAAAAATAAAATGATTTATGCTGTCTGCTTGATTTGAGCAGCCAACGATAATAATAATTTTGTAATAATAATAATAATAATAATAATAATTTAAACATATTTATACAGGATTGCTGCATCAGTTTTAAGAAAAAACTGCTATCAATGCAGGTCCTGAAAAAAAAAGGTTAAAAATAATTATGGATAAAAACAAATTACAATAGTATAAAATAGCTACGTTAAAAGGAAGATTCGAACAGTTTTAAATTCTAAAAGGTATTAAAAATTTTGTTGCACCTGTGTAGAAAAAAGTGCGCTTGGTGCATTCTAAGTTAACTTTTTCTAAGATAAGGTCATTATTATTTCTAGTTTTGTGGCGATGAATGTCACAGTTTCTTACATTAAAACAATTAAAAGGGTATCTGGGAACTCTATTTGCAAAGCAGTCATTAACAAGTCTTAAAATGTGTGTCTGTCTTCTATAATAGAGAGGTTCCAATTTGATCATTTGACAGTTTTGAGGCAGCTTTGAAGTAGACAATCCTCGCTGCTCATCTTTGTAGTCATTCAATCTTCTCATTGTTTCCTTGTCAACAGTCATGCCACACAGCATCACAATAATCTAGAACCGGGAGGACCATGGCTCTATAGAGTCTATTTGCAGCTTATGTTGGTGGTAATTAAGAATAGCAAGCCCATGCGTCCAGCTGTCTGTTCATGGGAGGACCGCTGGCTCATTTCCCAAACAGCCGCTGATAATCGAGCCTACTTTAACACCAACAGTGTTTCTCCCCATAAAATCATTGGCAAGTAACTTTCAATACAAGTAACTACTAGAGCAATTTGTATACAATGAACATGCTAGCTGAATTAAGAAATGTTTAAGGAATTAGTGTTGCTAGTCACCATTTTCTTGGGAAAAAAATTAACTTACCTATCAGCTTCATAAGATTGAACATCAGTTTTTTCAAATTGAAGAGCAACTACCACACTGCCCCACAAGTGTGACAGTGAGACATCCCTACCCGATACACACATTTTCATGTTCTTAGCTTGGAACTTGGAAAAATCCTTCTTTCTTGATAGATCTAAAATGGAGATGTCTGAAGAAGACAAATTATCAAGTTACTTTGTTGTGTTTCTGGTAGGGCTTGAAAAAAGCTCAAGCAGCTCTTACATTTTGCTTGCCCAGGGCCACTGCTTGCTTGCTAATGATTTAACTACTAGATGACTTGAATGAACCTTTGCCCATTGGACAACTGAGGAAAAAAGATTATTATACACTTAATGTCAGATCCTGAGGGAAACAGTTAGTTTTGTTCTCGCGAGAGTTATGATGTTCGTCTCGGGAAACATCAGGACTCGAGGGAAAACAAAACTAACTGGTTTCCCGAGGGACCTGACATTAAGTGTTTTGTTATATTTCCAGACTTTCACTTCAACAGCAACAAAAGAATAACTGGAGCGAACCAAAACAGTTGACTCGGTACTTATAACAACACAAATTTAATTCTTAAAATCACTGAATAATTGATTTACAAAGTACTTTCCTTATATTATCTGCATCTTTTTTCTCCACTAGCTGCTCTTTCTCTTCTAGGATGCCTTAAAAAATCATTGCTTTTTAGCTTGAGGCTTTGTGTTGGTGTTCAAGCTGTTGTGTTCATTCACAAAAATGAAAACAGGCAGTGTTTTTCCCGCCTTCTGTCATGCTACTTTCCACCATGCTTTGATCATGTGCTGTAATGTAGCCTGAGCGGGGTACATTGTTTATTGTATCACGATCGGGATACATTTGATTTTAGTCAAGGCCACGTGACCAAGAATCAACCAATGACAGTCCCTGTTTAGTTGAGTGAAAGTCTAGGAATATAACAATGTTCCTTACCTAAATTTACTAGCAAATCTACTAAATGTCCTGGAAAACAAGACAGGACTTTCTTCGCACCCTGATTTAATGGGGTACGTGGCTTTACCACGCATAAAAGTTTAGTAAAAATGATACAGGTATTTTGGACTGAAAAATTATTGCATTTCATCCTGTCCAGCTTTGCCATCAATAAGTTAAACATTACAATGTTTTTATCCAATGTTACAAGGGTGAGACTGAGAAAAAAACCTTAAGTTGTCCTTCATTGAATTATAAATTATTGGAATAGATAAGTAAATTTGTTTTTCGCGCGATCACAGCACAATGAAGGTAACACTACAAAAAGGAATTACCTAAATTAAGGGGAAATAGCACTTAAATTTGCGTCAGATGGGTAAGGAACACCTCCCTTAAAACGAGGTACCCTGAGAGCCCTCACTTCAAGTTCATGTACTCTTGAATTAAGAGACTACTACCCTTAATTTAAGTAAGTACTGTTTTTAAAATGAGGTACCCAACTGCCCTCATTTTAAGGCAAAACACACTTGAATTAAGAACCTATTATGTTACTTTTAAGTAATGACCTGTTTAAAATGAGGTTTCAAACAGTCCTCATTTGAAGGAATTGTACTCCTGAATTAAGAACTTTTCCTACTACTTTTAAGTAATCATCTTTTCTCTATCAAGGCAACCTGGTATCCTCCTTGTAAGGGAACATACTCTTGAATTAAAAACCCTTTTCTACCTTTAAGGAAACACTTTTGTAAATGACACCTTTCTAATGTCCTTAATTTAAGGAAATGGTCTCAAAATCAACCTTCTTTTCAGGAGCAAACAACTTCTTTCACAGGGGGACACCTGCTTATTTTAAGTAATTTCACAAACAAGCCCTTCCTAAAAATAAAAATAAAATATTATACAAGACTGATAAAAAAAGATGAGGGATGGCTCTACTCTTGAAAATGTTTAACCCTCCCCAAGAGTACTAAGTTTAAAAACAATCAAATTATAAAAAATTGGGCATTGGATATTAGAGTGATCCAAAGATTAAGCTAGTAAGTAACTTAAAATAGAACAACATTAATAAAAAACACAGTATTATCATCAAACTGAAACAGGTTTAATCAGCAGAGAATAGAAAAGTACAAACAATATTACTATTCATATACAAGCATAGTCTGAAAACATCACATTGTATATTAAAATGGAACCAACAGTTAAGAACATAAACAAAAATGGTTTAGGTGATAAAGAGGCAAGAAGCTGCATCCCAATCAAACATTTTGGAGTGCTACTACCTTCAATGTTACTGAGGGTCAATTTAAAACAGCAGAGTAAAAAACCATTAAATGGTCCATGTTTACCTGTGCAAATTCAAAAGTCAAGAAAACTTTGATTTCCCTTGGAGAATTAAATTTTTTGACGACCATGCACCCAGATCAAAGATTAACTTGCAAGTAAAGTCACCAGCCACAACACATTGTATAATGTCCCAATTTGACTGGTCCAGTATGCTCTCATGTAACACAACATTCTAGGTTCATAAGTTTTAAATTTGTACATTATTTCCATGATATAAATTTGGAATCTGTTAAATTCTTTACTTACTGAGTTAGTCTAAATAAGAACACATACTATAACCTATCAAGTTCATGAAATAACAGGAGCTTCTCCAAGTGACAAAATTGCAAATGTTACACTCTTTATCAGTTGACACACATTTCAACTACAGCTTCATTTCTGCCAACCGCGTAGCATACCTTAATGGCCTCTTAGATAGAAAGTCATGCAATATGTGTTCCTGCAAAAACATAAATGCACCCTTTGCAGGCCCAGGATATTCAAGATGGAATATGTAATAAATACCAACTAAAAAAACTACAGCTTTTGCAAGGCAATCAGCAGAAAGTTCCATAAAACTCTCTTTATTGCTTTGCATGAGGAGGACCTGTTTTCCTGGATTCACCATCAAAAAAGGTGAAGATGACGGTGCTTTTGCTCTAGCAGCTTCAAAGGAGGCATCATCCTGTAAAAGAACAGATCCAAAAAAAAAATTAATTTTTCTAAGGTTTGTGCAAGTCACTGCTAGTTTATGGCTTCACAGTGTCATTCATTAAAGTTCCTTACTTCAGTGCCAGACTTCTATCTCCTCTCAGAATAACATAAATTGGTATTGCAGTCTCAATAGAAAAATAAAGTGAACTGAGGTCCTAGAAGACTTGTTTGAATTATTATTAAAATGGACACAAAATAAAACTGCCAGTAACAAATCAAACTTTATTGCACCTTTTACTGCAAAAAAATAAAGGGCATAAATAAATATTTGCCTAAGCTCCATGAGGAAACAGTTATGTTAGCAAAAGTAACATTATAGCAACAGCTAGCTCAAGCGGTTGAGGAACATACCTCGGCAACAAATATGAAATGGTTTTCTGCATCATGTACTGTAGCCCCATTGATTAACTTGAAAATTGTGGGAAGAGATCTCAAAGCCATGATTTCCTTTGTATCAGGATCTACAATTAAATCAGGTGAGAAGATCAGCTGATTGTTACTGTCCAGCACAGTCTGCAAATTTTTCAATTTTTAGCAGCTTCCTCACTACAGGTTTCTGTAACATTAATATGATACACATGTATTTTACAAAAAACAACCTTCTGTGTAGTAACTTTCATCCTGTGATTGTCATCCTTGCATTCTATTTCACTGGATGTTTTCTTGAGAAGGGTAAAACCAGCAGCTCACCATGGGAAATATAATCTTGCGATAAGACCTTGTCTTAATGCGAATGAAATTGCAAGTTGCAAATTTCAGGTTACCTTCATCAACAGATGTCAGGATCTTCCTTTTCTGGGCCACGTTGATAAGTGGATCCACAAGCTTTTCCCAACTGGACATCATCTCTTCCATGGACAAGGAGATCCCACATGTTTGTTGAAGACAATTCAGCAGTTCAGCCTCAAACTGAAAAAGGAAATATCTTGTGAATATTACACCACATGAAGACATGTCAGGAATGTTTAGCTATTTAATAACAGTTGGTAATGTTACGATACTTATTTACTTTTGGAAATGTTTTCACTTAGTGCAAAATGGATTTGACTTTCTTCATTGCCATTATACTGCATACAACAATATTATTACTTACCTCCACCTCATGACTTAAACACCTGTACTCTTGTAAAGACTTTGTGATTCTATTTCTGGCGTCAACTTTAAGCATGGCCTTTCTCCGTGCTGTGAAGGTTGCCCTCAGAAGTTCTTGGACAGTTTTAGTACTCCACTTGCTCTTTGTTAGCTCTGATTTTAGTTTTTTAATATTACGCTCTGTGGAGATGGTATCATCAACCTCAATTGTAGGTCCTGTGTATGCAAGAGAATTGGAACAAGATACATGTAATCGTCTTTATTTACAATTTTTCCCAGCAAAAAGTGATGTTTCAGTGGAGTACACTTTTTGTAAGTTACTAGATCATGTTAATACATGTGGCAATAAGGGATAGACAAATTACGCTGCTATGACTATATAAAACTAATCTACAAGCTATGTTTTTACTGTAAGTGACCTATTGCCTATGCATTTGATAAAACATCATGCAAACTTATTTACCACTTCCTTGAGACCCCTCCCCTGACATGCTGCAATCTGGATATTCTTCTGCTTTATCAGACTGACCACTTTGCATATTTTCAAATTTTCTTTGAAACTGCCTTTTCAGCATTGCCTGACAAAAGATAAGACATACATTATTAACTTTAAAATCGGTCACACCATTTTTTTTTTTGTTTTTCTGTAAGATTCCAAGGCTAGCTCCATAAAACCTAATTCCAAATGTTCAACCCATTCAAACCAGTGTTTGGTCTCACCAGCTTATTGTGGTACTGGACCCGAGACAGCTTGGTAACTTATTTGAAATGCATTATCGTTAACAAAATAATTAAGGGTTCACTTTGCTACCAAGCTATCATACTGTGTGCTAGGAATGGCACTTAACAGTCACTGCCTCAATCGACTTAAGTTTACATGTACAGGTGCTAGAGGAAAATAGTGACCAGAAAAGTTACCATCTACAGCGTGACATGAGATTAAGTGGTAACACTTGAGCAAAAACATGGACCACTTTGGACGTTCTATTGAAAACTGCTCCACACTGCTGACTTTTAAAAGAAGTACCAAAAAATACCCTGACATACATATTTCCTTATTTAAGCCTTACCCAATTTTGGAAGGGTTTCCCCTTGTTATCCACCTTCACTCCTGCTTGTTTTAAAAACTCACGTGGGTCCCTTTCTCGTAAGCAAGGATATGTCTGTATTAATTTTCTGGCCAAATATTCACACATCAGAGGTGTTGGTTTGTTTACTACAGCGCGCACACAAGTTGCAACTGTTCTAACAACAGAGTTTCTAACTTTGTTGTCCACCTCCCCAGACTCTAAAGCTCGGTCAACTTTCCGATCAAAATGCTGTGGCATCTTAAAGGAACTTGGAAATCCATCTGGGATAGGAATCCCTTGATCTAGTTTGCCTTGAGGTGGTTTTAGCTGTTGTGATACCTGAGGTACAGCTTCATCATCACTTAACTCTGACATGTCTGTGTCTACTGAAATGGTTGACTTGGAAGATTCAGCTGAACTTATGCTCGAAGTTCCTGGTGACGTAAGAGCCCTGCAGTGCTGCTGAGGAAAAAATAATACAGACAGCCCTACTTTTCATGTTAAACGGTTGTGGTGCTTGTCATAGCAATCATCAATGAATTGTATGAAGGGTGGCATATCATGTAACCTTACAAACTAAACAGTACATGACTTGCAGGAAATTTGTTTTGCCAAAAAAATGCAAAAGGAAAGTATTGTTAACTTCACCTGTTGTGGGATACTTACACCTCAAGAGATGAAGTAGCATTTTTTCATTGCTAACTTTGGGTTTAAATTGGAGATGTTATAATTTGTTCAAGAACTATCTGCCCTTCTCAGAGAATACGAAACTTAAAATATCTCAACCATCACTCACCTCTGCTACTGGTGTGCTAGGAGGGCCGCTCAAGGAAAATTCCTGGAGAACCTGCACTTTGTCCTTATCGCTTAAATAACAGCCCTCTTCTAAGTCAACATAATCACTGAACTCGTCATCCCACTTCTGGAAAATTACTTTGGATTGCGGCAGCAAAATGCCATCGAATTCAGTAAAAACTCTCTCTCTTAGGTCTTGTAAGTCACCTGTGGGAACTCTTACAATCTTGCGTCTATTTTCGACTTGCACCAGAATTCGAACATCCATGGCACTGCATGCATGGAAACTGTTAAAAAATAACATTAACCTTCCGTTGAAATGTCAATATAATATTTGCAACCACCAAAAAAGGTATAGAATGAGTAATCAGGCAGGCAAAGTCATCATGAAACTCCAAGCTCTTTGGCGCTCTGCAGTCAAAAGATGGAGCGGGCTTGACGACTGTCAATTATTCCTCGTCGTTCTGCGTATTTCATTTGACTTTTATTAAGCGTGGAGTATTTACTCATTTTTCAAGTTCTCATCAAAGACTAAGGAAACTTCCATCTCAAATTCTCTTGTGGTTTGCCAGATAGGAAAATAGGATGTTGAGGTTTGTGTACACAGCTCTCCTGAACGGACGATTTCATCAGGACGAACCAGCCAAACGTGAGTTTTAATTAAGATTTTCGTTGTTAACAACAAAATAAACGCTCTTTCAAGGTTTAACTAAATAGTAATTAACTTATACCACAGAAAAAGCAACACTTACCGCTCAGTTTTAACGTAAATTAACCCCGAAGACCGACTACGCGCCCGGCAAGCAGGAAATGTCAACCTTTGTCAACCTTCCTATTCTCTCTGGCGGGAAAACAGCGAAGATGGCCGGCGCCGTCACATGACCTTATTGTTTCCAAACTCCCTCGATCGTCTACACTTCTATCATGTCGCGCGTTTGGAAGTGCGGGCTGTGCTCTGGTGCTTTTATCTGCCTTTTTTTGAGTGAACTTCTCACTCATTTTTATTTACAACATGAAAATGAAGAAAAAATTTACATTAAATGCGGAATCCAGGGTTGCCAAAGTAAATACAGGCTTTACAACAGTCTCTACAAGCACGTTCGGTCCAAGCATGCGGCCTTTTTGAGCACAGCAGCAAACGAATTGACAGATGAAACCGGGATCAATTTCGATTTGGTGTTTCAACTAGAAACAGATCCATCAGAACCAGCTATCGCGAATGAGGTAAGAGATTTGTGGACTGCGGGTAGTTTCTAATTTGGAATTTGGTCCTCGCGAGTGAGCGCGTATTCTCGCGGCTAATGCGTGTGTGCCTGCGTTCGGATAGAAACTCGCAATTTGCTCATCTCCCTCAATACATTTTGTTTGCCCCCAAAATTATGCATAAGCATTGTCTTCAATTTCTCTTGGGACGACTGAAATACCCAGGGTAGATAAAAAAAACAATGGTTATGCAAAATTTGGGGGTGGGGGGCAACAAGGTGTATTGTGAAAGTGGAGAATTGAGCCCTATACCTTAGCTTGAGAAAATTCCCATACTAGTTCGGGGACATAAGACTTTTTCAGTATAATAATAGAGATATATTCTCAGAGAGTCCACATCACAATTTCTATGCAATTTCAAAGACCACGTGCAGCACAGGCAGACCATGCTCTGTTGGTGTAGGGCTTTTTTTTGCTGTAAGTGACCTCAATAATAACCTACTGCACACATTGGTGATTTTTGCAGACAAGCACCTCTTCAAATGAAGTGCATTGTACTGGTTTAGAGGATACATTTCGTGATCCCACTGAAGTTACCAATGAGCAAAGTCCACCTGGGTTGAGTAACAGCACTGATGAAGAAAGACAGGGTGGTGATGGCCTTGCACCTGAGGATAGCGACTCAGAAAATGCCTCAGATAACAGTAAGAGGAGGAAATTAGGACCTGCTTTATTCTCAATTCATTTACAAGAAAGGCACATGTTAACTAGGAGTGCAGTCGAATTTGTGGAAGAGACAACAACATCGTTAATACGAGGGAGCCTTTTACATGTGCGGGGAGAGGTTTTAAACATCCTTCAAAGCAGTGGCTTAGACATAGACAATCAAGTGCCCATAATAGAAGAGATATTTGATAGAGAGATGAATCCATTTGAAGGAATCGATTCTTTCTGGCTGAAAGAGCAGTTTATAAAAAAGCATTTCTCCTATGTGGTGAGTGTTAATATTATTGTATTTACTTCATGACCTTAAAATGTACATTTTTATTTGGGCTTATTTGGAGCCTGAGAAATGGAAGAATTTAGCCAGAAATATGTTCCAAGAATAGTGGAGGTTTTTAGAAAATTTGCACTAAAAGGGAAATTAGCAATGAGGTTTTGGAAGTAGAAACTCATAACACAGCAGTTTGTACAGTTTAATTTGTTGCATCTCGCTGTTGTTTGTAGTTAGCTATGAATGGAGAATTACTGGTAGGTAAATATAATGACACCCATTCAATATTTTTATTTATCTTAAGTCTCTTGAATTTTGACTTTGTTGTATAATTATTGCCCAACTTAGTGGGTAATAATCTTTACTTATATTCTGTATTGCCTGTCATTGAATCCAAGAGTTTGTTCTCTTTTTTTAGAACCCTCGTGAGAAAGTCATTGGTGAGAAATGGATATTCAAAGGACATGGCAATAAGAGAAGAATGCTCAAAGTAACCAGAAAATTTTATTACATCCCACTTCTGGAGACCATCCAAGAATTTCTCAGAAACAGAGAATTGCGCAGAGAAATTTTAAAAGTAAAAGTGTTGTATAATGATGATGGAGTTTATTCTTCCTTCTTAGATGGAGCTTTGGCTGAGACACATCCAGTTTTTTCCCAAGATCCAAATGCATTGCAAATTATACTTTATTATGATGATATCAGTTTGACAGCCTCTAGGGCTAAAAGAAATAAGCTTGGCATGTTTTATTTCACTTTAGGAAACTTTAATGCCACCTTCAGATCTAGGGTTGACGCGATATCTTTGTTAGCTGTAGCTCAATATGAAGATATTCGTAGTTATGGAGTTGACAGAGTGCTGACACTTCTATGTGAAGAACTTGACCAACTCTCTCAACCAGCAGGCTTTGCCTTCAGTTTAGATGGATTTTACCTTCCCTTGAGAGGAGCAGTTGTTGCAGTATCTGCAGACACCCCAGCAAGCAATTACTTGGGCGGATATAAAGAGGGTGTAGGAGGTGCCCTGAGGAAATGTCGACACTGTAATACTGACTACGAAACAATGCAGAGCCACTTTGAGGAAGAGGATTTTCTTCCAAGAACATTGCAACAACATCATCTTCAATGTCATGTCATAGATCAGTCGGAAAACTTGGGAGATCACCACAGCACAAACTATGGTGTAACAAGAAGGAGTAGTCTTTGTGACTTTCCTTTTTTTAATGTTACACAGCAAATGCCTCAAGACATCATGCACATCATTTTTGAAGGAGCAATACCTTACGTTATTGGACACTTACTTAGATATTACATAAACAATGATAAGGCATTTACCCTTGCACAATTCAACAGTCGTTTGTGTGGCTTTAACTATGGTTACTCACAAATGGCAGACAGACTCCAGCCAATCTCTAAAGACATGATACAAGCTGAGTGGGGTGATGAAAGGGGATTATCAGGATTTGGACAGCAAGCAGCAAAAAACTGGTTATTTCTGCGAGTTTTTCCCTTCATTGTTGGAGACTGGGTTAACATGGAAAGTGAGCAATGGGCAGTGTTGGAGAAACTACTTGCAATATGTAGCATACTTGTTTCACCAGTAATTCATGTTGAAAGTGTTGCATACTTAAAGACATTAATCAAAGATTTTCTGTCTGGATTCAAACAAACTTTTGATGGAGTTATTATACCAAAGTTACATTATCTAGTTCATTGTCCCAGACTGATATTAACTTTAGGCCCTCTTGTTAACTACTGGTGTATGCGCTTTGAAAGTAAGCATCAATACTTTAAAAAGAAAAGCAGGAAATGTAGTTATAAAAACATTTGTCTTTCATTGGCAAAAGGCCACCAGAGAAGATTCTCTTCATTCCTAATTTCTACAGAGGAGTGCAGTTTTCTCTTCAAGGACTCCAATGGGAAGACAGAGCATCTAAGTGGAAGGGATTTCGAAAATGCTAAGAGGGTAATATCTAATTTTCTAGGGTGGGAGGCCTCTAATATAACCAATGTGTACACTACATCATGGATCAGTGTCCATGGTACGAAATACATTCCAAATAAGTGCATTCTTTTAATCAGATCTGAAAATGAAACACCCATTTTTGGGATGTTAAGGCTAATTTGGGTAGTTAATTTTCAGATTCTTCTTTTCAGAGTTTCAATGCTTGAAACAGTGGATTTCAATGAACACCTCAATGCATACAGAGTAAAAGAACCAGTGTTGGCAGCTGGTTTGGATCTCATTGTGCAAGACCAGTTATTGTCACATGAGGTTTTGCACATTTACAACTTTGATGGTGATCAATACATATCACCCAAAACTTACTTAAGTGACATTTTGAAATGATACTGGTGAAACTTTACCTCTATAATCTCTTTTAAATGGGTAATAGTCTGAAACACATGAAGGACTTGAATTCTAAGTTTTAAATGAAGCTTTAGTGGTCTAAAAAATACCCATAACAAGGTAAAATTAACTGAAATAACCATTAACTTTGTCAACTTATCTGTTCTTGTTATTATTGTTGTCTGTACATGTGGCAGTACAGCTGCCAGCATAAAGCTGTTTACGAGTACAGTATTTACTGCAGTTACTATGTTTGTTCTTAATATTATGAAGGACATTTAATGAAAAGAGTGATTTGAAACTCTCAGCTGTTTGCAATTAAAATTACATGTTGAATAAAGAAAAGGTACACCTTAACTTGGAGGTATGGTATCTGAAAATAAGTGTAATATGCTTTATTTAAGAGTCAAAGTTTTCAACGTGTCCTTAAATTAAGTTTATCCAATAGCAGCTCCCTTGACATCAGTTTGCTGTTCAGAAATTAAGAATGTGGATCTTGAATTAAAACAAGTATTTCTTACTTTGAGGACTAATGTTTTGAAGTAAGAAACACCCTCTTAATTCAAGAGTGAAGAGAGGGACATTTACCCTTAAATTAAGGTTGCGTTTTCTGCAGCAACCTTAGATTAGAATTGTTGTCCTTGAATCAAGAATATGGGTCTTAAATCAAGCAAATGTGTCTTGATTTAAGAACTGATGTTTCAAAATAGGAAGCATATTCTTTAAATCAAGGATATTTTACCACTTGATTAAAGAATTACTCACTAAAAATGAGTAATTCCTTTTTGCAGTGTTAACTCTGCTTAAACGAGTAGAGGCGCGGGACCGAGAGGCAAATTTCAAAATTGTTTTAACTCTTTTCTCGAACTCCATTTTCAGAATCAGTCAAAATTCTGTCTTAAGTCAACGCAAAAAGTGTAAATACTTACTTTCGCAATCGTAGCTCGCTTTGGCAAACAAAAGTATGCAAAATGCGCCATAAACGTAAAGAGCTTTCCTTGCCATGTGTGCCGCCATTTTCCTATAGGATCATACATGAGTTACGTACCCGGGAGTACCAGAAATCCGCTGCTCAAAAACGGCTCAGACAAGGAAGGGCGGGAAATTAATCTCTCTAAAGCCTTTTAGTAAAGTTACGAGTCCATTTAATACTTCTAACTAGAGATACAAGTCTAGCAGAACCGAAATAATAAGACTGAAAGGCCAACAGTGGCAAATGAAGTAGCTGAGTCTCACGTCAAATAGAGTGAGTGAAAATATTATGCCCTCGGGGGTATTCCTATGTAATGGCCTATTCGGGAAAATACGTCCGAAAGGGGTACCTCTTTCAAGCTTCAGGTATGCAGGAAAGGGTAGGGATTTCAATACTAATGAAAAACAAAAACTCCGTCTGTAAAAAGGGCTAACAAACGCACTGTTTTTGGCGAAAACGTTCTGGTTTTTGTAATTTTTGTGACGGTGTATTTACCAAAGTTTAAAGAGATAGTCGGTTTACAATAACATGAAGAGAGTGGCAGGGGTCACACAAACAACCGCCAAAAAAAAAAACGACTACATCGATGAATTCACACCAAAAAACCAAGGAATACATAAAAGGTAAGTATCCTTTATTTTATATAAAAAAAGTAAAAAATAATGATATTTAGCGTTCGCAAACCTCAGTATTCTATTTCCCATAAAAAGTCTGAACGGTAGCTTGTAACGCGACACCGACAGTCTTGTGAGAAAGTAAATTTACATTACAAACTCGCAACGTGTGCTTGGGTAGCCTCCCCGCTGACGTCTTTTGGGGTTCACTCGTCACGCATTCATTTCTTCCCCACGGACGTCCGTTGGGGAGAAATGAATGCGTGACGAACGAACTCCAAAGGACGTCTGCGGGGAGGCCAGGGCTTGGGACACCTGTGGTTGAACCTCTCCTCAATGGCCACCTTGGAGGCAGAAAAAAGTGACCGTTATTGGAGGTTCGACTGTAGGGTAAAGGGTTAGACCTTGGGGGAGGGGTGGGGGAGCCTCCACGTAAAAAAAAACTTTATTGAGTACCCCTGCACACAGGCCCCATGGACTTATTCTTAATTCCTATCACTTGGAATTTCCTTTGTTCAATCAGGATTTGACTCCCTTGGAGAGCGATCGATTAAGGAAGCTTTATATTGAGACAGGAGAGCTCCTGCATGAGGCCGGTTAACTTCTGTTGATAATCCGGTCCATTAGAGACAAGAATAGAAAGGAAGGAAGAAAGTTGAAAAGAGTGGTCGGTTACAAATGTAATGAAAAACGCTTAATCATTCAAACAAACGTCTACGGGGGTACACGGCTCTCGCGTAGTGTTATTTATTTTCTAGTGTTACGTATTTTGGAACTTTCTTGTCCCTCATAATCATGGGAGTGACGATCGGTCTTATTTAACCATAGGGTCAGTGATCAGGGGCGGTCATCCAGACCCCGAGATGGGGGGGGGGGGGGAAGTCCCGGTCTCAAAAAAAAATTTTTTTTCGGCCCTTCGGGCCTCACTGTGGTCTAAAAGTAAAGGGTGCCCAGGCCCCCCCGGGTCCCTCCCCTGGATCCGCCATTGAGGGTTGTTGTACACTAGCGACAAATCCCTACGGGTTTGAGCACAAATGCGCAAGAAACCTTTCTGTGCAAGCGGTGTTGACCACATCGGCGCTTTTAGCTTTTATTGCCTTAGCAAAATAATTGAGCACAACAACCATTTTTATTTCGGACGATTCAATCAATTCAAACCACACTACCGTCTCAAAGATGCTATAAGAATGATTTTTATTACCTTGATAATCTTAAAACTCTCTTTCAATTAACGATAGAGGACGTTAAGACAACTGGTCACATTCTACTAAAATAGACGAAAACAACTGATTCAAATTTTACAGTGAAAGCTTTGCAAGTCCCAACCCTCACCATAGTTGTATTTTTTTTAGCTTATACGTTTTCCGCTATTTTTTCCACATTTATTCTTTAAGATTCCACGTCCTCTTCGCTAAGTGCTGTGGAAATAAAACAACAACAAGGAAATGGTTAGTAAAACAACAAGAGTGGCCTGCGTGCAGACGTTCCCTGCTTCTTCAAAAACTGGGGTGTCTTCTGTTCGTGTTGCGGATTTATTGTTGGTTCGCTTTTGTTTTTTGGAGTGGACATTGTTCAAGGTCTTTTCAGTCTTTTGTATTATTTATGTCATTTGGAGACCGTACCAGTCTAGAACACCAACATTAAAAAAAAAAAAAAAAAAAAAAAAAAACGGAACAGTAGTCAACCTGTGGTTACCGTGTTTGATTATGTACATGACTAAGTCCAAGGCAGGAAAGGCTGGACCTGCGTCACAGACGGAAATACAGATCTTGTTAACTCCGTCTGCGAAACAGTGTCGAAATCCTTGTTCTGGGCCCCCACCTGTGTACCAGGATTTGAGTACGCGCTGTGATTGGCCAGTTTAAAATGCTATTGAAAATTTGCCATTGAAGGGAAAACTCGAAACGCATTTCCGGTAATTCGTTGAGTCCGTTGGGGGGCGAGAACAAGGATATCAGCGCTGCTTCGCAGAAGTTACCAACCGGGGTTAGATTACGTCTGCGACGCAGGCTAGGCCCGGACGGGTATGATCAATTTAGATTTCCGGGAAACTAAAAAATGTTGGCTTAGGGGAGGGGTAGGTGGTCACTTTCCCACTAACCTAAATTGATCCGACGGGTATAAGAACGAACTAACGAAGAAAAGTCAAGAAAGAACGACTAAAAGGCTGTATGATTAGATGGAAGATTATAAACATATTTACTTGGTTCTTTTTCTTTTAGCTGTATAGTTCTGGGGCGACTGTTAATTTTTGTTCTTATTTCTTACAACCCGCCTCGATTAGCTATGCTTAACTGTGCGTTGTCAATGTTTGAAATATTGTCCTTTTAAAAACGAAATAAAATGTTGTTGTTGTTCTGTCATATGTGAGTGCAGGTGACAGTTACATTCACAACAAAATAGACTAGGGATACAAGAAGAGGCTGATATGATCGACTTTCTCCATAGTCTAGCGCATGTTCACTTACCACGCACAATAGGTGGGAAACACGTGCTCCATTCTTTTTTGCTGATTCCGGGTTTATGGTCGTAGTCACATGACTTCAAAAAGCCCATCATGCAGTCTTCTTCCGGGATAATCATTCTCCCAATCTCGTCTTCGTCCAGTATACCATCCCCGTTTGTATCCCGGTTATTAAACTCCCACTAAAATAAAAACATTGAACCCGGTTACGCAATACTGATACTGGATATGAAAACCTTGGACGTACTTCCTTTTAACGTAGCATAGCCGGGTTCATAGGATGAATTTAAAGTGTTTAAAGTGTGATTAGAAATAACGTCTCGTAAAAATCACCCTCCTCCATCCAAAAAAAAAGGGCCAAGTGATCATTCATGGGTAGCCTGTGAGCAGGCTCTCCATTTGGTGGATATCGAGTTCGCGCGGCTCGTCTAGCTATCACCACGGAGAGCAGGGGCGGATCTGGGGGAGGGTGCAGGAGTGCGCACCCCCCCCCGCTAAAATGAACTGCGGCTTTCTAATACAACTGGCATTCTGCAAAAAAAAAAAAACTTTGTGGTTTATTGGTATTGAAGCAGAGCAAGAGAAGAGTGCAACCCCTCCTACAAAAAATCCTTGATCCGTCCCTGGAGAGCTTGCTCGCAGGCTATCATCGTGGGTCCAGGACTTACCCCGTTCAGTTGACAAAACTGACCGAGAAACAACGCTTGATCAAATGTCTTATTTCATGCTCTACTCACGCAACATCGCGTGTCCAACTCTGACTGAAACTGTTGAACGCAACATTGTAAGGAGCAACACCGACGAAGAAAGATGAAATATTATAATCGTAGGTGGATAAAAGCACTGATTTTGTGAAGGCCAAAAAAACTGGCTCCTACTGATAACAAGTTCAGGCAGAAGTTTTGTACAGAAAAGCAACTGCAAGTTGATAAGCAGAGGGACGGACGCTAGAGGAAAAAGGGATCAAATTTACCGCAATAATTTCCTCCCGGTCCTCGTATGCCCAAGTCTCAACCTGGAAATCTGGGTACATTTCCTGCTCTCTTGCAGCTATGAGGTACGCAAGGTATCGATCGTGAAATTGGAGAAGGCGTGAGACTGAGCATGGCGCCAATTCAGTGTCTGCCAAAAAATATGAAAATAAAATATAATTATGAATTAAAATAAAATGATCGATTTCCATCATTTGTTAGCTAGCACTTCTACTTTTATAGATGAATACTATACAACCCACTCCAGCGTGTTTTGATTGACGTGACAATCATAGTACCAACCAAATTCTCAATGATAAGCGAGCGAGTTATAATCTCATATTTTAAATTTAATGATTACAGGCTACCATAGCAACGTCATAACCTATAACAGCCTTAATTTTAGCATCCAACGCTTGTAACTAAAAGAAAGTTCGGCAACTTCAATTTTCTAATTATTGACCTGTAATCGGCAGTGAAGAATCTCTATCTAGTGGGTTGAGAATAGACTGCTCACTGTCAATTATCAAAGTCTATCAACGAGCCACTTTAAATTAAAGTTTCGTATATTCTGAACCGGTTGCTTCCCAATAATAAACGTGGTGTTCACAGATCTCGTTTCTAAGTTATAAGCACTTGAAATGATAATAAAGGTTATGCTGCCCCGTTGGAGTAGGGGGCTCAGAGTGAAGAGGCTGTCTTTGCAGCTGACTTCAGGACTACAGTTAATACGGACACTGAGAGGATATACCATAGCGTCCGTATTTATGATTCGGGTGTCCGTATTAAGCGGGCTGTCAGAAAAACGTGACAGACACCTGATTTATTGATCTTAAAGAGGAAAGAGAACGGTAGGACAAGGAAGCAGGTCGCACTATTTTGCTAAAGTTTTAAGTTATAAAGTCGTATAAACTTACAGAAATCTGTCGTCGTTTTAAAAATGAGTATAATGTCCACAATTAGCTCATGATTGTGACAATGAAAATACTGCAGTGCGCAGTTAAACCAGTGTACGTAAAGAGGGGTTGACGATGTATGAGAGTTTGTAACTTGGGACACAGAAAAGTGTCCATTGTCCGTTTTATGCGGGTTAATTTTAGAAAAAATATATGAGCTTTTAGTCGAGACAAACGAAACTATCTGTTATACACGGGTGTCTGTATTAAGTGGGTGTCCGCAGAGCGGGGTCCCACTGTAGTATACAGCTATTTCGAGAAGGGTTGTCAGAAAAAAGTGCCCGCGAAAATCCAGAAAGGTGTGGTGGGTGGTTTTCAGTTCACTGATGATTTTCAAAGAAATTTGAAAGAACGGCACGAGAGACCGTGGACGGTTTGTTGCGAGTGCTGAAGAAAAGCAACAAAAGTAGGTTCGACAGTTACAGTTTCAAGAAACAGCGTATTGATTATATCCTATATTACCTTTCGGGATTGTCACTTGCACTTTTTCCGACAACCTTTCTCGACACGCGGATCTTGTTTGCTAAATACACACCTTTTAAATCGCACTTTCCTGTCTTTTCGATTCCCATCATGATGCCAATTCGACAAGCGAACTTGTGCAGTTTGCAAGTGTTGTTGAATTCTCGGAGGTAGACGCTGCAGACAGGTTTGTAATCATCTGGGCACACTTCTGGGCACACACATGTCGTTGAACGATCCGTGTTTACAACACACATGCGGCCTTTGGTGCAAAACACGTTATAACAGGGGTCTGAAGGGTAAAAAATATGAATGTCAAACCACTTCCGTCTACTTCTTTGTTCCAGGAACGGAACTTTAAATTTCAGAAGTCCTAACTGAGGCCGAGGTGATTCAAACAGAGCTTCAATGGTTTTTAACAAGCAGTGTTCTTAGCCCTTTTGGACAACCTCACATCTAAACATTGTTTGGTGTTAACAGCGTCAAGAAGACTTACAACTTGGACAAGAACACGTTTTATCTACTTGAAATAAACATCTTACAGGCAGATTTATGTCTATCCTAAGTTAGACTTCCTTTAGGTGGCAGGCCGCCTTGAACTGATATATATTTTGCACAATGCACCTACCCTTCTGTGTGGTGGTCGTCTGTGTCGCAGTCTTCATAGAAAGAAAAAAAGAAAAAGGCTTTAAGTAATAGAAAACAATTTATAAATCATAATACTTTTATTATTATGTCACTTATTATTTATTTCACTCAAAGCGAGGCGAACTGCAAAAAATAAAATTCGTTATTTGTTACGAAACCCTTTTCCTAAAAATGACGTCAATAGAACTGCGAAGACTACTAACCGAAAATCATACGGCGTTTCGGAGGATGTTCTCATGTGTCGGCCACAAAACTCATTTTTTATAAGGAAGCTAAGTTTTACACTTAGCCTCGTCTTGGAAGTGAGAGTTTAATTCTCTCCTGCGCCACTTTCCTGTTTATAAGATCGGGCATTACAGAGTTTGAAATTTGCCTCGCTGTTCTTCATTCATCTTCTTCCGGCTAAAATGTTAACACATACTATCAACAGAAACATCTTATAGCGGATAACTGAATTGTTTAGATTTTATTGGTTCTACAATCCGGAAATTATTTTTAAACATTAATTCGCCTATGAAATTTAGTCTCGCTGGTTAAGTCTTTTATAAGCTAAGCCTATAAGCTGAAATACTGTACCGGTTGTCGTTGAACGATGAAAAGGTCATTTATTAGTCCGCAACTCAACTCATGAAAAAAATCTGAAGGTTGGAGATTGATGAGACACCCGTCGAGGGGAAATGTTACACTGAACCGGTCAATGAACGAAAATAAAAGCGTAATTAAGTAAAGGTAAAAAGATGTTTGTAAATAACCTGCCGCCCATTTGACAAATTAACGACAGTCTCCTCCATGTGCTCCATGAAGGCCCCCCCCTCCCCTTCCAAACCTCATGTATGGTTATGACACGTGGCTTACTGTAGTTTGCGGAACGAAATGGAGCGAAACGAGACGAATTGGAACGAAACGAAATGTTTCGTAGTTTGGCATAGTCCTTGCACCAACTATGAGAAAGTCGGTCAGATTGTACAGTAGAGGGTACTGGAGTATCACGCGAGCGAAGAATAGAAGTTTGTGTAGTAAAATAAACATCAAAAGCAAATATTTGCCCTTTCAATAAAATTCTCAATAGGCCATTGTTTACTTCTCACTGGAATTCGAAGAACATCCAAATATATGGCAGCAAATCTGAACAGAAACTGCTACGTTACAGATAAATACTTTGGTAATACACCTCAAATGAACCATAACGACCGTTTTGCCTGTGGTCGATGCGGCAGCAAAGAAATCTTCTTATTGTCATGTAAATGTGCTTTGAAGAAACCAAAACAACAGAATGTGCGCTGTCGTGTTGTCTGAAAAACTTACCGCAACTTGAAGAGAAAAGACTCCTACCAGCACAAAGAAAGCATGCATTGTGACAGCTCGACGTTTATCCGTTTCTACTGATGGTTTCGTTGTGGGTCGCTTTCGAGTTGCTTTCGAGTGCTAGTTAGTTTTCAGGACTCGGGTCTCGCTAATGAGCGAGTGTAGGAAGTTTGAAATTTTTTAAGAGGCTTCACGCCTTACGGCTTTTGTAATCCTGTGACCTTATTCTAAAAATGTCAGTCTTTTGTCATCGACCGGAAAGGGTCTGTCATAAAAATGGAATCCTGCAGCTTGGTGGTGTCAAAACAGGACTATGCGCGGTGGGGAGAGAGGGGGAGGGGGAGAGGGGAGAGGGAGAAAAGAAATGATACGAGGTCACGGTAAAATGAAGAATTGAGATAAATACGTTCATCCATTAGGAAAAAATAATCAAACAAACAAACCAAGCAACGCAAACAAATACGAAATTTTATGAACACTTCTCTTTTTCACTGAGCTTTGTGTCACCCTAGCACTGGCACCCTCAAATTTAGTAGACCCGGAAAGTTGGGCGGGGTCAGAATCTAAATAAGGTATCGCCGGAGGCACGTTACGCATTTTTCGATGTCCAGGGAGGACAGAGCATGCACGAATTCGTTTGGTTACTGGCCAAATTCGACAGGGAGATTTACCTCAGTAAAGTTTTAGACGTGAATGGCATCCAACAGGCATTCAACGTTGGCGCTTTGCTGCCCCCGGCGATGAACTGGACTTGGCGTGTAGGTCAAGGTAATCAGCTCCACGGACAACATTAGATTACCATCATCTCACGCACGAATTAAACAAGTAAGTGTGTCATCGATTCAGTAAAAGAGCCAGTTTTGTGTGCTTATATAAATCGAGCGTGGATGGAGTGGACTTAATGGAGGCACTTTTCGATAGGATGTTTGCTCTTCCTATGATCATACAGTTATTTGTCATAGAGCTGTACGCTGTGAACGGACTTGCCTGCACAGGCTGGGCCCAAAGGAGTTATTTGTGGCCATGATTCTAGTAAAATTGTACAGCTGATAGTACGAATCGCCTTTACACCCTTTATTGTTAGCCTTCCTCTCTCTTCTTCTCGCTCCTCGCCGCTAGGACCCGGGCGCTAGACACGCTTCGCCAGGAGAAAGAAACATCCCTGGCGCGGCGGACGACGGGTGTTTTCGCAGACTATTTATTGTAGAATCGTATATCAACTTGACCGATCAAATCGTTAAGCGATCATATTACATAAATCTTGTAATTCATTGTCCTTAATATTTCTCAATGCTCGGCAAGAACGCATTTGAAAAGCAAAGCTTTACGAGCGAGCGAGACACGAACAAGTATGAGAAGAAAAAGAGACAAGCTTGTCTCTTTATATTATTATCTCTTATATTAGGCCAAGGTATTAGGCCCTGTTATTCGTCCTTAGTCATTGAGGTGCCTTCAGCGGTTTTCCGGAGCATTGGATAATATTTTGCCAGATTTGTAACACCTTTGAAATCTACAAAGGTCAGTCATTCTTGATCTACAGTGAACGAAGGCCATTCGCTCTATCAACTGTAAAATTTAACTGGATACAAGGCAACACATAATTCTTAGACTACGAGTAGTCCCCCACTTTTCCTCAGGAATAGTAGAGCGAGCGAACGCGAGCGGGCGTGAAAATCACCCCACGCGAGAAAAGGCGACAGGCGGCCGCGTGTCGCCTTTTTCTCGCGTGGGGTGATTTTTACGCGCGCTCGCGTTTTCCTCGCTCTACTATCCCTGAAAAAAATGGGGACTACTCGTAGTCTACATAATTCTTTAACGATCTGTGACTTACTGACTTATCCAGAATAGCCACCAACTAACGCTTCAAACAAATCTAATAAGTCTCTCGTCTTTCACATAGGCTCCTGTTCTCCTAAAAGGGGGATAAGGGGGATAAGTACGCAGCGGCTGGAAAATGAAATTTACGTAAAATAAAATAATGAATACATCGATAACACGGCTCATACAAAATCAAAAGACTGATTATAACACATCCGTAACTCTATTTCAGTCATTTACACAGCTCCGGTTGCATTATGCGCGACCAGGGCTCCTGGCGCGACAACATTTCTGAACCCTCCCCAACAAGGGGAAGGATCACATGACCAAGTTCAAAGAACGTCTGCGTGGGATGCTAGACAAAAATCAGATTAGTAAACTACAATGTATTTGCAAGAGAGAATGATCTATTGTCTCTTGGTATTTGATAACATCTTAGTTTTGAGAAACTTCTTCTAAAGAAAGTCAAAGACAAAAAAGAAGGGAAAAAACACTTGAGTCTGGTCTGCGTAGAGTTCTCCGCGATATTTATCAAATTTTTTCTTAGTCTGTTGCATTTCTCGCCTTTTTTCCTGTGAAGGTAGCTCTTTGTTTCTGTGTAAGAGATGTTATTCGATCCATTTGACCCTGGAAAAACCATGCATTTCTCTTCACTTTACACCTTACACTTTATATTTTATATGAGTTGACATTTGTCACTGGATTTTCTTGTATCAATCTTTGCATCACTCTCATCAACCTGAATGTGCTTCAACAATCTCTGCTCCCATTCACTCCTTTCCATGGCGCTGGAGTAATCCAAAAATGTTCGTCTTCGCAATGTCTTGGGTAAGTTTTTCTTGTCGACGTCATCAACACGGATCAGCAAAAGAGAAGAGTCTGCCATTTTTGTACAGCGGTACAAAGCTATTTCCAGTTCTTCACGGCAGAAATGACTGGCCAGGTAGTTTTGTGAAATAACAGCCAATACCTTCCTGCTATTATACACGCTGTCCGCCATGTTTTCAATGATTGCTTTCCCGACTACAAAGTCCCGGCTGTGAATGCAGTAGTTGATTTGCTTTCTTTCCAGCATTGGAGTGAGGCTGTCTCGTACCCAGGGATAGTCGAGGGTGCTGAAACTGACGAAGACGTCATATTGAAAGTCATCTGTCTCCAAGTGAGCTAAAACACAAAAATAAATGACTAATTAAGAAAATTGATAAAAAGAACGTAAACAAACAATACCAAAAGCTAAATACCTCGAAAAATGATGTCACTCATTTTGGTTGTTCTTTATTCATCGGGTATCACAACAATTTTATCGAAAGGTGAAGGACACAGTGAATTCTTGGTATAAATCCTTACATCTGTCTGCATTTTGTTTAGCCTGCGAACCGCAGACGTATTTCCGGTCGTCGCTTCTCTCCCTCCGAAAATTAATTTTCGTGGGGAGAGAAGCGACGACCGGAAATACGTCTGCGGTTCGCAGGCTACATTTTGTTCTGCTTTTGAAAATAGTTGATGGTCGATTTTCTATTATTTTCTTTGATAAATCCTAGATCAAAAGAATTCGAGATCACTGTTTAGGATTAATAACAACAACAAGATAAAAATAAATCTTACGTTTTCGATCTCTTTTTCTTTTAGTCCTCACTCTGTGAACGATTATGGCTGTTCCTAGAACCAAAAAAACCGCTACACTCACCAGCAGATTTTCTATTAATGAAATGTTACCGTTCCTTCGCCGATGTGAAAAATCTGCTGTGATAAAAAATGACAAAAAGCTTGAGGAAATTTAGCTTTAAAATATATCTGGGTAAGTAAAAAAACAACTTTAAACCGGGCATAATTTCCTGTTTTGTTTGGTTGTTTGTGTTTCTTTACATTGATTTGGTGGGCAGTGTCGACTGCTAACGGCTCAGAGATGCCTTAATATTTGCATTAACATTTTCAGAATGGCAAAGTGAGGAAGACGACAGGGGATTGGAGCCTGGGAAGGCGGGAGGTGGGAGTTTGAAAGGGATGGGAAGCGGGAGAAATAAGGGGAAATTATCCAACAATGCATGAGATTTCGCAATCGACAAAAAAGTTGAAGGGAGGATAGCCTACGAGCAAGCTCTCCAGGGCTCTCTGGCGGCGGGGTGAAGAGAGATCTGTCGGCGGAGAGGTTGCTTACAGGCTAAATAGCAGGAAGACAAGAAATAAAGGGCGGGGTCTGGAGACGCAAGGTACGGAAGGGGGTTCGTAGTTTTGATCCCCCTGTCTCCACCCCATCCCTCCTTGCCAAAGTGTTTGAAGCATGATCTGTGTACTTACGCGGTTTCACAAGGCTTAGGAAAATCATGTCAGAAGCAGTCCATCCAGGTGTAATAACTCTGCAGCGATACTTCCCCGTATCTCGTTCAGTTACTTTCTTTATCAGAAGGGAAAAATTTACTTTGGGCGTCAAATCCTCCTCATAATATACATAGTCCAATTTGTAATGTTCGTCTGTGTCCAGGTTCAGTTGTGACCCATTGAAATCCCATGAGATAACTGTAGTTACTTCTGTAGTAAATAGTCCCACGCATGTCAGGAGGGCTGGCTCGCCAGTGTATTTGGAGACCTTATTGACATGTGCGTGGGCAAGTGGTCGCAGTGGAACTTGTTCTGAAAAGTAGTTAATGAGAAGTCGAAACGTTCTTTAAGGACAGATGAAGTTTTACAATCTTTGCCTGTCGTTGCCAAGCAAAGCGATGATCAGATAGACTTAACTTGCCCTTATTGCATCTACACTGTACCTAAGCTTACTTTTGACAAAACAAATAACTTTCCTTTCACCTACTTTTAACACTGATTTACGGGTTTAGTCGAAATGATACAGTACGGATAGCCAGCGAATGTTGTTAATTAAATTCCTGAGAGGTACTGAATTATCAGTTACCACGCGGTAAACACTGTACTTGTCTTTAAAAAGTTTAAAATTATGAACATCAGGTTAATGGTTTTTTAAGGTAAAAAAAAAAAAATTTACAGATTTTTAAACACGTGACAAATTGTGAAATATGATGCTGACGAAGCAACCCTGAAAATGATGATTACAGTTTTCGTATATCAACAAAGAAACTGAGACTTGCGCCGGAACAAAGAGCTAGAAGGTTAGAGGGGTTCTTTTGTAATGATCATCAAACGATTGTCAGTCTTAAGCGCCTTAAAAAAACTGTTTAGTCTTGGATACTAACTTTTAACCTTAAGAAGAATGCCATATCGTCGCTTTCCGAAAATGTTTCTCGCCACACAGCTGTAATGACCTTGGTGGTCTTCTTTCGTCACAGAAAGAATATTTAATTCAAGGCCACCAGGCCTTTTTATCAGTACATATGACTTGTCCACATCACCGTCTTTAATTTCTGTCCCGTTTTTCAGCCATGTGAATGAAGGCTTTGGCCAACCAGAGGCATAGCAGTGGAAGACGTATTTGGTAGTTCCTTCTGCAATTAGCTGAGGTGTTGTGGTGAAGTAACCTGGCGTTCTAGAAATTTTTGGACGGCCTTTTTAAGGGTAAGAGAAAGAAAGAAATCCATAACAATCCTTTTGATGGAATTACATTATAACATTTCCAAAAGAATTAACCTCTCCGGATTATTCACCTATACTACCGAACCCCGTCATAATGATTTTTTAAGTAAATGAAGGAAGTATCGAATCCCAGGATAGGAAACCCAAGCTTTCGACTTCATCACGGAATGTTTTACTAGGAGTCTTTTTCAAGTGAAGTACAAATCACGTGACAAAACGTCCAACTCCACCACTTGCAAAAGATTCCGTGATGAAATCGAAAGCTTTTGTATGCTAAATACGTTTCCTATCCTGGGATTCGAAACCTCGTGTACGTTAAATTTTCTCCTATAGCTATTGAACAATTATTAGCCCACGATGTCTGGAAAGAGAAAAAAACCTTCATGGAACATCGTAACAGAAAGAACGTAATTTTAGCTTAAGTATGAAGGCCTGTGTGAAGTGAATTTAAATTAATGGAGTAACGAGTGTATGATGCCTAAAATTTGGTTTGATTAGGTCAAGAAAAGTTGGCATCTATAGTCTATACAGAAGACAAATTCTCCTTCGTCAGTTCAGTACGGGGGAGAGGTTTTTATATTGTCTGCTAGCATGTTTACTTTTTTTATTTATATCAGCTGAATTAGAGATCATTCAAGTTACATGATATACGGTATCTAAGAAGAACACTTTTCTTACGTAAAGCGGGTCTATCAGCTCTTAAAACCAAAACTAACTTACAAAGAACTACTTCACAAACTTGTTTATCAGTGCCCTTCTTCACCTCGCATCTATATGTCCCAGCATCCTTTTGGGTGACATTTCGTATCTGTAGGCTTGACCACAGACCTGGTACCGAGACGGAATGCACAGGATGCCAATATTTTTCATTGCTCCATAAAATGGTATTTGCTGGTGCTCCGTGCACTATTGAGCAGTTTAGTGAAGCAAATTCCACAGAATCCACGGTGAGATGTTCTTCGTGGAAATGATACTTTTGTATTTTACAGGCAATGGCGTTTCCTTCTAAACCTGAGGAAAACGTAATGGCCGTGCCAGCAGTGTTATGCTTTACATTCATATCGCTTTGCATTTTCATTTATTTAGGTGACCACCGTCTTGTGTTTTATGAAAAGTGACAATTATGTAAGCAAAAAATAAACAAACAAAAACCTTAAATCCTGATTGACTGGTAAGACGGCCTCACATTTAAAAATATAAGACTTTAAACAAAGATCTCACTTAGACTGCATTCCTTTTGACCAATCTAAATCAGGATTTTGCGATCCGAAATTTGATTTTTTGTTCCATTAATGACTAAACCAATCAAAGATTGCAATCTGAATGATCCACCTCCCCACTTCGATAGTTCAGATTGGTATCTCAATCTGGTTTCAGATTTTTGTTCCATTTCATGAAACTGCTTTTCGATCGCAAGAACGTACTCTTTCATCGATAAACACGGCGGATCAAGGTTAGTTCAGGCAAACGTTATGTATACTTCTCCGTTGTTCTATGCCGCTAAAGGATTGTAGTGTATTAAACTCAAGTTCCACTGTAACTATAAATCCGTAAAGGGAGCGAAAACTCTTGGATTTTCTCACCATAAAACTATAGTGTCCAATGTGTGTGTGTGTGTGTGTTTAGAGCGCGCGTCTCAGCACTTGAGAATTCGTAATTGTCTTCTGAATTTTCTTGAATCAAATTCCAGATACTTTTAAGTCGACTAGTCCCAGTATGAACCACCAGTAGTTAAAGAGCTACTTTTCTTTCCATTTCTCTATAGGAAAACGCTTAATTTAGCGGAAAGAAATTAGAAACGATATGTTGAAGAATTGAGAAGAAGATCAGCGCAAAAAGCAGCTACTGTATACGGATCAATCTTATTTCAGATTTTCGTTCCGGCTAGCACGAAAATCCAAACAATCTAGATTTTCTAAATCCGAAAAACGTTTGGCTAAAAGGAACGCAACCTTAGACTCCGACTGCGCTTCGCATTTCAATTTTTTTAATATTTTTATAATTAGCCTGTGGGCGTTAAGTAAAAGGTTGAACTTGCCTTTTTGAAAAAAAAGGGCATTAATAGCAGAAATATAATGGCTGTCTTTAAAATTTAGGCTCGAATTGCACAATAACGCATGACCCTCAGTAGTAGTAGCATAGTAGCTAAAAATTGCGTGAAAAAAAAAATCCATTGATGCCTTCAAGTTGTTTTTTACTTCACAGGAATAATGAATAAACATAAAAGCTGAACCTATAATCTACATCGCAGCAAGACATATCTCGTAGTAAAATCATGAAATAAAAGTACATATTACAAAATGGATGAATAAAAGACATTTCTGAATACATGTGCAGGTTATTAAAATAGATATCTAGTCCTATATAAACGTCTCAGACAAATGTGTTTTCCAAACCACTTGACATTACTGTAACTATAAACTGGAGAATTCACAGATTGAAAGAAATGAGTCGATCAGAAAAATTGAGTAAAAATACATTATTACGACATTTTTTATGGTATCATCCAAATAGTTACTTTGATTCAACGTCATTACTTTAGCTAAGCAAGTATATTTCACATAAACAATAATAATACGACGAAAAAGTTGACGCTTTTGTTATAAAAATGATATGCATGCGCTCGCGTTCTTCACGTCTGGGAAACAAGCAATTCTGCGTTCTCTATAATTCTTTAAACTGTTACATTACATATAAGTTAAAAATGTTTCAAACTGCTTTGCCCTTGCAGCGCAGAATTTACTTACTGAAACAAACTTACCAAGAAACATCGCGCTTAGAATAATTGCAGCTCCACAAAAAATGAAATAATTAAATTTTACAGCCGCCAAAACATGTTTGATGCATAAAAAACTGAGATAGGCCATTCCGTAATGTCACCGGGAAAAAAGAGACTGAAGAAACCAAGGAGGCTTTTGGTGTGCGTCAAAATTGTTGAATGTAAATTTGTGAGACAAAAGTCAACGTTGCAGGATATTAACTTTGCTTACAGGATTTTTATTTGGAATTTGCTTTCGAATGATCTCCTCGGGAAATTGCATTTGAGCCATACGTAATTGCGCGCTAATAGTCAAATGTGTCAAAGCCCGAGCTTTTCATTTTCTTTTATAATTTGTTTGTCATCTGACTGGCATTTCGTGTATAATATTACATTTTCAGTAATTTTGTAACTTTTTAAACCAAAACATAAAGAAAATTAAAAGCTTGTCCACAAGAAAACTTATTTATCATCATAATGTGTTTAAAAGCGCTTTCAAAAATTTTGCCCCTTTTTTTCCATTTAGCTCCATGTGAAGTCCATTGACGAAAAAGGCGCTAATTGAACATGACTCACAAATGGACGGAAATTGTTCGTATATCTTCGTGCTGGCCACAAAATACTTGACTGATTTTGAAAGGAATGCTATGGTACGCCATTCTTCTACACAAGAGCCATAAGCGTTATTTTGAGCAAGGTCTACCTTTAGTATATTCGACGTGTGTAATAAAACCGGTGAGGAAATTGATATAGAATCTTCTAATAGCATTAACAAACCGCACCGAAATTGCTAATTTAGTTTTATTCGCATGAGGAGAGCTTAACAACAGGGCTTTATTTTCATATACAAAGGGTTTGTTTTCCATCTATTCATGCTAGCTTTTTTCAGCCTGAATACTATAAATATCGCTGGTGGTCCACAATTCATGATGGAAACATCACGCAGAAGGAGCGACTGATATTTGGCTAAATTAAACCAAAGACATCGGAAAACTGATGATCATAAAAAGGAATTAGATTTTTGCCTAGATTTAAGCATAAAAAAATTAAGAAATAGGTAAACGTTCGAATGGTGCATTCGTCGGAGCAAGCTCATGCGGTTTTTAGACTGTTTAACTTCTGTCTCCTGTTCTTCCGAAAGATTTTTGAGATCACTGTGACGGGAGGCCCACTCAATGCATACATGTACACACGGTACATGCATTTGAATCCAAGATGGCTGCCCCTTACAGAGTAAGCCCTTTTCTCCACGATGTTTCGGAACAGTCTAAGGCGACGTTATTTTATTCAGTAAAATCTTCGCAGGATAATATATGTCCAAAGTGACGTGACTTGGGTTTTATTGAATTACTGACGCAAGTTAATAATCACTGAAACTCGCTCTTTCAGTTTGCTGGTGACTTAAGCCTGAGCATGAAATTCTTTGCCTTAATATTTATTACAAGGTAATTATAACCTGAATGTAGAAAGTCAGCTTATGAAATAAGCGTCTTTGGAAAAGAGTGCTACAACGTACAGGAAGAAAGAAACTCAAAGAAATGTCTTCTAACATTTATTTAGCCTTTTTTTCTCCTGAATTTCAATGCTCATTCCGAATGACAGTTTGTGATACCCAAGATGCGTGATTGTAGTAAGCTTCAGAATAACGGACGACGACTGAATATTACCCCTTTAATTTTGACATACAAAACCCTTCCACCCTTAAATTTACAAATATTTATAATCATTCGTTTTTTGGTTACATAAACAGGGCTCAAGGGCACTGAAGACCTTTAACGACTACATAGCCAGGACAACATCTTTCGATTGCAGGATCATATCCTTGGGTTCCGCAGCACCTTGGGTTTGTTCCTCTCTTGGGTGAAATGTGATCTGCAGCGCAACACAAGAAGAATTCAGCATCAAATGCAATACTTCCGCAGCAGCCTGGCCGTAGACCGTCTTTTGGATAAATGTTTCCTTGGCAACACAGTTCTGAGGCATAATCGTGTGAGCGTGTTCCACAGCATTTTGGTTTTGAACCTGTTTTTGGTGTCACGACTCCACTGCAACATAAATAGAAAAGTGGGTCATATGGCACTCCATTTGGCCTTCGGCCTCATGGGCTATTGACGCAGAGCCCATTCGGGCTAGACGAATAATTGTTAAAATTCGACTAGTAGACCGTTTTGCAGTTAGAAAGCATTTTGTAAAAAAAAATTGGAATTACCCAGCTGTTTCTTCGCTAGGCTGCCTAGCATGGCGGTTTTGGTCAGGCGTGCAAACATACCAAGGTGGGGGCAGTGAAACTGCGAGGAGATTGGGGCGGAGCAACGCTCGTTAGCGAGCGCGCATTTGCGTCTTCAACGCTCAGTAGTGCGCCCGACAAAACCGCCATGCTACGCAGGCTATTTCTTCGCCGGAAAAATAATAAACACCTCTAATGACTCTCCAAATTGTTAAGTAGCCAATAGCCTGGTTAAGGCTTTCAAATATTAGAGCGCGGCGGTTAGTGGTGAGCTAGTTAAATTGACTATCTAAACGCCTGAAACAGGCTAAGTAGCCAGAAGCGCTGTAATCTAGGCTCTGTGGTCAGCGGCTTGTCGCCAGGACGTGTAGGCTAGCGAACCCTGCATGGTACAAGCTCTGACGTCCAACTAGCCTAACGGGCATCTCTCGTTTTTTAAGTGCAAAAACTCTTTGGCGCCGTCACATGAAATTTTATAGAATAGTGCTTTCATAAAAGCACTTGAAACGATTTTAATAAAAAAAAAAAGACACTTGTAAAATTGTAAGTGAATAAAGCAAAAAGGTTTGTAGCTAACATCGTTTAATACATTCTTAAAATGAGTGGTACCCTGCGAAAAGAGGTTTCTCTTTGCATGGCTTTTAGCGTTTACGAAGTCGTTCGCGTGGCTTGTCTGTCGCGTAGTTGGTTTGCCACGCCGGTAAATGAGTGGCTAAACTGAGCTCGTACCAATTTTTGAGTTTATTTTGTCTAATTCTTCTCTTCGGAATTTAAACCGTCTATAAGCGTCTAGATCAATATTTGCGTTATAGTCACCTTTGTATTTGATCCTATCCTATTTTAAGTAGCTTAAAGTGCTGTTATAGCTGTATAAAGCATCTATTGTTTACAGTTTTCTCACAGTTATATATACATATAATATAGTTAATTTGCAAAAAGCATCTAATTGTATCCAATCTGAAAAAATCGACATACCAAAATGTTTTATACGATCTTCCCTTTCGCCCTCTTTACCAAAATCATGTCTGTAAAGGATGTTTTCGTCCTGCTTCTTGTTTAAAGTTGGTGGCAACAGAAAAGAAGAAAGAGAAGACCTGCCCGAAATGCAAATGAAGTGGACCTCATGCTTTGGCTTTTTCGCCTAATCTACGTTTTAGCTTCTTTCTGTATGGGGGTGTAATGTCTCATAGCTTCTTATGCGCACACTTAAATTATTCTGAAAAGCCTGGGTCATTTATATTCTAACAATTTAAAATTATTATTTCTTCTATGACAGATGTTGAATCTTCTATACGTATATTAACTTGTTAAAAGAGAATGTCACTTTTAAATTAAATGGCACTATAAGTCATGACACCGAGAAAATGTATCTGCTAAATTTACCTTACCTCATTAATTAATCCTATTCCTGTCTTAGAGGCCAGTGAATTAGTCTTGCACAAAGAGCTCAAATAAATAAATTTGGCCAGAAAAATGTATTACTCATTCCAATTATTGTTATCAGCTACAGTATCTATTAGCTTTGGTTGGCAGCTGGGCAAAATCCGTCGTGTCAATCAGTAAAATGAAGATTACTCTTTATGACTTATTGGTGATTTTCCAGGAACGAACTCTTTTCACAAATTATTTCAGTTGGCTAGTAAATGCATGTTTTGCAAACTGAGATATTTTCAGAACGGCGAATATGTTAACGAAAGAATATATGAGAATGAGAAACGAAAATTAGATTAGTTCCTTTACCTCAAGAAACTGGTCAAGCTCTTATTTTAATGGTACACTTTTGGCTTTTAAGCAAACTGGTCCAATAGGTGCTGCCGTAATTTTAGACAGCCAGACCATCGATAATCCGAACGGTTATTTGGAAAAGCCTTTTTGCTGAATTTTTGAGCAGGTAGTGTAATTGCAGTATCCTCCGGCTGTCAAACATAATCAAAAAAACGTTAATGAGTTCCTTCCCACTTGAGATTGCAGCCTTAAGCGATCTACACAGAACGTTTTCTCTTTCTTTCGAACGAAACAAAAATAAAACCTTTGTTCAAGTGATAGAAAACTATATTAGTTATCTTACGATAAAAACTCAATCTCTTGCCTATTTCCTTAATCCGGGGATCCTTTTTGACGCTATAATTATTTACATGTCAAGACCTTTTTTCCCTTACATGAAGAAGAGCGCAGACTGAAGAGTTAAACAACAGGATCAAAACTCATCTTCTCCTCATCTTACTTAGAAAGCGTTACAGGCGCAAATAGTAATGAGAAGGAATGAATTGATCATTTCAAAAATGGTTTATATGATCAATCCATGAATTCTCCAATCATGTACCTGGTAATCCTGGGAGAATTCAGTTGTTTAAATACCTGTTATGGTACCAGAATCAAACAAATAAGGGTAAGCTATTTATGGTTAACATTATACAAAGAAAAATATCTCGAAGTTTATTAAAAATTTAAACTAAGGCTTGAAACAATAACTCGAAGAGCTGACTTAGTAGATTTTAGCCAAAAGAACTTTATAAAGGAATATTTAAAGTTTTCGCAGCCGAATTTTGGGGGAAAACGGCACAAAGTAAGTTTGCCTGTTATTGTCAACGCTCATCTTAAAAGCAGCTATTCTGGTCCGTTTGCTGTCTAACTGTCTAAACTTCTCGAAAGTTTCAAACACACTATTATTATGTTAGCGTTTTGAATTGGCCATTTTTTTCAAACGGCTGACGACAAAATAGCGTAATTTTTTTTTGTACTTTTTTTAGAGAAAAATTAGAATTTTCTTTGTAATATAAACATTTGACTAGATATTTTTTTTTTAGTTAAGATTTCTGTTAAGTATCAAAGTGAATGATTGTACCTTTTGTTTTACTGTAGAGCAACTATCGCGTATGGACTGGACGAAATGGTCCCTTGTTTCGTATTTAACATGGCTTATGATCAATGTTACCCTCACAAATCCTCACGCAATCAAGGAAGGTAAGTCAGATTCATGATAAACATGCAATATCAAGCGTTTAAAGTTATAAAAGCAACATAAATAATCTGTTTCCCCTTTCCTAATAAAAAGAGGTAGAGAAGTCAATTGCGCCCCGAACCGCTTTAAGATTAGCATCTGGACGTTAACTTTATATTAAGCACGACCCTAGTAGGGTTAAAATTCAAATGCGACATGGATGTGATTGTCAACTTACAAGCTGCTGTAACAATAACAGCAGGTTTAGCTGGCGCTAGGTAGCTACGGCCAATTCACAAAAACAAAAACCCGCAGGTTATAAATAGACATCCCGCTTTTGCAGGAACCCAGGGAGAGGAAACCTTAAGAGCTTTTCAAATGGCTTTCAATAAATTTAAAGCCGCCAAATTCTATCGTGTAAAATATAACAAATATGTTTTATACATGACCTGATTCATGGCTGACGAACAAAAAATGTAGTAAAATTTTGTTGGATATCTGATCATTGGCTCAAAGACTTGGTTATCATAAAAGGCATGTGCATCCTGGAAAAAGGGCTCGCATGAGGAATTTCCGATCCTGCCAACATTCTGCTATCCAAATATTAAGTTGACTGTCAACAAAACAATCATGCCTGTCTTTCCCTTCCCTCAAAAACTGCACAAATTTAAGCTAAAAATCAGTTATTTACCGCAGTGGCCATTAATAATGTATCAACGGTTGAAACATTTTCCCAATCAGTCGACTGATTTTATGGACTACTGCTTTATGCTTCAGGGTGAAGTCACCACATTATATTGTTTTAACGCTACACCCAGACTAGAAAATCTACGTCAAACCTTTCTCTTATCTCTATCACACGATCCAGTCACATTTCATGTAACCTCGTTATCAACTCTTCAGGAGCGAACAGTAACCACAATTAGTCATTCATTCATTCAGGCGACCTCAGCCGAGCTAGTCGACTGGCCGCCCAGTCTATAAATGTAGACACTAGGCGTCCGTGTGTTGGCCACCACAGGACAAACGGGCTTGCTGGTAATTTGCGGTGACGGTGGAAATGGCTAGCAAGACTAGCCCTTCTAAATCCGATCCTGTCTTCCACCTCTAGTACCTCCAGTAATTTCTAGTGTTTTCTTTATTTTCAGATTTCAAACGTGAAGCTTTCCCTTGCGGCTACAGCTGTCCATCTTACTGCTCACCAGAATGTTCTGATACCTGCTGTAACCCTTACTCCATACCCCCAGCTCCTGCCCCACCTCCTCCTCCGCCACAGCCTGGACCACCAGGACCTGATGGCCCTGTAGGCCCGGCAGGACCTCCTGGGCCAACCGGGCCTAAGGGAATGCCGGGTCCTCCCGGGCTACCAGGACCCCCAGGACTGCCTGGAGCCCCTGGTAGCTTAGCTGGTCCGCCTGGTAAGTACGATACCAGCTCAGAAAAAACGTGTTTACACACATAACAAAAATGCCTGTCACCAAATAAAGTGGCAATGCCAGTGAATGACCGTTTTCCTCCCTTCCCTTATCCGTTAAGGGTAACACCAGAATTATACGCCTTGGTTTCTAGAACAAAGCAACGCTGAAAAGGGGGTTGGGAGGGGGCTTCCTTTATTACTTTGTTCTGTTTAGACGAGATGGTTGTATGGTGCGAAAGCTAATTTTCAGTTATCGGTAAATCATCTTCACGAATCTTTCTCTTCTATTAAGGCATTCCTGGGTCTTCTGGAAGTCCAGGACAACCTGGAAGTATGGGTGAACCAGGCGACATGGGATACCCGGGCCCCCCTGGGCCCCCGGGACCAGCAGGCCAAACAGGACTAATGGGTAAGCTGCAAGGAAACTTGTCAAAGTTGTTTAGATCGAAATGTCTCTGACAGTCAGCGGCTTATATTATGGCGTAGTTTGTTAGCTTTAGCTTTTAATCTACTCAACCTCTATCCAGCAAGTTATGAAGATTCCCTAAAGTTCTTCAGGCGAGCAGATCAAACCACAATACAACCCAACATTAATTATCGGAGCCAAAAAATCAAACAAACATATGCAGTTCGACCTCGAGCGGGTGATTGTTGATTATCTTCAAAGAACAGAAGTTGACGTAAGGTCACTTCTTTTTCACAATATGGAATAATTTGGGATACTTTGCAAAAATTAAACGAGGATTTAATGTTGTTTTTTTTTTTAAAGACCTGTCCTTTTGACATGTTTGTCATTTGGATTTCAACAGTTTTTAGTTGGTGGGGAGGGCGGGGGGGGGGTCGAAAGCCTGTCACTATCCTGTCGCTATTTTCTACTCGATAAAGAGATGGTTACGTTCTGGTCGCCTGAAACCACTTGAACCTTATTCATTTTCACGCCTTGTGCCGTTTTGTGCCATGACATTGGTACTGTGACTGTATATACATGGATGCAAAGTGTATTCACATCGAACTCTGAAAAGTACTAGGCCCTTACGGTTCAGTGTTCCTAATGTAAATCCCGTTTGACTAGCAATCGGGGAGTTCGTTAGCTCGAGTTGTTTCTGATATTTTTCAGTGGATTGTCTATAAACCACAGCTTGGGCAGCTATTCAACAACAATTCCACTATCTATGAACAAATAACTATTCGTTTTATAACAGGACCAAAAGGAGTTCCTGGTGAAAACGGCCCAGTGGGCGCTATCGGAGAGATGGGCATCCCGGGAGACCAGGGTCTTCCAGGTCCCCCGGGTCTTCCAGGACCAGCAGGACTACCCGGAGTTCCAGGCACTCAAGCCATCGCGCCATGTCCAGAGATTTGTGAGACTATCTGCATTAGCTCATGTCGCAGCGACTGCTGCAAACAGAATGATGCTGCTGCATCTGGAGGTAACCGGAACTTCTGTTCTAAGAAATACGTTTTTCCTTTCTTTGTAACGGAGCAAGGATTTGCTGCTCAGGTCACCATTTGTACTCTTCAAATTACGCACTTGAAACCAAAAATGGTCCGCATGACGAGGGATCTTGAATAATTGGCGACTCTCTTTTTATTTAATAAAAGGTCAATATTGCATGTTGCCAACACAGATCTGCTCAACGCATGAGTAAATTCAAAAATACAGTCGACTCTCTTAACGGACACCTCTATAAGACGGACACCTCTGTAAAACGGACACCTATAGAGTTGGTCCCTGCCTTTGCTTATTCCCTTTATTTGACGCTGCATAAGACGGACATCTCCATAAGACGGACACTTTGTGCCGGTCCCAAAGGTGTCCGTCTTGGAGAGAGTTGACTGTATGCCTAAAAGTATAAATCATAATTCATTTCCCCACGCTCTCTTAACAACTAAGGAATTGCTGCAGCGAGTGGCTCGACTGGAGCGGCAGGAGCTGCGGGAAATCAAGGCTCCCCAGGAGCGGTTGGAGATCCGGGTGCTCGTGGTCCACCGGGACCTCCTGGACCGCCGGCAACAGCACCGCCCATTTTATATGGTCCACCCCCCGGAAAGCCTTGGCCAGCAGGTTTGTGCGGTACTCTATATTTAAAAAAAAATATGATAATAGCGAAAAGAGTTCTGATTAATAAATATATGGTATCTTCAGATTCCGATCGTTGAGTGTTCTTTTTGCAATTCAGACGATCTCCAATCTACTTTTCCAAGTTAGCGGAAGAATAAGGATGGCACCAGTAAAACAGGATATCCAGTACCAATAATTATTATGATACGCTGCAGATGTTTTGCCCAAAGACGGCGTGTGTCCCTCAAAATAAATTTGAACTGTCGCTCGTTGCGCGGATCGGACAAAGAAATTTTATCTAGGTCTTGCCTGTCTTCTGAACGCGCAAAATGTTAGAAATAAGACTACGATAACTTGAACGTACTAGCCTTACAAGCAAAAACGTTATGCGAAAAGAGATGCTTGTCCTCCTGAAACGTAATGGCGAAAAACTTTAGTTTCATTCTAATTGTGGTCATTTATTTATATATCCTGTCAAAAAGACAGGGTCATCTTGGCCGGATATTGTCCCTTAACCGGCTGTTAATTTGAGCCCTGATCTATTCCTGGCACTCTTATCGCAGGTGTACCGCTGCCAACCTGGACCAGCAAGGAAGGAGGAACTGGAGCTGACGGAGCACCAGGAACAGCAGGGGCACAGGGAAATCAAGGCTCCCCTGGTACAATGGGAGACCCAGGGGCACCTGGTCCACCGGGACCTCCAGGACCTCCGGCAACAGCACCACCTATTTTATATGGTCCCCCACCGGGAAAACCTTGGCCAGCAGGTATTAAAAATTTGGGGACAAAATACTCAGATATACCCAAGGAGGTATTTTTAGTTAGAACATGTACGTTCTTGGTTAAGAGAATGAGAAACCAAACTTATAATTTCGCACTAGTTACAGTGGTACTGTATCAGATTTCATTTGCAATAGTTTTTGTGAGTATTGCAGGAAAATCAAGGATTATTCCCAAAATCAGTGCAATAATTCCTCATAATTATGAAATGATGATCTGCCGACTTCATCGGCGTAAAGATGAGAACATGCTTTGACTTGAGAAGACAACAGTATATACATGTAACTTAACCCCATGCGACTTCGGCATGTTAGGAGTTCCTCTCCCGAGTGGGTCAGAGATGGGAACAGGAGCGGATGGAGCAACGGGAACAGCAGGAGTTGCTGGAAATCAAGGCTCCCCAGGAGCAGTTGGCGATCCGGGCGCCCCTGGTCCACCGGGACCTCCAGGACCCCCGGCAACAGCACCACCTATTTTATATGGTCCACCACCTGGGAAACCTTGGCCAGCAGGTATTACAAACTTGCTTCAATTTATTGTGAGTTTGTACGTACATAAGTTTGAAGAGAGCGAGGAAACAAGCGCGTAGGTTTGCACAGGTACTATATTCATATTTTACTTTCGAAGTTCTAGTAAATATTCCAACAAAAAATTTCCAAAAATGTGTTAATCTCCAAACCATTACAATAATGCTATGAAATTATCAAAGGGAGCGAAGGTCTGCCAACTACAAGGCGTAACGCTGAAAACATGCTTTGACGTGCAGACAACATGAGTTTCTGAACATAGTGTTTACCCATGCGACTTTGGCTATTTCAGGCGTTCCTCTTCCGAGTGGGCCAGAAGTGGGAACAGGAGCGGATGGAGCATCTGGAACAGCAGGAGCTGCGGGCAATCAAGGCTCCCCAGGAGCAGTTGGAGATCCGGGTGCCCCTGGTCCACCGGGACCTCCAGGACCTCCGGCAACAGCACCACCTATATTATATGGTCCACCACCTGGAAAGCCTTGGCCAGCAGGTTTACTTTCAATCATATTTAAATTAGATTTTAGTGATGCCATCTATAATCTACTGAGTTTAAGTAAATTCGCTGAGCTCGCGGAACCTGAATTTAAGCTCACCATAGGTTCGCCAAGGTTGCCCACGGTCGACTCACTGCTGGAAACGTATTACAATAAAGAGAAGTGTCTTGAATACCTTTTTAAAGTAGCTGACAGTTTTTGAGTTACAGTCGTGTAAATGCAAACTATACGAAGTCTTAGCAAAATAACTGTACGTATATAAATAAGGTGCTTCATCAAGTCAGATGATTTTCCCTCTGGTCACCTTTCATTATTCTCGTTGCTTCATCTAACCTAAGCTACTCACCACCAAGGGATGTTATCTACTGCTACTGGGGTCTTCTCTCAATTAAAGAATTTATTTAATTACTGGCAAAATCAAAAGAATCTACAGTTGACTATAACCAGTATTACTTAATACCATTCTCATTAACTTTGGCTTTCCTTTGTGGATCAGAAGTGACTACCAGAGCAGATGGGGCTTAGATATTTATAATGAGAGGCTGTTTCTCTAAAGAATCTACAGTTGACTATAACCACTATATCTTAACATCATTCTCATTAACTTTGGCTTTCCTTTGTGGATCAGAAGTGGCTACCAGAGCGGACGGGGCTTAGATAATTATAATGAGAGGCTGTTTCTCCCTTCTATTTTTAGGAGTACCCTTGCCAGTTTGGCCTGATGATGGAGCAACACCAAATCATAAACCAACGGGTAGGTGCCAGGCGGCTTTACCAGCTGGTCGGCTTTGCAGTTGAGCATATAAACTTTAGCCATGGATACTTTAGAAGTTTGTGATGATACGAAATAGTTTGGACAATGTATCGAAGTCTTCTTCTTTACTATCATTTCCTTAATTCTGACTCAATATGGCTGTGAGAGAATATTCAAAATTATAATAACCGATTAGGTAAAAAAGTTAAAGGCGTACACGAGCAAAAGGTCCAAACGAATTATCCCGGTTTCATTAGCATGAAGCATGCGAAGAAAGACGAGATGCTAGTCCATCGTAAGGTTACCGCCCAGCAGTATGTCGCCGGTACCCATTTATACACCTGGTTGAAGAGAGACAATGTGGAGTAAAGTTCCTTGTCTAAGGAAACAACGCGACGGGCGAAGCCCTCCAGATCCGGAGTTCAAGGTATAAACCGCTCGGCCACACACGCCTTCTCATAATATTCCATTAAGGACGCTCAGATAGAAGGCGCACCGTCCACTAGACGATAGTTTACAGTCCAATTTCCAAATGCAGAGACGCTTAATGGATATTAATTGTATTGGTTGGTCAGCCAGCTGCTGCGGCACTCTTAAGCGGTGCTTGTGAAATCATTATGACGATACTAATGATGATGATGACTTTGTTATGGTGACGATGATGACGACGATAATGATATCAGTTATTATGACTAAATTTCGTATTTTTTTTTTGTGATATTAGAACCAGTAGGCCCGGCCACTCCTGCAGATTCCACTGGTCCACAAGGTGCAACAGGTAAAATCCTTATTCTTTTGTAGTGTCAGTAAATGTAGTCTGCTAGAAAAAAAAAATAATGTCATTGGAAAGAAGTGCTGAAAAGCACTTTTCTCTTTTGAATTGTCGCACTTTAAATTCTCCTCATACTGACTATTTAAAGAATTCCCTTTGTGAATCGACTGTCGTTCAACTGTAAGCTTGAACTGTAAGCTTAAAGCTTGGTCGGGCAACTCCCCCGTACAAAGATGTGGTTTCTCCACATCATTGGTTAAAAGAAAAGCGGTCATTAAAGAGTGTTTAATTATTTTCAACCCCAATGACAAAAACAATGGACCTCGTAAATCCGTTTGTTTTAAGGATCTTTAGACCCCATGCCCGATGTGACCACTAGCTGCCATTGGATCTCGGTCTCCCTAGCCTACTGGTTGCTTCCTGCCACCTTTGGTTTTAATCCCTTTATGTTATATTTGTAATATTTGTCTCTTATTACTTGTGTCTGTAAAACTAAGTGCACTTTGATCAGAAACAAAGCATTTACCATTTCATATCAAGTAAGTTGACGTTGCATGCTTTTTCTTTAAATAAGGACCAGTTGGACCCCAAGGTTCACAAGGGGAAATGGGAGGGATGGGAGCACCGGGTGCTCAGGGAGACCCCGGATCGGCAGGACTTCCCGGACCACCAGGACCACCTGGTCCTTCAGGCATACCTGGTCCACCAGCTACAAACGCGTCTTCTGTAACACCTTCCTTCACCTCTGCGGCTTCTGGAGCAGCTGGACCGACAGGTAGGAGATTCTACAGTTAACTCCCGATATCTCGAACCCTCGCTAACTCGAACCTCGCGCTAAATCGAATTAAAAACGATTTTCCCTCGATTTCCGTCATTTATTTACTGTAATTTTACCCTCGATAACTCTAACCTCCCTCTAACTCGAAGTAATTTTTGCTTCCCCTCAGATTATTCCTATATGATTTTACCCTCGATCAACTCGAATCATGTTTTGAGCCCTTAAAAAGTCGGGAAAAAAAACAGTGTAATGGCGTCCGAAACATTGAATTTTGAATTTCCCATTGACGTTTTGTAGGCATATAGATTACTAGTGGATCGATAGTGGAGTCTGATGTTATTTGTCACAAATCTAACGTGAAACAGCTTTACTTCTCAAAAAGTAGAATGCATGCTCCATTTAAGCAATGTTTTGTTACCTTACGTTCTGATTTATTACTATCGGGAGATTTCCCATTAAACTCACGCTATACTTCTAATCATGAAAATATGCCTTTCAATAGATTGAAATCTAGGGCAATTTATTAGATGCAGCACAGAATATTAAACATACAAAAAATAAAATCATAGTTGTAGGTAAGGCAAGGCAAATCAACTTTCAATTGGCAAGTTTATGTTGTACAGACCATATTGCTTCAATCTAGTTTCCTTTGCAAATTTTGTATCATTCAGGTATGACGGGACCTAAGGGTCCTCAAGGAGACCAGGGAGCAATGGGAGCTATGGGAGCACCAGGGGATCAAGGTAATCAAGGAGCCGCAGGACCCCCTGGACCCCCGGGGCCACCAGGACTTCCCGGAATACCTGCTACTTCTACGAGCGCTGCCCCTGTTAGTCCAGCTGCAGGAGCATCTGGTCCCACAGGTCAGGACTTCTGACAAACTTGAATTGTATAGTCATACTTCAGAAAAAAAAATCGAATTCTTTCCAAGAAGCCATTTGATGCTCACACTGATCCGATATTAGCTTATATTCAAAAGTTTGCAAATACTGAATTCCCTGAAATTTATTTTACTTTTTTCAACTTGGAAAGTTTATATATTCTTATAAATTAAGCCTGCTTCCTAATGTATTCAAAGAAATGTTTTTAACGACCAATCAAGTTCATCCCTATAATACCAGAAAATGAAAAACTCACTACTTATTTCCTGCACGAACAAATATAAGACTTTTTGGTATAAGATTTCAGGGTCCTAAAATTTTCAATTCACTTAATTACGATATAAAAAGTGCTGCTACTACTATCTTGAAAACATTTCATTTTAGCTGATTCACCGTCCATCGATGTAAATAATACTTGTTTATTCTTTTTTTCTGTCTTGTTTTGCTTGCTTTTTATCCTAATTATGTTTCAGTATGATTTCGCCGCTTATTTATTTAACAATTAATGAATGAGGCTGAGTATTTTATGAGGAATTACGGAGATACCATCTCCATAATTCTTCATATGATACGAACGCCAAATTCAATAATTGTTTTATTATTTATTCAAAATAATTCCTAGTTTAAATACATAGCTAAAACATGCTTACCTCCATCGATGTTAAGTTGATCTTCGATAGAGCACTTTTAGGGTTGTTCAGCTCCCCAAATATTCTCCTAATGGCAGATGTCGCCCTTCGAGTTGTCCTGTTGCTGTTCTTGCCATGTTTTTAGCTATTATTTCGCCTAGTTCGTACTCTTGAAACGAGTGAAATGTCCGCCATTTTTATTTTCACAACCAAAACAACTCAACATTGTCCCTAGGTCATCTCGGTTAACGGTGCATTAACCTACAAGAAAGCTGCACTTTTGACGTCATCAGTTGATTAATCGCAAAATTCTTCGAAATTTGGTCATCAGTAGCTGGTTATGGTGAATTATGCGCGTGCTTTTAGCCAACCAGAATCGGGAAAATATTTTGAATGAATAATAATGATTATTAGTCTTAGGTTTAGGAGGGAGCTCATATAATAAACCCCAAGGTTTCAATTTGAGCTTCCTCGCCAGAAAAATACTTTTAATTCTTTTACATACAATTACGTCTCTTTAATATTCAACTGATATTTTTGTAATGTATTGAATGTCTGTTTGTATATATATAGAGGATATTACACGGTGGCTCGAAGATATGAATTTTATGTTCGAGTGGCAAGAACAATATCTCACTCGTTCGCTTCGCTCACTCGTGAGATATTGTTCTTGCCACTCGAACATAAAATTCATATCTTCGAGCCAACGTGTAATGTTCTTTTTATTATATGGAGAAACCATTTCAACAAAAGCAAAAGGCGGGAATCGAGACGTCATTGAACGATACGACACTCACAAAGGTGTCATAAGGAATCTTTAGTCTTTAGTCTCTTTAATATTTAACTGATATTTTTGTAATGTATTGAATGTCTGTTTGTATATATATAGAGGATATTACACGGTGGCTCGAAGATATGAATTTTATGTTCGAGTGGCAAGAACAATATCTCACTCGTTCGCTTCGCTCACTCGTGAGATATTGTTCTTGCCACTCGAACATAAAATTCATATCTTCGAGCCAACGTGTAATGTTCTTTTTATTATATGGAGAAACCATTTCAACAAAAGCAAAAGGCGGGAATCGAGACGTCATTGAACGATACGACACTCACAAAGGTGTCATACGGAAAATACGCCACTCGGGTCCCGGATGAAGTGGCGTATGGAATCTACGAGTGGTTTAGTTCCCAGTCAAACACTCTCCTCCATATAATAAATATATATATATTTTTCTGGCTAATAAACTGAAACTGAAACTAAAACTACAATTAATGCTTTTGGGGATGCTGTTTCATGAATATTAGATGTTCGAGTTTCTCATCAATATAACTCCATTTCTTCAGGTGCAACTGGTCCCAAGGGTCCTCAAGGAGACCAGGGAGCAATGGGAGCTATGGGAGCGCCAGGGGATCAAGGGGATCAAGGAGCCGCAGGACCCCCTGGACCACCGGGGCCACCAGGACCTTCCCGTATTCCTGCTACTTCGTCAAGCACTGCCTCCATAACCCCAGTTGCTGCTGGAGCTTCAGGTCCCACTGGTGAGTACTTCCGAATGCCTAAGCAACTTGGGGTGTAGCTTTATAGATAGGGGGCTAAAATCTCTAAAGATTAAAACCTCTATTTTATGTTCCAGGCTTAACTGGACCTAAAGGTCCTCAAGGAGACCAGGGACTAATGGGAGCTATGGGAGCACCAGGGGATCAAGGTGATCAAGGAGCCGCAGGACCCCCTGGACCACCGGGGCCACCAGGACCTTCCGGTATTCCTGCTACTTTCACAAGCACTGCCTCCATAACGCCAGCTGCTGCTGGAGCTTCTGGTTTCACTGGTGAGTACTTCCGAATGCCTAAGCAACTTGGGGCGTAGCTTTATAGATAGGGGGCTCAAATTTCTAAACATTAAAACCTCATTTTTTCCAGGCTTAACTGGACCTAAGGGTCCTCAAGGAGACCAGGGAGCAATGGGAGCTATGGGAGCACCTGGGGATCAAGGTGATCAGGGAGCTGCAGGACCCCCAGGACCACCGGGTCCACCTGGTCCCCCAGGAATACCGGCAACTAGTCCCTCCCTACATGCATGTCCAGCAATTTGTGTTAAATTTTGTGTTGGTTTCTGCCCTAAATTAAACTGCTGTAAAAAGTCTCAAATCCCTGCAAAAAAGGCGCTTATGAAAGACAAGCAGAACATTATGCCGAAAAAAGTTGAATTATCACTTAATAGCCCAAAGGTGGCTTTGGTACCACAGCAGGCAAAGACAAATTTACAAGTGAAACCAAGTGTTCAGGGACACCCGATAGCTGTCACACAAATACATGGCCATCCCCAAGTCCAGATGAAAGAAATGACTCCAGGGAAAACTCAAAATAACGCGAAAAGGAATAAGATTAGGCACATTAAACACAAGAAATTAAAATAGAGTTTATGTAACGTAAATATATTATAAACTAAGGTAATATATGGTAGTTTGGTTTTCTAGTTCAATTTATTTCTTCAATAGCGTTGTAATTTGGTCAAATCAATAAACCTGAATCCTTTTTTCACCAATGACTACGTAGTTTGTTGACGAGATGTATCCGGCAATCTTGATAAGGCATAATGGGACTCATTTTATAGGCTGATTATGATACTAAATTCTGGTGTATAAAGCTACCCTGGGGCTGGCCGTTTTAACCCGTGAGGGGAAGGGGGCCGCCGTTTTGCCTCATTAGCTTCACAAATGGATCAACTTTAAGGATTGACACGAAAAATCGACTCACATGTTTGGTTTTCCGCCACTCGATTATTTTCTCCACCTCGTACAGCTTCCTTCTTTTGGATTTTCGGCTGGACGTGAAATATTATGAAGCTGACCGTAATCTACGAGGAAAGCTGCTTTTTGTCCGCCATATTGGATTCTCTGTTGTTAAGAAGAAAGCCGCATACCACAGCTCAGGCTCAAATGTCCGTGATTTCTGGCCATGGGATCATTAATATTTTCAAAATCTTGATTGATTTTGGGTGGTCCTTTTCAGATGAGGAAGCGTTACCTGGAGGGCCATTTTAATAATTTTCATGAAAGTAATACAAAGGCAGTAGCAAAATTGAAATTAAATTCAACACCCGGTAATGGTAAACACTGATCTTAGAAACACTACTGGAGATAAAGTACAGTCGAACCTCCCGTGTTAAGCGACCATCCAAAATGCAAAGTTTAGTGGTCGCTTACGGGGGCTGGCCGTTTACAAAAATCGAACCATACGGGGCCTCATCCGAGAAGAGGTCCTGGCACATCTACTTTATGGAAGATGATTTATTACATGCAATGTCTAAGTTACGCCATGTGTGCTTCATATATTTTGTCACTAAAGTTCTTCGTATATTCAAAGTAGCACAGTGTACACAGGTAACATAGAGATGAGAAAATACTTCAGGTGGTCGCTTACAAGAGGTTAAAAATCATTAACCTTCCAGGCCCAAAAGACGGCCCCGGTCGCTTACAGGAGGTGGTCGTTTAACAGAGGCTCCAACTGTAAGGTCTTGACTGGGAAAATTTTGGTGTTTTGGATTGACGGCCGTTTATGGGAGATGGTCGCTTACGAGAGGTGGTCGCTCATGGAGGTTCGACTCTCTGTGGCGAACTTCGACAAGATTTGTAGCAAGAATATTCGTAGTTTCCATAGCAATGGGGGTCATTTTTAAAAAGCTAGGATGAAATGGGGAGGTCGGTTTGGAAATCTTTTAAGCTTTCTCAAATAGCTGGCACCCCTCACAAGCAGTAAACGACCAGTCCCCTTGAAACCTTGCAATTCTAATGCCTGGGTCGCAGGTAGCCTCTTTTATAATATGATTAACGGGTTTATCATATCATATGTCATTAGATTGGTAGATGTGCTTGTAAATGATAATTTGAAATGGAAAAACCTCGAAACCAGTCGTTCACTTGTCATGCTACCCTAATGTACAAAATTGTCTTAATGATCAATCTGTCTCCATCTAACAGCCCCTTACAATACTCAACGATAGTAGCATCAACCATAATGTTAGGAATCTTGAAACTGATCTAGCACTTCCAAGGCCAAAAACGAATTTCCTCAAACGTAGTTTTAAGTATAGTGGTGCAATGCGCTGGAACAATCTTTCTTACGAGGCAAAACAGCACGATAGCTTTCCGAATGTACAGGCAAACTTGCCTGTCTGCCTTCTGCTGGATCGCTCAGATTCCTTAATTTGTGTGTAAATATTTTAAAACCTATATTAACTAGGAGTAATCGGAGCTTAGAAGAGTGCATTCGATATGTTTGTAAGGCGTACAGGTAGCAGTTGAGGAGGAAGGGTGGATGGCTATTGCGATAGGTTAAGCCCGGTTTCCATATGATCGCTACAATCGCTGTGATCGCTGCGATAGCTGAGAAAAAATAGTTCAGCGATCATATGGAAACCACTCTCCAGCGATCGCAGCGACAACGATCGCTGAGACAGAACTTTTTATATCTCAGCGATATATTGTTGTCGCTGCGATCGCTGAAGAGCGGTTTCATATGATCGCTATGATCACTGGGATCGCTTTTTTTTCTCAGCGATCGCACTGATCACCGCAATGGTAGCGATAATCATATGGAAACCGGGATTTAATTTGATCATGACATATTTTAAACTTAAGGACTGCTTACAGCGAAACCTCTATTTAAACTGTACATGTGTATCATTATGAAAAGCCTTGAAGGCTAGTGATATCGTATGGTCCGTCTCAATAAGTGCAGTAGTCTGGTCGAGTGTGTTGATTCCAGTGACTTGATTGGAGCTACTGTGGGCTGTTTATAAGTTTTTCCGAATAAATAACATAGACCTAAAATGTTCGTTTGTTCGGTGCCGAAAATATCACAAGTCATGATGAAACGGCGCCGCCGAGCTTCACATCTCTGTAGATTTACTTTGTGGCACAACGGCCGCAGAGCTACACAACTCGGTAGATTTACTTTGTGGCACAACGACCGCCGAAACTTTTGAAAAATTAAGCAAAAACAGATCGATAGTAGACCTTCAGCAAACTCTTGAAATATGAACGCTTTACGAGATGAACGCTTTACGAAGACAGAATAAAAGACCTCAGCAAACGCTTGAGGACGCACGAATCACCACGTGAGTTAGTTCGTCAAAGTGAGGCAAAACGTAAGCAAGCGCCTCAAAGCGAGGCAAATGTGTGTCGACGACGACGACAAATGCAATCTCGAAAAAACCTCCCTTATTAATTGCACAGGGAACCCAATAATGCACAGAACACCCAACACAAATTAGGAGTTGGGTTCTCGTACCTCGAACGCAATTATTTTCCAAACCTCGCTCCAACATATATTGTAAAAATAGCTGCATTGTGTAAATTTTAACGAAATAAATTATTCTCTAAAAATTGTCACATTTTGCATCCCCATAGCGAACACCAAATTTCTTCTGTAATGCGTGTTTGCCTACGCGCCGTCCTGGAAATCAGCTTTAGTTGTTTGTGGCGAGCGGAGTTAACTAACTTTGTTGTTGTTGTTGTCGTTAACGAAGCTTACAGTAGGTAAGCCCCGTTTACAATGAACATATCATTCATGCACTTCCTTCAGTGGACTTCAGTTTCTCTTCACTGTCACCATTTCGGACAAACTGAGACACGGATGACTGTTGCTTAGTGATTAGCTCCAGAATGCGAGTGCTCGGATATTCGTCGTCACATACAAGTAGTTACAGAATTAAGTATTACTTATAGGGAATGGACCGCCATTAAAATTCTGTTTTGCTGCTCAAGTATCACTTCACAGGATGTCAAGAAAAGATAAGCAAGAAAGAAGAGAGGAGAGAAAATAGTTTAATGACAACTACTGCTCTCTTTATTAGTGCAATATAAGCTACGGCTACACTGGCTACATGGTTGTCCTATTTTCTTCTTTAATTATTTAGAGGTTGAAAAATGCAGGTGACAATTGCAACGCGCCAGGCCTGGCTTTCTTTGGGTTTAATTTTAGTTTTTTTTCCGGCCACCTTTTTCACATCGAATCTTCCAACCTCTTCCTCAGGGGGTTGGGAGTCTTCGCCAGGCGTTTCCCATGAAGTTATGTACTACTTAACGCAGTCAGTACTCTCCCCCTCCCCCGAGTCAGTATCGTGCCCTTTGATTAATTGACTATTAGCAGGAGCTCCTGACTATTAGCTTTGGCAAACAGTAGATACTGTTCAATGTTAGCACGTCGTGTTGTTGGCTGCATTGGTATAATTATACATATCGGCTCCATGGAACTGCAAACAGACTGCATGCGGTCAACATCCTATCATTTCTAATTTGCTTATTCATTCCCATGGCGGAGAATAATTGTATTAATGAATTAACTGGTAATGTACACTGCCAATGTTGGTGACTAGTGTAAGAAGTCTTAACGGTAGGGCCATAGCTTTAAAAATGCAATTCCTTTCTTTCTATAGAATGCGATACAACTTTAACGTTACAAGTAAAAAATACTTTAAAAATAGGAAAATTACCTTAAACTGATAAATTATTATATCATACATTAAATAAAACCCCATTCTGTTCTGTCAAGTTAACTTATCATCAATTTTTCCGTTTAAAAGAAAAGAAGCATTTACGGTCATTTGTTGAATTAATACTAGTTACATTCAAGGTTCCAGTGCAGTCGCGAGTAAGGCACATCAACTTATCACCTTGTTCGTAGTAAAACATATGATAACTTTTATACTGACTTCTGTGGTTACTTCTTTTATGATTAAACCAAACGTTATGGACTTTATCTTGACAGGAAACATTCTGAAAAAACAAAAGATGGACTGTATCACCTATATGTAATAATTCAATGGTGAAATGTATTATTACTACTGACTATTATACGATAGACATTTAAGCATCAGAAAGGGATTCTTAGGAATGCTCTTCCAGCAATACTTTTTACCTTCGAATCCCGATTGAATTCCTCTTGGGCCTTAAATAGAGCATTTTTACATGGCGTCATTTCCGCCATATTGGTGTCGCAAAGCAACAGAAAGGCGGCATTGTTGATTTCCCTAACCATTACCGTGGGAGATGAACCTTTTTCCTTTGTAAAAACGTCCTTTTGTTCTAATAACTTTGCATATCTGCAGGCCATATAAGTGAAAAGGCTTCAGGGAATTCAGAGTAACATAACTAAAAATATAAATAGCATTCATGCTATTCATGCATTCGTGGCAACTAGTACATTCTTTCACTAAGTAAACCTAAAACAACTGCCTATGGTCTTAACTCCTTTTCTTACTTTTCAGCTAAGCAGTGGAATGCACTGCCGGACTTTTTTCGTACCAGTTTTTTTGCAGACTTTAAGACTAAAATACAGGATGTTACCGTCATGTAGATTCTTTTTGCTTGACATACTTAAACTTAAAATTGTGAATTTTAAATAATATTTTCTT